AAAGGTAGTATTTAATAATTACCTTTGAAATTTAAAATGCATCCACTGCTCGCGACGATATTGGGATGATAACTGCGCGTTTCGATCATCGTCGTTTACTTTATGATCTCGCGTACCAGTCGATTTTAAATAGAAATCACCAATAGCATCCCACAATGAGCTCACTTACACGTCTGAGTGATATTGCGTACATTATTTATATCACGCGATCACTGGTAAAACATTACATTACGATATCATATAACATTTTCTGCATTATATTTTCACTACGTTAATGTGTGTATATTTAACTTCTATATATATGTTCCGATGATTATTATTTTAATAGAGAATTATTAGTTATAGAGCACTGTAATAATTATCACTGAAATTTTATGATGCCCGCGGAGCTTGCGACAATACTAGCCATGTAATACGCGACTTAATTATCGTAATTAATCTTATAGTTGGTTTGATCGGTATTAAAAATGTTGGAAATAGTCCGCGAGGTTACGAGTTGTGCTCGGTACTGCGTATGAAATTGTTTTGGCGCCTAGTACGCCGCGCACCGAGTGTATATTATTATTGCCCTCTAAGTCACCCTGACTTAACGGCGAGCTACTGTATTACAATTTCGATAACACTAGACGTTTGCTCGATTATAATAACGTTTACTATATAGTACTGTACTATATAGTATCATATATTTATATTATTTTGCAATATTTAATTACTGAATATACATACATATCTCTCTGCACTCATCACATTCTCATACATCATGCAACTACTGATCGTTAAATTTTAAAATACTCGCATTCGCACTATTTATTATTTCTACCGGTTATATTCGATATTCTCGTGAAAGGTTATACGATGGAAAATAATGATGACGATGAAAATTTATACGAACTCACCGATTCTCCCCATGACTAAATCGGATGCTTCGATACAATATGTCATGTCTTTCTGCCCAATCTGAAACGAAAAGCAGCCTTCGTTGCAAAACTTCAAAAATAGAAGATTCGCTTGGAGAGAGTCAACTGCATATTCGTTTTAAATTTGTTACGAATAAAAGTGCTGTACGACGATTTATTAAGAAATAAATAGGAAAAGTAGAAAGTTTTCTCTTTCAAATATTTTTGTTTTAATTTTAATAGTATTTAATTGCTATATATGCATTTCCCGACTATACCCTCTTACTTTTGCACATCATATAACCATCGATCGTTTCTAGATCGTTCTAGAAAGTTCTAGAAAGTTCTAGAACATACGCATTCGTGTCATTTGCTAATTTTTATTTCCACTGCCTATTCCAATTTTCTCGTAATAACTGTTAGATAATGAAATATAACGACTCTGTTTGAACTTACAGTCAAAATAAATCTCTTCCGGCCGAATTCCGGCCGGCGATATAATATCGCGTCTTTCTGCCCGATTTGAAACGAAAAGCAGCGTCCGTTGCAAAACTTCAAATATGGAAGTTCCGCTTAGAAGGGGTCGACTGCACATTCGTTTCAAAGTTGCTACGAATAAAAGCGTGCGTCGCTCACCTTTCGGATTTCACGATACTCTTATTGCTCGCAATGATCTCGCGATCAAAATCTTGACGCTAATTCCGTAATTTATTGCTATAGAAGCTTGGATAAGTCCGACAAAGTCGGGAATGGCGCGCTGCGACTCCTTAGATCCGTTGCTGCTGGCAAAATGGACCCGGTAAGGTTACTTGATCAAACTTGTAACGGCAGCTAGTGGCGCCATCTAACCACACTATGAGAAGTTGTCGCGACTATATTAGACCCGATATCTTTAAACCCTATATATTTTCCAACCCGATTTATTAGACCGGATAAATTTTGTCAATTACAAAATTATAACTAATAATGAATAAATCTTTCTTATTTCTAGGTGAACGTTTAGCAGCTGAGTGCGATAAATTAGAAAATGGTTAAGAAATTATCGATTCTTTAGCATTCGTTCAATAATTTTTTAATAGAAAAAAATTAAAGATTAAACGACATAGCTCGTTTACATGCTGTTATTTACTGCAAATCGTAGAGTATCGTTTATTAAATTGTAATAATTGAAATTTAATAATTCGATCATTAAGATCTCATACTGCTCCGTATGTGTGTGTGCGTATGCTCATTAAAAAAGAAAATTCAGAAAAACGCCTAATTATGAACGAATGTATTCGTGACATACCGTGTATGTTAAAAAAATTCTTTAGTTTTCACCTTTGTCGATTCCAATGACTCTAAGAAAGCACATTAGCCCACCGCCTGTGACCAAATATTTTCCGTAACAATTTTTTCCCCTGTAAAAAGGGAAAGGAAGGTTTAGGCGTACCGTTCCGACATTCGTTCCGCGTTATTTCTTAACCGCACAAGAGAGCTATCGGTTCTGATTTGCCGCGATTGAGCAAAAAGGGCGAGTACGCTTATGGGTCGTTAGAGGCGAACGTGCTGCGGTAGACGGCAGGCGTTTTGCAATTTCGCGCACGATCGTGTATATCGATGCATGTACATGCGCGCGATGTGTGCTATTCCTATGTGAATTTGCTCGTGTGTACGTTATCTGATACCGAAGCACTTCGGATAACGACGTGCCAGTTCCAAACGATCGAGCAATCGCGTTTTGTTAATGGCACGGCTCGCCCGGAGCGGTGAAACAGAAAAAAAGCGAAAAAGAATCATCTCTATTCTTAATATCACATTTTATCACAATGTCCCCACATGACATGTATAAACCGTACGAATATATAAATCGTTCGTTATGACATACACATTAGCCTTTGCCGCAAATATATATTTTACACTCGATCCCATGTATAATATTTTATTTACAAAAGAAGGTCTGGAAGTGTTTTTCTCTGATTTTCACTGAATTCTCTTTAGCTTTTGTTTCCATAAAAATTTTGATATAGGTTATATTAAAATATCGTTTGAGATATCAAAAATGAAGAATTACTTGGAAAAATGTCTCATGTTAAAAACTTACTCACTTGTATAAACTTAATACTTACATACTTACATAGTTACATAACTTACATACTTAAAAAGATATTGTAGAAACTTGATAAGTTGAGTCTTGCTACTTATTATTTAACTTTTCATAAAAAAGTTGCTCTGCTTATGACAGGAACTTGAGACCAATAAGAATAAGGGGTGTAATAACTGTAGCGGGTCTAAAATGGACATTTTACATTCAAGTCTCGAATTATATACGTAATCAAGAAGAAGAAAACTATTACTTTCTTATTATGTTTTAAGTATCACTGCTGAGTTCAATAATCCCTTTACCTGGTTTGCCAATGTTTATCAGGTCTATATATACTATTTCAAGTTCGTTTCAAATTGTTTCTATTAAGTCTTTAAAAATTGATTTGCATCACAAACATCAAAACCGGAAATTTCTTGTCACTTGAAAATTTAATTATAATATACGATAAAGTATAATATAAAGTATACATATAAAATACAAAAGACGAAAGATATGGGGTCTAAATGTAACGGGTCATTTAATTAGGATGAAGCAAAAACTTCTGCTGCGCGCCATTAGATGGCGCCAGATAGACCACCAACTGCCGTTAATAAGTTCGAACAGAAAACCTTATCGGTTCCATTTTGCCAGGAGCAACGGATCTAAGGAGTTGTAGCGCGCCATTTCCGACTTTGTCGGATTTATCCAAACTTCTCCAGTGATAAATTATGGAATTGGCGTCACGATTTTGATCGTAAGATCGTCGCGAGCAATGACAGCATCATGAGATCCGAAAGGTGAGCAACGCACGCTTTTATTCGTAGCAACTTTGAAACGAATATGCAGCCGGCCACCTCCAAACGAATCTTCCATATTTGGAGTTTTGCAACGAACGCTGCTTTCCGTTTCAGATCGGGCAGAAAGGCACGACATTGGATCGGATTCAACTGGGATAGGCTTATTTCGATCGTAAGTTCAAACAGAGTCGTTATATTTTATTGTCTAACAGTTATTACAAGAAAATTAGAATAGTCGGTAGAAATAACAAATAGCAAATGACACGAATGCGCATTCTAGAACTTTCTAGAACGATCTAGAAACGATCGATGGTTATATGATGTGTGAAAATACGATAGGTATAGTCGGGAGATGCGGATATTTAGCAATTAAATATTGTAGTATTTAAAAGAGAAAACTCCTTTTCTCATTTATCTTTTAATAAACGTCGTACATGCTTATTACATGTCGTAATTCGCTCATCACAAGCCATCACAAGCCAAGATAAAAGGGAAACTCTTTTGCCGCAATAATGTTAAATAATAACCAAATTAGAAAGTAAATTTAATAGCAATATACTTTTTCTAAAACATCAGTGATGTTTCGACATTTCGTATATAAATTTAAATTTTTAAACGAATTTCGATATCATCGTATATCTTTTATAATCATGAGAAAATAAACATACTTCAACGAGCTATAACTTTGAAAAGCTTAATAATAATGGAATAGTTTTGGAAGTATTTTAAAGTTTTAGGTCTTCAGTTTTTACTATTTATATTAAAAACGTGAAAAATACATTTCAAAATGGAGCTCTGAGCTTTCGATACATTTTTAAACAAATGTCATGCACCGGATGGTCTATGTTTTATGAACGGTCATATTAAAATCATTATTTTTCAACGTCAAATAACTCAATGAGAAAAAATCACACGATAATCCATATAGACGCATATTAAGAGTTTGCAATTTTAAATATCGTAACATATGTTATTTTCGGTTTACGTGGGGAAAGAGGGGCCACTTTTTCATAAAAATTTATAGCATTTGTCGAAACACGATTTATATTCGTCGTGTAGCATCGTAAAAATAAATAAATTTTATATTTAGAAATTAAACATTTTATGTTATATAAAACATTATTTAAATCAATTCATTACATAACTATTTCTGGCTAACGTTTTGGCTCATTGAATTTGGCTTAATCTTTATGATGGAGAAAAGAAGGTGAGTAATAAGAATTAGAGATTACCTTTATCTGCACTTTATTTCTCTCTCGACATACCTAACGTATTAACGATATTTGTAATTGCTCAAAAATAATCGATAATACCAGAGACGTTTCACGGGACGGATCAGTACGATTCAGCATTGCGATGTCTATCGTGCGCGATTATTCTAGAATGCAATCAACATATCATATTAATCGATGTTCAAACATCAATCGCGCGCGTTGGCGTGCTCGACATACTCGACATCGCGGCGACGATTCCCCGCGATTGATAATTTCCTCTTCGCGATCGCGACGGCACTTTCGGTACACCACGAACCGTTCACGAGTGAGAAGTAAACGTGGGATTTTCCGCGCGAGTCCGGGACGCGATCGAATCAGATGGCGGTGGTCTGCGGCGCCGGCGGCGGTGTCAACGGCGTCCAGGCACTAGGTTGCTCCGCATTGGAGATCTCCGTATCCTGTCGATGATGATTGTGATGATGGTGATGATGGTGATGATGGTGATGACGATCCACCACTGTGGTCAGGTATCTTCTCTCGTCGTCTTGCTGCGCCTCGCTTAAAGCGTCCGCACTTTGCTCCGAGTAGCTCACTTGGATGTGGGGATGTTCCTTCGGAGGGCTGTCGTACTCCACACTGGCCGGTGAGGTGGTGCCTGTCTGTGGTAACGCCTGCAAATGCAACATCTGCGCTTGCGGATGATGCTGCGACTGGGACGGCTGTTGTTGCTGTTGTTGCTGCTGCTGTTGCTGTTGCTGCTGCTGCTGCTGCTGCTGCTGCTGCTGTGGGTGATGACGGTGCTGATCGGGGGTGGTCGACTGCACTGGTGAGACGTGATGGTACTCGTGAACGTACTCGTTCGTGTCCGTCGGAGGCACTGCTTCTCCACCTGGATGTAGGCCGTGATGCAATCCCGCGTGCGGCACGGAGCCGTAAGAAGACATCTGATGATGCAGATGGAGATTTAGGTTTAGGTAGGGTTGCTGTTGGTGTTGCTGTTGCTGTTGTTGCTGCTGCTGTTGCTGCTCGAGTGCGCTCGGATGGATCCAGGACGAGTCCGTGCAGTGCCCACCGTGCTCCTGCGGCGGTAAATTTGAGGGCACGTACAACGTGCATCCGGTGACGGTGGTGGCGGCAGCGACAGCAGCGGCGGACGCGGTGCCAACCACGGCTCTGCCGAGGACCGTGTGCGCCGAGGACGTTGGCGACGGCGACGGCGACGTCGGCCACTCCTGCGATGCAGTCGGCGGTAGACACGCGGGGTTTAGGTTCTGCAAAGCCTCCGGACTGCGTGGTGACCAGGCTGGGGCTGTTACGTAGGCGGTGGAATGCAGCAGCGGCATAGGAGCGTAGGGATCCGCGTGTTGTTCTGCGGACACAGAGTGGTCAAGCTTTCGTTCATCGGAAGACTTATTAGATTTATTAGGATTGATGCGTAGATAAATATTGTCTCGGGTTGTCGGGTTGTCGGGTACTACATATTATTAGGAGCTTGCAAAAATTGGCTAAATTTTTGGTCACATTTCTTTGATTATTAGTGACGAAGGTGCCAATTTTTATGAAATTACTCATGCATTTATAGAAGTTGTAATATTTTAAGACTGGATAATTGGCGTGAAGTTCGATCTTATCTGATGTGAATATGACAGACTCTTCGCGACGAGCGAATAAAATCTATTTACGCGTCGGCGATGGCGTGTCGATCGAACAAAGTGCAGCGCGATAGGATGATGTTACGTACCGTCTTGGACGTACTTGTGCCTCAAGGTATACGGCGCCGCTCTGCAGGTGCTCCTGTGGCCAGAAGTGGTGACGCTGCACGAATTAGAGAGGTGATTGCCGACGCTGGCCGATACTTGATTTTGCGCGGCCGCTATCGCGGACGCGGTGTTGTACTCGTATCCCATTGTGGGTTGCGACAGGAACCAGGGACCGGTGTCTGCAAAATGTCACTCGCGTCATCGAGAACGCGCTGGTCGCGCGGCGGCGATGTCTCGATACTTATTTCCTCTGATTCGTCGCGTTTCTATCGGCGTAGAAATTGTGAACCTGTCGCGTCACGTAGATGCGCGCGTAAATGCGCGCATTTATGCGTTGCACTCACATTGCGGATAAGTTTGCGGATCCGCGGGTCTCTCCTTCGCGTCGAGGAACGCCTTCGCGAAAGGATTGTACTTGATCTTCAGGCTCGTCACTTCCTCGTTCTGGTACGCCGTCACCGCGATAAATTGGGTCTCGGGGAAGCGATACGTGAGAACCTGCGCGAGTGACGATGGTTTGCGAGATGTGTGTATGAGTTTGACTGAGGTGTAATAATTAACGATCCAAGACTGTTGCACAATATTGATATTGCATAATAGCGGTGTAATAAACGCAGATTTCTCCTGGCAGCTCTTTCTTTGGTAGCTCTCTCAACTCTATTTTGATTGACTATTAGCAGAATCTCTCTTGCATTTCTCTCGATTGTAACAGCTCAAATTTGGCACCGCGAAATACAAACGATAAAGATAATTAAGTCAAAAAGAAGGAGGAGACGTACCGTTCGTTGCTCCTCGGCGCCCACTCGAACCAAATGAACGTGCGGTTCATATTTGTGCAACGAGTTGAGCATTATCTGTCCGTTACCGTTCGACTTGTTCGTCAGCTTCACCTTGGCGAACGACACCGCCTCCTTCATCCAATGAGCCCCGAAATTCGGACTTTCCGGATGTATGTAAATCGGATTAGGCGGCGCGACTTCCGCCTTTCCACCCGGCACCCATTCTCCATTTACGTATTTCCACCTGCGAGTCCAAGTTCACAACGTGCATCTGACATTAATCCCTCTCTTTCACTCTTGAATTGATGACGCGAATCACACGAGGAAACGCGCTACGGGAAAGTGAGATTCCGGTCTTTCCTTTATCGTCGATTCACATTCAAGGAACTCGCGATCGACGCGAATCATCGTCCTTCGTATTCTCACACGGCCGTTTCTTCCCGGATTGTTTTGCGAAAGCTATTATGCGTTCCCGTGTACCCAGGTTCGTTCGACACCGATGACGAATCGCCGACGAGTTAAAAATAACGCACTAACGAGTTTAGAATCAAGTTTAGCGACGTTACGTGACGCCCGAACGAAAGGGGTACGATAATTACGACCTGTTAGTATCCTTCGCGTACCCCGTGCCTTCGTGCTCCGCTCGCGAAATAAATCAACGCAAATCGGTAACGCGTTCATCCGTTCACCGGCTACGGCGAATATCTCTCTCTCTCTCTCTCTCTCTCTCTCTCTCTCTCTCTCTCTCTCTCTCTCTCTCTCTCTCTCTCTCTCTCTCTCTCTCTCTCTCTCTCTGTCTCTCTCTCTCTCTCTCTCTCTCTCTCTCTCTCTCTCTCTCTCTCTCTCTCTCTGTCTGTCTTGACGCGTACCCTATGCTTGTGACCACTTCGCTCGGACACTACTGTGACTCACAGTCGCTCGCATCTTTACAACCTCAGCTTGCATTTTTCTGGAAATCTTGGAAAATATTCCATTGTACTTTGTGCGGCTTGTGTGGCAAATAGTTTGAGCGATTTTGTGACTCGAGAAAAAACTTTATCGCCGCGTTGATTCAAAATTTTCAGCCGCTTAAAAAATCGTTCGCAGAGAGGACGGAGAATTATTAAAATAATCTTTCTAATCGGAAGTACATTTTTTTATACAAGTTGAAGTCGTGTTAAATAGTGCATTACCTGTGCTGGTCAACCTGCACGAATTCCAGTAGCAGGGTGTACATTGCCGCAGGCTCCAAACCCCGTGCCACGACCTTCACCACCGGAAACATCCTCCTGCGAACGAAAGTGACGTTTTCACTTCACGTTGCATGAGGCAACGCTGATCGTAAAGTCGGGAAAGAGAGAGAGAGAGAGAGAGAGAGAGAGAGAGAAAGATGCGCTTGCACACGCTGTATAGATCGATGTTAGCGGCGATTCATAGCGCGGATCAAAAGATAACCCGCCGCGTGGACAGTGTATCTTCGGCAACTACACACTTTACGACTCGCATATTAATAAAAGCGATTACGGTTTGTCGACTGCGGGTATGCAGGTAAAGCGCTCGCGGGCACCGCGGCATGGCAGGAGAGCGTTTTACAAGAGGGTCGTAAAGTTTTATTGTCGGCGATCCGACCTTCCCAAGAAACTCCGTCTTTCCACCGGCCGCGGGAATACACGCTTATATTCTTGTTTTGGTATATGAAATGAATCCCCGGCTATTCTCTCGGCGTTCGTCGATTCATCGTACGGATTATGCACGCTGCAAGCGAGAATCCGACGGAGAGAAACCCGTCATGAGCCGTGAATATTTCGCGGGATGAAAGTCATAGGGAAATAGCGAGAGAAAATCAATTAGAATTGCTGCGCTGTCATAAATCGCGCCGATGAGATTTTATCGTGGAAAAACGATGCAGCTATCAAAGCTGCGCGTTGAACGTGTGTACATGTCATTTTCCATGATGAAAATTTGAAATTGAGATCACTCTTTTGTCGTACGATTCGAAAAATGAAAAATGTATTTTTAATTTCTATACGAATAAAAAACATAGTTCAATTCAAGAAAATAAATTTGGAAAACCTGCTTTTATTTGTTTGTACGAGTCAACTCAAATCATTTTGCACACAATCTTTGCGAGCGACATAATGTTCTCATTCCACGATTTCTCATCCTTTTCCTCGGCTATCAAACTACCGTCCGTGAGCCAATCACACGACTCCGTCCGTATGACAATCCGTACAACACTCTTTCAAGATCGAGTGTTTTCCCTTTCCGGTCACCACCGTATGTACCTTCCGTTCTTCGTCACGATCATCTCGTTCGTGATGCACTGAAACCTGGTCCAGAGCTCGCGATCCTCCAGCGACAAGGACAACTGCAATCCTGGATTAGCCGAGATCGCGGCGGATCCGAGGCTCTGCCTGGCGATCGAGCTGCGCTCCTCGCGATCCTCCCGATCCTCCTCGGGACTCATGCGGCTTTGCCTTCCGCCGCGGTCTCGCTCGCGATCCCGATCCTGCTCGCGTTCCCTCTCGCGCTCCCGATCGCGCTCGTGGCAAGAGGTGCGCGTTGGAGAATCCGGCGTCCGCGGAACGTTCGCCGGCTGCATTCTCGGCGTTCTCCAGTTCTCGCGTCGCGCGCTCGACCCTTTCGCCCTTCGCAGAGCAGAACTCCAGTAGCGACTCGTGATCCCCGCTCAAAACCTCGATCTAAGATCGAGGATGTCGCTCGAGGGAAGCCTCCGGATTCCGGAGGGTACGTATGTATGTAAATGCGACCGGCGACAGGTCGGGAAGGATATAAGAAATCCGCCGATCAGGGGTGTTATTCCCCGATCGAATTCGCGACGTGTCGCGAGAAAAACGAGCGCGGTCGGGGCTACACGGCGGCGGCGGGGAACGGAAAATCGTCGTCGTCGTCGTCGTCGTCGTCGTGTCGCGGCACCGGACGTCTCCGTCAGCGACGGAGGACAGGTCGTGTCGCGTACGAGAGGAGGCCGCGTGGCCCGTAGGCTCGTAACACTTGGGCGCGATATTTCACACTAGACGGCGAAGACTCGCCGAAGACTGACCGACGGTATATCTGCCTCTCTATCCGCACTTCGCGGTCTCTCTTTCTCCGTCCGTGGACACGGTGCACGGTCGCCGCGAGAGAAGCACCGGCCCGACTCCGTCCGCGTTCGCCGGGTGCTAATTACTCGCTAAATTAGGACCTCACGGGGGCAGCATGGCGGTATCGCGACGGTGTCCATTGGTTGAGAACGGTTTGACCGGTCGCCCGGTCGCTAAGACAGTCGGTGCCGCCTTCCGCGGCTTCCATCGACCAATGGTCGAATGAGTCGACTTTATGATTCTACTATGGTTGGTGGGTTCGACGGTGAACGCAACGTTCACCAGTCCGCCCACGCGTCCGTCGCCAGGTTCTCGATTAGTCCTGACGAACAACGTACGCGGACCCGCACGTGGTCCGAGGATCGACGTCGCGCTTCGTGATCGCCGCGCTTCGATATCGCGCTTCGTCGATATCGATCTACTGATCGATCGACGCGAAACTTGTCTCGTCTCTTTCTCCCTGTCGGTTGTCGCGGACGAACGTCGCGGGTACGAAGGTAGCCCGTCGCCGGCCGCCCGAAGGTCGAAAGGAAGTGTTCCTCTACGTGGAGCGGTGTCGCGACGCCGGATCGAGACGCGACGCGGCATAAACTCGCGGTCGTGTCACTCCTTTGAGTTAATATTTGCGCCCGCTGGTCTCGGGAAAGTATATGCGGCAAGTATGTATTTGTTCCTCGCGGCCCATTTCCAACACCTTCCCGCGCCGAGGCGACGCGCTCTTGCGTAATAACGTAAAGTGAATTATGTCGAACGACGAGATGGGGTAGGTACGTAGGTCGGATACTGAAATCTTGTGATCTTGCTCGCTCGCACCTGCGTGACTTGAACTCTTTGATAGACTGATGGTTGAGCTTTGATTTTCGTGACGTTGCAATTGGTGCGAGAGAGCTTAATTAACATATCACATACAGTCTCCCTCACGCGTTTCCCTTCCGCGTCAACACTCGGCGGAGAAGACCACGACGGTCATGCCGGAACTCTCAGAGTCCGCATCCTCAGTCAAAGGTGGACGCCGAGAATTCCGACTCTTCACGGTGATTTTGATACTCGTCGATTACGAAAATGGAGTCCCTCTCCTATCGTGAGCGAGCACGCGCGACGGAGGACGACGGAGGATGGAACCGACCCGCGTTGGTCGTCTCCAGTCAAATGACAAAAATCAACAGAGCATCGCTCGACTAGCCGCAAGACGCATCGTGAGTAGATATTTGAGCAGGACCGTTTCTTGTTTGCCATCGCGTGCGGTTTCGGACGGCAATCGTCGGACGCGAGACGGCCGTAACCCTATCGGTTATTTGTGCTAGCAATTTCGTGCGGAGCACGGAGTCGCGATCGTCCTGGTGTCGCGACGTCGTCGGAGGACGCGCGGAGCCATCTTTATTGAACGAAGGCGTCCCCCTCGGCACGGCGGCCGAAGGTAATTGCAATTTCCACCGCGACCATCCGAGAACGACGCGCTATCCTGCATCATCGCGAAACTTCCGCCAATCTTCGGGCCACTAACGGGCGACGTGCGACGTCCACCGCAAGATCTGTCTGAGGGTGTAGCCGAAAAACGAAAGTGTCGCGTAGCATCCTTGTGGAGAATGCGAAGCAGCACCTGGTGGACTACGGTAGTCGTAAAAAAGAACCGAAGAAAAAGATACCGAAAAAGAGAACTTTGGGCTATATAACTCCTAACCCACGATAGCGGTGAATGCGAGTTCTATGTTAGAGGAACGAGGGTAGGTGCGGTGGTTTGCCTCGATCTCAGGCTAATTTCAACTCACGCGACGCATGCGATGCAGTTTTTTATTATATTCATTTTATTTTTCATATTCGCGTTAAAAAGGAATTCATTCCTTCATCTCGAATTCGTCGCACGTGGTCACGTGACTGACAATACGCGTCATGCAGGGACAATCGGAATAACGATGTCATCGCGATTCTTCCTTCTCAGCGATCAGTAACGATTTGATAAGATATTTCGACAAAGGTGGTTTCTCTCTTTCTCCCTCTATCTTTTTTTCTCTTTCACATATCTCCGACCTATCCGACACTGCACACGGTGGCGTGTCATAAAAATTTTTACCTCGTACAATCTACGCGAGCAACACTGCAAAGATGTTTACGATACGGACATCTCCGACTGTTGCTACCTGCCGTTAGGTAGTCTCTATACGGCCGGTGGGAAGCTTTTGGTATCCGTTTATCGCGTTTGAGGGATGCCGCCGCGGTTACGATCGCTTTGATAAACCAAATCCCGACCGGGTTTTTTATTCCTCTTTACTATTTACAGGCTATAGACGTTCTAACGTTTTAAGCGGAAGTCGTGCGCCTCCATCGTTCCGAAGGGTGTTTACCGGGAAAAATTTCGTTCTCCTACGCAAAGATCTCTATTTATGATGTTTCCTCTTACTTACTTTTCAATCATTTCGGGCTATTGTTGAAAAATCAACGGCTACTTAATGTAAGCACAGTTCTTGGTAAATTTTGATGTTCAACTCGGAAATTTTTGTTATTCGCGATATCGCGGATCGATCATCTGCCTGCTGTAAAGTCTTGCAATACTTAAAAAATGACAAGAGTCAAAAATAATGCTTCGGACTTTTAGAAATTATATTTCGATAAGCACGTTAACAGGTCAATCGGCTAAAAAGTGAAACGTTTGCACCTTTCGGGAATAAGAAGAAAACAATAAAAACGTAACGGCAATAACTATGTTGCCGACGGGTACTTCAATCCTTCTTCTCACTGATCAACTCGGATACATCCGAGTTGAGTGAATTGTGATCCTGCTCGATCTTGAGATTGACAGCCTCGTTTTCGCGTTCTCGTCCGACACCTGGATGATCACCGGTCTCGTCCGCGTCAACGACGACGTAGTCCTGTCGCGCGTGCTCGCAAATGATCCTTTCGTATTCGGCGTTCGGATTATCTAGCAGCATCGGCCATTCCATCGGATACGCGATCGTCGTTTTCTGCCGGATCCATTCTCTCTCGCTCGTACGGTGAGAATAATCCAACAGAGCGGCGCAAGTCTACGTGATTTCAGTCGACAGTTTTGAAGAACGAAGATATTAAGACTTAAGGGTGTTATCGTAGGATTAAAGAAAATTCAATCAAAGCGTGTCAGTCCTCGATTTCGTAAGTTCCGGTCTATTTGAGTCTTCAAATTAAACTGTAATCGTCGAAGTCGACGAAAATTCTTACCATCAGACTGTCAGGGATTCGGGTGATCGCATGGCCGGTTTGCGCGAACCAACAGCACTCGTTGGGTAAAATACGCGACACCAGCCGTCCGTCCTCCGTGATTCCGTGCACAGCTCCTAGGATAGGGTTGTGGACAGGAAAGGGAAACAGCAGGGGAGTCGTCAAATAGGCTTCCGGGATAAGCTGGGAAATATGAAAAATTACTGAAAACAGATCGCTTTCTTCGGGTGTTTTGTTTTCATTTTTTTCCTTTTTTCCTTTTTTACTGTCATACAGACATCCGTTTACTCTTATCATACTGCTCGCGATCGTTCCAATCGAATGAGAGTAAAGTATACATTTTGCAACGACGAATTTTGCCCGTATCTCGTGTATCGCGGGGAAAATCGCATCGCAAATATTCGCGGGCATTGCTCCTTTCGTATATAGTTTCTCGTCTCGATTGTCGTGAGCCCGACATGATCTCGGTGTTGGGAACTCGCCTGAACATTTGCGCTACCATTTTCGAATAAAACGTTGTAGGTCTGTCGTAGGTCGGTTTGATTGATCTCCTTTAGCTACCGTTGCTAATGATATTGTATATCGCACGAGTACATTTACATTTTTCGGATTAATTGAACAGTATTTCTCATGTTTCTCATTCTTCTTCTTCTTCTTCTTCTTCTTCTTCTTCTTTTCCTCCTTCCTCTTCTTCTTCTTCCTCTTCTTCCTCTTCTTCTTCTTCAGTGGTTACTTATGTCTCATATCGGCAAGTGCGCGGTATATCGACAGGAAGAAGATCTCTTTACAACACCGCATTACTATCGATACCTAAGCGTTTCGGTTACCTCGAGCTTTCTCCTCTCGTTCTACGGATATAATTTATTTATTTGTTTTCCCACTATATGATATTCATGCACGCTCCTCGATTCGACGGCTGAGTACGTTTCGTTAAGGCGTGATGGTTACGTTCGGTTCCGTCGCACAAGAAGTGGAATATATTTTCGAATTATATTAATATACTTTCATGTCACACACGCGCGCTAATCCCGTAGAATATATTCCACGTATCGGAGCGGAGGTGCGGCATTTTGCTTTCACTCGCGAGCGATCGCGCGAACAGAATGAGGGAAGTTTTCACTTTTTTTTTCTTTTTCTTTTTACGCGATCATACGTAGGACGTAAGCGCGACGGTGAACGCGACATAAAAGTCATTTTTTCTTTTAATTTGGTCCCATCATAGGTACAGGATGTCCGGCACGAATTTATCTCGAATTAACTGGTCGATCAACTAGACACAAGCAGATAGATACAAGTACGTGTTAAGAACCTGCAAAACGTCGCGCAAATACTTCATTAGAATGCGTTAGACAGTGCAGGATGAAAAGCGCGAAATGAGATTCCGACTCGAGGCTGACGTATCACGAAGCGGACCAAGTCAAATATGAATGAACGTCAGTTGATACGTACCACGCATTGAGAAATGCGTGGTAAAGCATGATACGTAAAAATATCATCTTAATTGATAATCAGTACGTAGAGAAAATTTAATTGACGATTTCGTGGCTGTAAAGCGAAAGTATCAGTCAAAGGTGGCGCGAAAACCTGCTGAGAGACGTTCCGACGCAGATTCTTAACATGAACCACCGTGCATCCCCCTTCGCAATTATTTTCCAGAATTGGAAGAATGTTCAACCTGTCGGCTTCTCGGCTTCCTACGCTCGCAGCGTTCACTTTTATTTGATCGTTTCTCCGCGCGTCAATACGTACTCACCTAAGGATTCTACTAAATAACTTGCTTTCTTCGTCGCGCGTATTCGTCTTTCTCCGTTACACGAGTATTATACATATATATACGTACACACACACACACACACATATATATGTGTGTGTGTGTGTGTATATATATGTACATACAATCGCTCTTCGGCATGTACAACGCCGACGATATCTAACAACAGTGATGGAAGATGCCGATCGCATACGGATCGTCTCGGCACGATTTCTCTTTTGATTATATCTTCCTTTTGGCATACGAGACGCGATGTATCGTGCTGCTTTGATTCTCGATAAGGCGAGAGAACTCGACGAGAATCCCCGACGCGTCCCCGATCCTCTGGAAGGCACAATCTCGACGAACGTTCGCAGTTTGTCGGGACGTTTCGTACGCCAACATCGATCCCCGACAGCTTTCGCTAATCGATGCACTCGCATTCGTTACGCGTGACGCGCGTATCCCGCTTCATCCTTCTCGACGCGGCGCTGCGGGTGCTGACGAAGATTTTGTCACGGCGGGAAGTTCAGAGATTGAAGAGCCGACGTAATCTCGACGAGCTCGATTTCGTCGCAAATACGTCGCGGGTATACGCGGAGATTACTCTCGCGCGTGTCTTCAACGTGGCAACGTTCGAGTTCACTGCAATTACGTCGGTTCCGTAAGATAAACTTCTCATTAACACACGCAACACGGAATATACGGATAGTTGCTTGCTACATACCAAAATTTTCTACACATAAAAAAATCGATTACGTCACAATCGCGGCTTCCTCTCTACTATCGGAAGAGTGATATATCGCAGTGTGTGACCTCGTCGCAAACCATCGCGCGTCGGAAAGCTACGGGGACCGCTTTAGCCTAAACGAGACAAGGACATTGTCCTACCGAAGTCGATCTATAACGGTATTCCGCTGTCGTATCGGTGACACTTGCCAGTGTACTTTGATCACCCAAAAACATAGTCTACGCTCATGGCGATAACAAATCAGAATGAGACTCGTTTGCTTCTCCTCCGAATAGTCGAAAAATATGAATTCCCTCCCCCGGGTCAATTTATCGCGATTATTTAGATAGCTCTTTTAGATAGCTTTTAACGGCGAATTTCTCAATAATGCAAAGACACACCGGCAAGCGTCTGCCGACTAAGCGCACGATACCGCACAGATGGACTCGCTTAAATTTCGCTACCTATAGCACCTACGTGTGGACTGTGCCATCGCGGCACCGTCACCGGCTGTCTGCAATACGACGCACCGACGACGCCGTCGCCGACGGCGAACGTCGCCTGGTCCTCGTGGTCGAAGGTCCTTTCGGCGCTCGTGGTAGCCGCGGTCGCCGCAGTGGCTGCAGTCGCGGCTCTAGCCGCGACTGCAGCAGTCGCGGCCATAGCCGCGACCGTAATCGTCGCGGTGTTTCTCGTCATGTCCAACAGCGGCGGTCGTTCCCTACTTACGTCGCCGCTATCCACTTCGCCGATGTCGCCTCTGCCTCCACCACCACCGCCGTCGCCGCTGCCGTTCTCGCCCACCATGTTCACGAAGAACTCCGACCTGGAGAACCTGCCGATCTCCGTCGAGCCGAAGGCCTGATGAAAGCCAGGAAGCGGCTGCTTCGCTACGGGCTTCTTCTTCAGCTCCAAGCGCTCAGCTGAGCGCCAAGGTTGGCGCTCCTTCTCGCGGGAAAGCGCGCTTTCCTGTGGCTGAAGTCGATGCTGCTTTGTAAATCTCACGGTATGACAGTGTTACGCGATGCGGACGAATACTTGATGCGCGAAAGAGGAAGCTCTCTTTCTCTCGCGGAGCTCTTACCATGGAGGTTGGCACGAGTTCATTCAGAGATACCTCAGTGGTGACGGTACTCGGCTCCCATCGTCTGGTCCCGCCGTCCTCCTCGCGGCGATTCATCGTCGTCGTCGAGTCTATGACGGAATCCACCGCCGACTCCAACAGCCTCGGCATCTGCATCGCATTAATTCTTCATTGAGTCTTTCACCTTCAGCCTGACGTAATGCGATTTTCCGGGATTATGGCCGGAAGATGGCACTATCTCGCATCATTCTAATTTATGGCTCGTCTTGGTCATTTGTACGACTACAAAGTACCTACCTGATGCTCCGCCGGTGGATAAGACGCACGAATACTTTCGACGTCCAGCTTGCTCGGAGCGTAGCCCATTCGCGACGCGTCCTCCGTGAAGGCGCAGTGCCTGGTCGCCGGTCGATCTCGCAGGAAAATGGCATGTCGCGGGCCCCGGATCGCCGCATTGCGAGTCATGGCGGGGACATCTGTGAAAAATCGTTCTCTTTCAGACATCTTGCAGGATACGGGACAGTCGCGAAGAAGCGCGCGACTGTCCCGTCTTGAGAAATCGTTACATATTGAAATACGTGATTCGCGCGCGTCCGCCAAGGCCGAGTTTCGAAATCGTGCCGATCGGATGAGTGAGGGAACTCACTCCGCAAGTGCCGCAATCGAGGACTTACGCGGTAGCATACCGTGACAAAATTGGCCCCACGGACCGTGTGTGTGCCCGTGCGCGTTCGTATTCTGAACATTCGGGTGAAGGATGCCGGCCATTTGCGGTGACGGATGAGGCGTCCTTGGATGTGGATGAGGGCTCGCGCTATTCTGCAATCAAGAAGGTCATGCGACTTTCGCAAAACGCGCTAGGAACCGTGAGAAACGTGCTCGTCCGACGCTCGCCACGTGAACTTTCGCCACGTTTCGCCAATCGAGTATCTATTTTCGTATAATCACCTCGATACTCATTACTTCGGTGGACATTCCGAAAGAACGAGTGATAAAGGGAATTTACAGAGTATTTTATACACCTCTACTTAATCGATCGCAAGTCACTCGACGCGGGCATGTTTTCTGCTTTCAACATATTTCGCAAGAATTTCGAGCATGCATTTTCTCGCTTCCGGCAACGTCTACGAGATAATAAACAGCGACGAAGGAGGAGCCTTGATTATATCATTTGACGGATAATTAATAACTTTTCAATTAATCCAGATTTGCTTCGTCGTAAGAAATGAATGAGCCGAGATCAAACCTTCCTTCTCAACGGAAGACCCTTTCTTCGTCGTATAGAATCGCGCATATTACTTGATAAGGGTGCCACTTCTGGCCGTCGACAAAGTCGGCGTATTCCGCCGCGGACTCCTGCCTGCGAATCTCCCTCTCGCCGGCTGCAAAGTCCGGCGAGTGGCCGTTGGAGGAGAACGCAGCGGCACAGTCCGCCGCCTGACTCCTTTGGTCCTTGATGGAAGTCTTGTCGAGGCCGCGCTGTTGCTGCTGCTGCTGCTGCTGGTGCATCGTACCCATCGCCTGCAGTCTCTCGATGGGATCGCCGTCAATGCTGTCGTACCAATCGCCGATCCGCGACGAATGGACGGGCTTGGGGCGATGCGTCGCTTGGAACCAGGCCTCGGTCGCTCGATGAGGAGGACCTATGCCGGGTCCCATGGGCACAGACGGCACCGCCGCCGGCACGCAGTCGAAGGTACGATGATGCTGGCTCAGAAAGCCGCCGGTCAACGACGCAGATACGGCGGGGGGGCCGCCGATCGCGGCGGTGCGGGCGTTCGCGATCGCGATCGCGCTCTGCAGGATCGAACGCCGCGAACGTTCGCGGCTCTGCTCGCGGCTCTGCTCGCGCATCGCCTTCCGCAGCCTCGCCTCCTTCGGATTGTACACGTAATCTGCGAAGTGACGTGTGTGCAAATTTTATCGATATCGTGTGTGTGTATGTGTGTGTGTGTGTGTCTGCCTGACGGCAGAATTTTCTCTCGACAAATTCGCGCGTGTGATCGAAATACCAGCAAGGCAAAGTTATAATTAGCACTCTGTACACCCCCGAGTTCTGTATCTGCCGCTAAATTTCAAACAGCTTAACCGTCGTGCGAACGACCCTTCTCGGCGTCTTATCGACGTCTTTCATCGCGCGTGTGTGCATGCTTGTCGAGTCGGATTGAATCGTCGCTGTGCGGGACGACAGGAAAGAGCGAGCGACGAGCGCTCGCGGAAACTATGCAATTCTCTACTAATTCTTGACACGGGACACGCAATATCTACAGCGAAATGGGCTGATCTATGAGCTATCGGGCGTGTGCAAATCGGCGAGTCATGCATATGCATTCGCGGCGGTCTACCTGTCGGGTAGGTGGTTGGTATCGCCCCGTTGTATCGAGCGTTGATCTCGATCGCGTTGGAGATCGGCGCGGCGTCGTAGCCGGCGTAAGCAGCGTTACCATTGTCGTAACAAAAGTACTGCTGCTGCTGCTGCTGCTGCTGCTGCTGCTGCTGCTGTTGCTGCTGCTGCTGCTGCTGCTGCTGCTGCTGCTGCTGGTAAAAGTGACCACCTGCCGAGTAAGCCTCGACGTAATTGCAGCAGTCCATCTCTGCTGCGACCTCGCTGCGCGCGACCGATCTGTGTGGATCCGCTCTGCTAGCGCGACGCACTTCTCCCGCTTACGCTACGTCTCCCTCGTCGCGCGTTCCCGGCATCGCGCGAGACTCGAATCTACCTCGGCTCGGTGTACGAACGAACAAGCGCGAACGCTCAACCGGACCTCTGATAGACGCGCATGCAGCCTCGCTGATATCACTTCGATTTTCCCACGATGATCGATTTCCCCCCGAGACCTGTACGTCTCATGGTCTCAACGAGCGGCGAATCTCCCTTCAGACTCGATCAGCCGGCGGTCTCAAGCGACTTTTGTCTCGCGTACACGTTCCATCCGCATCCGGTCGTCCCGCATCGTCAACACGCATCTTTCCGTTTCCGCGTCCAAAGTCTTGGCGGGCGTTACGCGCGAGTCGACCTGACTGGCGCGCGTTTGGCGCCTCACGTGAACGTAAACACCGATCACACGTGCGCGGATTCTCCTCCGTCGTGCCGTGAGTCGCACTCTTCTTGGCGTGAGTCCTCCTCAGATGCGCGTGTCACAGCTCGCGCGAATCTGAACGTCGACGGGCGCGCGCGGGAAATGAACGGGACCGCGGCGATCCTATCGCCGAATCGCGTTCTCCGGCAGTCAGAAAGACAGAGACAGAGAGCGAGCGAGAGAGAGAGAGAGAGAAAGAGGGAGAGAGAGAGAGAGAGAGAGAGAGAGGGAGACAGAGAAAAGGGGAGAGAAAGAGAGAAAACCCGATCGATTTCCCGATTTCGCGGGTCCACGTCTCTCGCGCCTCGCTCTCGCGAACGTAAACACCGCCCGCGCGCGCGACCGCGCAGTGCAGCGGCTCTCCGCTCTCTCTCTCTCTCTCTCTCTCTCTCTCTCGGTGCTCTCACGCGTTCTGTTCTCGCGTCTCCAACCCGTTCCGGGTTCTCCCCTCGCGTCTTCGTCCTCACTGCGAGGTCGCCGGACGTGGGAGGGCTGTGCAAGTTGCGGAGGATGCGTCGGGAGGTGTTCGATCGGCCTGCCGCATTCCGTCGGGAAGACCCAGCGTTCGCGGTGCCGTTTCTCGCGGCGTCATCGTCACCGGCGACGTCGCCGACGTTGACCTCTTCCTCATCGTCGCCGACCTCATCGTCCACCTCGTCGTCATCGCCATTGACTTCGTCGTCTTCTTCGTTATCATCGCGCTCTTCGGCAAAGAGAGAAATCAACGGCCGACGGACGTGCTAGTCATCGTCATCCAGTCGTGTTCGCTCAGAGTGAATCGCCACGCGCTCGTCGGCGAGTTGCCGCGGCTCCGCATGCGGTCGACGCGGTCCGGCGTGTGCGACGGGCCGCGCCATGCTCGCTGCAGCCGCGGCGGCGAGATCGATGACAGAAGCTGCGCACCTCCTGCACCTCTCGTGCACCTGCTGCACCTGCTACTTGCTTGCCCCTGTCCGCCGACGAGCTAACGTGGTCTGTCGTCCCCTTGTTGACACTCTTCCTCGTGCGACGGATCCGGGTGGCTCTCTCGGCGCTCTCTCGTTGATTCTGCCGATGCGGCCGACGCCGATCGATCTCGGTGAGATCTCTCGCGGACAACTCGATGTCTCGTTGAACGATGTGAGAATCGTACGGGGATGTAAAATCTGCGGCAAAGTTTGCCACTCTCCGATGTCTCTTCTCTTTTTCTCTCTCTTTCTCCTTCTCTTTCTCTCTCTCTCTCTCTCTCTCTCTCTCTCTCTCTCTCTCTCTTCCTCTCTCTCCCTTTCTCTCTTTCTATCTTTCCCTTCCTCTCTCTTCCTCTCTCCGTTTACACCCGCTAATTTCGCTCCCGCTGTTAATTAGTCACTTGACCTAGTCTACGCGGCACATCGATCAATCAGTCTTGGACGGTTCTGCCGTCTAATTTCCGCGCGATGTTCCTTATCCTCGCTTTAACCCGGCTTTAACCGCGTTTCCTTCGGTGATCTAAATCGATCTAGAAGTCATTGAGCGCTACAATTCTCCATCTTTCTCTCTCTCTCTCTCTCTCTCACGAGTAGTGTACTACTTATCTGTCTCGCGAAAGATACAGCTATCTATTTACACCGCTATCACAAGAATTTCGCGCGTCTATCACCGAGCTGTAAAGTGAACGAGCGCACTTCCGGAGTTCAGTTCCGGAGCGTTTCGCGCTCCGACCGTTTTACATAATTACAACGTCTCACCCCTGACTCTCGCTCTCGGTGCGCACGGCGACCTATTTACCCGTCTGTTTCCCACTGTCTGTCACGTCGCGCCGCTGTTACTTGCGCGGAGAGAGGAGAATGAACGAACGAACGAACTAACGAACGAACGAACGAACGAACGCGAACGCAAGCGGGTGGACGGGCGGGCGAGCGAGCGGACGCACGCGCGCGCGCGCGTGCCGCAGGCGGGAACGGCGGGCCGCACACGGGAGACCCGCGTCCTTCCCTCACGGTGCACTCCGATCGCACTGATTTCACCCCGTGGCGACGGCGGTGGAGGCAGCGGCGACGGCGGCAGCGGCGCCGCGACGAATTTACGTGCGTTTCGTCATCGACGAGCTGGAGTGGCGCGAAAGGGGCTGCACGAGCGGAGGGTGCTTTTCCCACCCTCTCGCAGGCGTCGCGAGGTGCGTCAGGACGCGGCAGGGTGGAGAGGAAGAGGAGAAGGAGGAGAAGGGGAGGAGGCAGTGGTGGATTTACCGATAAACAGTCGTCGTTAAAAGCTGCGTCTGTCGAAGAATGCCACATCATCCTGCGCGTCTGTAGCCGTAGATTTTTGCCGTGAGGCTCATAATCGCAGCAACAAGCAGTCGCGGAGAATGAAACGACGACTCGTGAACGTCGAAACGTCTCGCTGAACTGGGGCGGAAAATGCCTTGTAATTAGAATAATTAGCATTAAATCACGCCGCAGCAGGATTATGGTGCCGCTTGGGGTTCCCCGAGCTTTGAATCCGCCACTGAGAACAAGAGGTGGAGGAGGAGGAGGAGGAGGAGGAGGAGGAGGAGGAGGAGGAGGAGGAGGAGGAGGAGAGTCGAGAGAGGCGCCGGCAGGATTCTCTCCTCTTCTCTTCCACCGTCGTCATTGGCCTCTTCAACGGCTTCAAGCCGCGGCTTTCTCGTGCAACGCTCCTCGCATCGGCGAGAATCCCTCCGCGAGCTCACGGTGTTCGGCCTCGCGAGTCGATAATTCGTCTCTTCTTCGCGTTCGCACGCCGGCCGCGTCGGACTCGTGACGCCGTCGCGACGGATGTTCCGCACGACGCGGGAGGATCGCGATCCGGAGCGCGTCGAGCGGGTCGAAGAGGATTAACTTGGCCGAGGAGTGAAGCTATATTGCATTAGGCGAGCAGGTGCTTCGGCGAGTACGTCTTCCGCGTTCATGTCGTGAAAACGAGACTTGGCTCAAAGTTATGATTCGTTTCACGCGACTCCTCTCTCTCTCTCTCTTTCTCTCTCTCTCTCTCTCTCTCTGCTTATCCGAGCAGGTCGCGATCTCGCGGATCGCGATCCCGATCAGCCTGACACGCTATCGTCTCGCGGTGCACCCTGCAACCTGGTTGCGAGCAATTACGCACGTCGGCGCGACGACGCGTCTCGTCGCATGTGCGACCGATTAATCGCGTCGCTGAGCGCCGCCGATTAAATATTCTCCCATTATCGTCCACTGATCCGCGCGCACGAAGGGCGATACGCGCATCGGCGGCCGCACGAACGAGCGAGAGAGAGAGAAAGAGAGAGAGAGAGAGAGAGAGAGAGAGAGAGAGAGAGAGAGAGAGAGAGAGAGAGAGAGAGAGAGAGAGAGAGAGCCTCTATCCTCCGCGCCCGTTCTTTCTCTCTGCCTCTCCCTTTCTCTCTTCTTCTCTCCCTTTAGCCCCGCGTGCCCAGCACCCCCGTGTCTCTTTCCCTCTCGTTCCTCGCTCGCATCGGCACGTCGGTGGATCGATGACCGGCGATCAGCCCGGTGCACGCCGCGATACTCCTCCGCGTACCATCGGCTCGTCGTGCCGCCTGGATGCAGGGGCCTCGACATTTTGACGGCTTCTCTCGGCGCGACCTACTGCGCGCCACCCTCTCTTTTCCCCTATCCCACTCCTCTCGCCGCTTTTCGCCCCTTTCACTCGTCGCTGCTACCGCCGCTGCCGCCGCCGCTGCCGCCGTCGCCGCCGCCGCCGCTACCCCTAGGCGCCAACCGCCCCCGTAGCACGCGCGCAGATGCACATGAATTCGGTCGACGCGCCGTCGATGCCCGACGGCGCAGGGCGCATCGATGCGGTCTCGCCGCTTCCCGGTGATCTTAATTGACCACTCGGGACGCCCGGCTGAAATTGGCATCGATTACATTATCGGCGGCCGCGCGCGGTTGAAAACGAGGACGGGAAAACTGCGCGGCCCGACGCCCGTCGTCAAGCGAGCCGTTTCAGCCGCTGCCGAGAGGCGATGAAACGTGAAAGCGGGATGTAAAGGACGTAAATTTCGACGTTACCACGCGTAATGAAGCGTAATGAGGTAACGAGATGATTAGCGAAATTCGGAGGAGGAAAATTCTGCGAACCGAAACGAGCCGGGGCCGCTCGGTAATCGAGTTCTCGCGGCGTTCTCGCGCAACATTTTTTCAATTAACATTGCCCGCGGCCATCGACGATTTAATTGCGGGGATACCACAGTCGTCTGCCCCAGTTGCCCGAGATAACAGTTTGCGTTTGCACGAGTGTAGAGTTTGATCATTCAATGGCCACTCTTCGGACAACTCGAACCGTCAATTAGAAAGAATAAATGCCGATCACGCGCGATCGACGAGACATTATACGCGCCTCGATGCACACTGCGTAAAAAGTGAAATAACAGAAATCCGGATGAATCGCCTCATCACGAGCGCCATGCGCGTACGCGCGCGTGCATGCGCATGTACGCGATGAAACAATAATTTGCGGTTGGAAAAAGGTTCGCAAATTATTACGAAGAAACGTTAGAATCCGAACCGGCTGCGAGAGGCACGGACAAAAATAATACGTATCGATCTAACGGCTCAACTATCTTTACTTTCCCTTCAGCGCGCTGCGCAACTATATAATAACTTCAATCAATTGATCGTCCCGAGTACTTTTCCAAGAAAAAGAGAGAGAGAGAGAGAGAGAGAGAGAGAGCTCTTGAGAAACGCCCAAGGAAAGATGCTCAAGGAGGTAAAACAATAACAAACAACAATCTGCATTCCACGTCGTGTATCCCAAAAAGAAAAAAACCCACCTCTTTTCATGAGCGAACGTTCGATTGCGAGATCGCCGGTTCCGACGGAGACCGTTATCGCGATGACTCCCGCGAGTCGCGAAAGGAGCGTGATCGGCGAAAAATCGAACAGCGCGTCCCGTTCATCGATCGAAAGTTAGAGACTAGTCTGGAGAGAGGGGGAGGGGGGAGAGAGAGAGAGAGAGAGAGAGAGAGAGAGAAAACACCGTGACGTCGAGCGAGCAGCGGCATAGCACGCGGTACACGCCTGTACGCGCTCGCACAGCGTAGCGGGCGTGCGACGTTCTCTCGCGCACGAATGCTCAGCAACGCGGGATATACGAAGCATAATCGCGCGCTCGCTCGGCCTCGGTGGGTGTAGGCAGTAGGTAGGTAGGTAGAGCCGGCGGTCGTGTATCGGGCAGGTTCCTAGAGTCGCGTCGCAATCAATACCTCCGGTCTCTCTCTCCGCCGTTCCCACCCGCGCGTTCTCCCCGCGTCACTCACCCGAGAATATTTCTCCGCTCGCCACCCTGTACCTCGACCCGCAAAACTCGCATCCTCCCGCGTCCTCCTCATCTTCCTCCCCCGCCGCCATCCCGTGAATCACTCAAACCTGTCGTCGTCGTCATTGTCATTGTCGTCGTCGTCGTCGTCGTCGTCGTTGTCGTCGTTGGCGACCTACAATCGTTAATTCGGGAGACCGGCGACACCGCTCCCCGATTTTCGCTCGATTTCCATCCCCTGCCGTTGTCGATTCCGATAAAACTCCGGAAGATGTGAAATTCGCTAGGTCGGAAGGGGATACTTCCCCCCGTGGCGTCGACGCGGATTCGTCGCGCTGATATTAACTGGCGGCGGCGGTGACGGCGCGTGTAAACGCGGATTTTCGGGTGTATCACGAGCGACGAAACGTTGCGTTACGTGGACGTCGGCGGTGTTGACGCGGGCGCGAGCGCGGTTCGTGCACCCGTGGAATCAAGGACGATCGTCGTGCGGGGGTGGATCGTCAGCGCCAGTGAGCTGGCTTCTCGCTTTTCGTCGGCTGATAACGCGGGCCGGCTTATCGCCGGCGATCGATATTATCTAATCCAGTCGGACTATTTATAGACCCGTGGCCCGACACTCGGAGACGTCGTTCACGTGACGCGAAAGTAACAGGATTTTCTAATTTAAGCCGAGCCGGATTCCGGCCTCTCGACGGAGCACGAGGCATTCACGGCGTTTACCGACGTGTCGTTCTCCCTCAACCCCTTCGAATCGCTCCTGTTATCCTCCGCATTCGATCAGTCCATGCGAGAGGATACCGCGACGCATCCCGTCGCATACCGCGAACAAGCGCGTAGTGCGCTTTGAATCGAGAAATCTCGAAAACTGCGGATCAGCTGGTTGTATGAAAACCAGGTCGGAGGAAAGTACCGCTCTAGGACGTACCGGGATATTTTCTCTTGTGCTCCGCGTCCACCTCGCGCGCCAGTGCGAAATACTTCTCCTTCACGTCCTTCGGCATGTTCTTCCAGCAGATGCCCAGCCTGGAGGAATAGAGAGAGATGTTCCTTATTTCATATCACAACATAATAACATCAAATTGGAGTAAACTCGCGAGCTAATTTTGTTCCTTTAAATAATACGCGCGACGAATGCAACAAGTCTCGCGAATTCGCGAGGATCTTTGGAAATGCGCGAATTTCCCTTGAAATTGTCCGTCGCAACTTTTCTTGAGACTCGTGAGAGAGTTTCTTCATTCAGATCGACGAGATGGACTCTAACAAAAAAAAGAAAGATCGCCGCTTTTTCGAACACTAGCCTGACACTGATGTCCTTGTTCGACTCCCGAGGATTCTCAGCGGCGAGTTTCTTTCGCCACTCGTTGGCGAAGAGCATGAAGGCGTTCGCCGGCCTCGGCGGCCTCGGCGATCGATTCGCCCGCGTCCGCTGCTGCAGCGGGAAAATCTTGTCCGCCTCGCGGTTGCCACGCGATAGCTTCGACTCGCCGGGAATGCGCTTTTCCACCGCGTTCTCCTTGTCGTCGTCGTCGTTGTCGTCGTCGTCGTCGTCGTCGTCGTTTTCATCCATCGAAGAATACACGGGGAAGGTAGTGCCGTCGTGCCGGTCAACGTCATCGATCTGCCTCTTCACCGAATTCTTGCCAGCAACGGCCGTCTCGGTTTCCGCGGCTGACACCACCACGATGATTTTCCCGCCGCTCACGTCGTCGTGGATACGCAGCTTCTCCTTACGAATCTCGCTCGCTTCATCTGGTGGACCGAACATATCGTGTGAATAATGTCTTTCTTTCGCAGAGTGTCTCTGCGGAAGAATCCTCCGCGGAATTTTACAAATTCTCACACATCGTTGTGAGAATAATAAAATATTATCAGCCTCTCACCGGATCATTGTGTATCTCGAAATATTTCTATCTCGGCAAAATCTTGTTCGACGCGAACGATTGGGAGTGTCTCTGACTATAAAATTGCACAAGTTTGCGCATGAAGGAGCGACGCGATATTTTCGCAACGTTTCGTCTGTCGTGAGCGTTTCCCTCACGAGCGATTGTCGCGTCATGAATGTTTTAGGAGGCTAACTACCGTTTCCATGCCCTCACCTTTCTCTCCGGAGCTCGGGACTAGTTCGCGAACCTCCATAGCGATGACAACTCGTCGCGATCGGGCTCCTCGTTGGGCACGAACCCGGCCGTTGCAACGAATCGGTGTGTATTGTTATACACGTTTAATAATGCCCCTGAGCTACTCGATAATGGCGAGATGTGACATACGAGCGCGATAGATGTTCCGTTGTCGTGAGCGCTGCGCCGGTTGTTGAAAACACGTGAGAACTCATCGCCGCGCAACGATGAGCCGATCGTCTTCTTTCCGAGCCTTCTGTCGCCTAATGACAGGCGCGACGCCACGTTCAGGAGAGAAGTGAAGGGACAAATTCGCCGCGGGCAATCCGCGACTCGCGTAAACGTCATCTCGCGAAAAGCTCGGCATTGTTCCCCGACACACCTTCGCGTCGGCTCGCGGTTTTGCGAGTTCCGAGGCGCGAGTCTCGATATGAATGCGTTACGCGAGAGATGCGCGTGCACCGAGTACGGTGTGAACTATTACAAAGTGCTGTCGTTGGCGAGAAATTGCAACGACGCGGAGATCAAAGACGCGTAAGTGAGGCTTTCTCCTTAAGGACCAGACGATTAGCGCCCGATAATTCCCGATGGCTCTATAAACGTACAATATCTAAAATCGCTCTTTTCGCGATCTCATCGATTTCATGAAATTTAACAACACCTCTCTCCGTCTCTCGGTGTATTGAAATACCGTATCGGGCGTACGTGCTACGAAAAGAAGTCTAATCGTGAAGAGGCGAGATACATCGTGTCGTGCGATAAAGTAGCGCGGTGATTTTTCTTTTTTTCTCTCTCTTTCTCTTTCAGATACCGACGATGCGCCACACGATACAACCCCGCGCAGCAAAAGAACGAAGGTGCCGAGGCGATTTTCGCCTTAGCAGCTGAAGCGTACGACGTGCTCTCGGATCCTCTTAGAAGGGCCGTGTATGATCAATACGGTGAAGAGGGTCTTAAAAATGGTGTGCCGGGACCAGAAGTATTTGCGCAGCCTTACGTCTATCACGGCGAGCCGATGCGGACCTTCAGGTGGAAGGGAAAATTATACAGCCATTGAGCTTTCCGCACGATGATATAGCGGCGGGACGTTTTATAAATTCGGTCCCTCATCACGCGCGTCTCCGTAACCTTTTGCCGTACGAGTATCTAGTTTGGCACACGCGCGGTGCTATGGCGAAGGAAAGTCATTCGCGAATTCGCGAGGACAAAGAGACATCTTAACTCGTGATTTTCATGTTTGGCCCATAATCCGTACCACGAGTCTGGCTCGTGATTTTCCGCCAAAAATGCTCTCTCGGTGCTGCTCTAAAAAGACAAACGTCCATCGCTAATTTTGCCAGGGAGTTCTTCGTCGATGAAAATCCGTACGAAGATCTCTTGAATATCCTGACGGAGCCACAACCCCTGCTGGAATTCCTCGAAGGTCGAGGGAGAAAACGGAAGGAGGAACCCTGGATCAAAACCCTGTCTCTAACTCTATCGGAGGTACTTTTGCACTTTTGATCATTAATCGTTCTTTCTTCCTTTTGCACCTTGATGTATCGCATCTCTTTCTGTTTTATTTATACAAAATTCTTCGCGGTTGCCTCCGTAAATGTCTTTTGCGCGAATTATTCCGCGCGTATTATCTCATCGTTGACAATTCCGTCAAATTTTGAGACTCGAGGGTTAAATCAAATGAATTAAATATGTGACACATGCGTACGCGAGCTTTGTTGGACGACAAAGAGATGTGCAATCGCGCAGCGGGCAACAGAGAACGTTTTTCGTCACAGGTCTTTTTCGGTGGAATAAAAAAGATGAAGGTCCAGAAGTTGGTCTTAGTCGGCAACGATATGTCGATGACGGTGCCGACGGAGAAGATCTTGACGATACCCATTAAGCCGGGAATCCCAGCGGGTACTAGAATAGTATTTCCAGAAGAGGGTGATCAGGGAGCCACGAAGATACCCGGTAAGTCCTACCAGCGTCTCCTTGACCTCTCTTGAGCTTGGCTTACGATCGTAACCGCTTGATCGCTCGCGAGAGCGTTACTGTAATTGCGATAATAAAACAGTCGAATTCTTCCTCCCCTTCGTTCGCTAGGGCGGTTTAACTTCGTGGCGTCGTGCTTTCGACGTGATTTCACTTTAATTATAGATCAATCGGTGTGAGTTTTCAGGAAGATGAAATTTAATTTTCTTGCCTCTCCTTCGTGGATAATTAAACTTCGCGCTCTTCCTCCTCTTCCTCCTCAGTAATCCGCGAAAGCAACCTGAAAATTAATCAGCGTGACGTCAATACTTGACCATGTTTTCTACTTGTGGCTGTCTGACTTCTGAAAATCTCTAACAGAACTCTCTTATTTCGATAATATCAGAATTTCCGTCAAAGTACTAGATGAATTTTATTTTTTCGTGCGTAATCGGTTGAAAAGTTAGTTATCATAACTTTTGAAGTTGGTCGCGATAACTAATCTGTGATCGCCATCGCACGGCTGTGATGCGAGTGATTCGCCGAATAAGAACTTAAAGCTAATTGTAACGAGACAGCTGATATCTTCACTAAGTCCAAGACACGTCAGCGCAGCGGATGTTATCTTCGTCACGGAGGATCGGCCTCACGAAACGTTTCGGCGAGAGGACTCGGACTTGCACACGACGGTCGATATCTTTCTGAGGGAAGCGCTGACCGGAACAGTGATCACGCTTAACACCATCGACGACAGGACTCTTCGGATCCTGATAACGTCGATCATTACGTACGAAAGTCCCTTATTTCGTCCCTTATCGATCAAGTGTCGGAACTTGCAACTCCTTAGCGTGAATACGTGACGTTAATTAATTCGTAGCCAACGTCGCAGCCAAAAAATTTTACGAAAATATTCTGCACATGCTTCAACATTTTGTTTTCGCGGACTTTCATAGTATCTCGCAACTCCACATCTTCTGCAATACGATTTTCATTCAATCCTAAAGCAAGTGTCAGTCTTTTTACTTTTTCGATATTTTGCGCTGGACGCAGGAATAACCGGAGCGCAAGAAATTGATCGCAGACAATTCCGACCGAAACCTGAGAAATTGAGGCGCGATCGTTCGACAGCTGAATCGCATCAAATAATCTCGTTTAAGGAAAGATCTTACAATTGTGTTTGATGAACGCTTTAACAAATGTCGGTTTACTTTGACAGTAAACGCGATCAATTCTTCGCTCTCGTTTCAAACTGACGTCGCGGTCGATTAAAGTAACAATTTGATGCGCAAGTTTGCGCGAGATACGTCACTGAAATTTCCGCTGCGGTTTCGCGCATCTTGCAGGCCGGACTATACGAAACGAGTGCTGGGCGAGGGTATGCCACTACTAGCGAATCCGCGACGGAGGGGCGATCTGATTCTACGGTTCAACGTCGAGTTTCCGGTTTACCTACCATTGTCTAAAAAGAACCACATTAGGAAAGCCTTCGAGGTGTCTCGCGCGCCTAGCGTCGAGGATGCCGAGTACATTCATCGCCTGCTGCTGGCCGATAAAATGCGCAGAAATGTCGACGACGACGTGCCGCTCCGACGCGGCGCGAACGACGAGGCGGATCAATTGAAATTCATATGCGAAACGTAATTTCGAGAGCGTATCTCCCAAGCGTACATATTTCACGCGTTATTTGATATGCATATTGACTAGATGTCGCCCGTCATGACATTTCTCGACGTCATAAACTCCACGAGAAATTATCAGGATAAAAGCGGCACGAATATTACCGCCTGCGTACGCGCTAGCGCGCGATCGATTATTTCATCACAATGCATAATCAGTAGTTACGGCTCAACTATTGTAAAATGTAAATGTTGACGGCGATTAACGCGATCAATCCGACGATATTGCGAATGCAAATATAAAAGCGGCGCCGCTGCAACAATACACGCGTTCCGATGCGTGCGGTAAATCATTTTCACGCGTGCACATTTAATCCCGCGTGTTCGTTCACGCCGATGTTTTATTATTTATTCCCCCGGCGAATATTCACGTCCTTGGCGCTCGCCGTATCGAATCGAAACGCTGAAAAATCATTTGCGCGAGCGCGAACGAGACATGCTTCGACATGCGTATTTCCTCGTCCCTGACGTCATAGTCCGAAATAGCTGATGCTGCTGGTACCATTGACCCTTTAACACGCGCATGAAACACACCGACGATCGTCGGAGGAAGCGTCGCGTCATCAAAGCGCCCGCCAACTTTCGTGTCCCGTTGTAACGGGTGTCTCCATCTTACGGGATCTACCGCCGATGATTCCGTCGCGATGATCTAGACGCCGAGAAACCTTCAGTCGGTACTCGCTGATTTCTCACGAGAGACTCGTAATTTTCCATGCGATCGCGCATGGGAAAATCGCGCACGTGACAGGTGTCAAGGGAAATCCGGACGTGTTTGACACCGGACGCACTCCGAAAAGCGTGCCATAGTGGCGGATCGACGAAAAGCAGCGCGGGCCTAAAAGCGGCCTCGACCGTGTGTCAGCCGGAGCGACGACTGTGATCGAGCTATTATCTCGGGCAATCATATGACTCCTCCGCACGTGACTTTATTTACAGTTGACTTACACTCGCGAGAACATGTATGGTGCAGTTCCCCGTGACATGATAGACCGCGAGAGATACAAGTCCGGCGTGCGGCGATGCGGCAGCTATAGTCGACGGCCGTGGTTTTATGATGCCGTTGCTCGATAAACTGCTACCCACGAGGAAAAGTTCACGCGACGGTGCCGAGAGCTTGGTGCGGTCTAGTGCACGAACATCAGCTGAGAATGACGGGTGAGAGAGAGAGAGAGAGAGAGAGAGAGAAAGAGAGGGAGAGAGAGAGAGAGAGAGAGAGAGAGAGAGAGAGAGAGAGCATGCGATGAGCGCGGCTCCATTTCGGAGCGCGTTCGCTCCTTCTTATCGCCGTCGCTCATAGACTCTCCAGAGTGGTTCTCGTCGTGTTCCCGTGTTTTGTTCCCTCGTGTTTGCGAGTTTAATATCTTGTGTATCTCGTGGTTCAACGCCGAAAAGAAAGATAGGCTTGGTTTTGGAAAAAAAGGACAAAGCGGAACAAGACGCGTTTAGTTCGCGCCGCTCGGATTGCCGCGATAAAATCAATCATCGCGGAACATAAAAAGTTGCCGGGAAGCGGTTCGAAAACTCGAAATCATTTGGGAAAGGCTAGAACCTCGGTTGACTCCTAACCTACTCCGACGTGATTTCTTGGCACCATTCTCGCGTCGGCGGCAGCCACGATCGATCGCCGCTGTTTTACCAACGCAACCTTGCTGAAGTCGCGCGTTGCGCCATCCGCGCGACTCGAAGCACTCTCGGTCCAGGGAAATACTACAGTGGCTTTATCGGATTTTCTTATATATATATATATAGGCAGATTAATTAAATTAAATTATTAAACTTTATCTCTAATTAGCAAACTTCTCGCTAGTTCTTTAAGTTCATTTTGCAAGCTGCCGTTTAATTTCGTAGAGAAGCAGGGGACAATGACTATTCAAGATAAAATAAATTTTTAAGAAAAATTTTGTTTAAAGTGAGTATAATTTCTAAATTTTTTATGCAATGAAAAAAATTTATTTATGTACGTAAAAATATATATTTATGTATTTGTATCTATATAATTGTGTATATGAAATGCAAATATGTTATTAAAATTACAGACTTTCATGCACACATATATAATGATGTGTTAAATTTACATACTTGCGAAATTTATTATGCCAAACGTTCGACATGCAAATTAAGAGAAAATAAATAAAAAATAATGAATGATCCGTGGTCGACGATTTTTTTTTCTTACAGAGACTTCGTGCTACATCTTGGAGTGGATCAAGTGCGAATTCTGTTATTTCGAGAATGCGAATGGCGCGGCAGAAAGTTGCTGTTCGACTCGATGACATTGCAGAAACAGCGAAGTAAGAGCGAAATTGTGCGCTCGATGACGAGCAACAATGCGGAGGGAAAGTGCAAGGCGCCCTTCAACGTAGGGACTGCTCGCGACTTCGAGGTAATCGTCGTGGCTTCACCTGTCAGCGGCGGTTGAGCGGTCTAGTTGCGGAGTGACAATGCAATCCGGTTAACATTTGGTACAGTCTGCAATAACGACGCTCACTTAACGTTACGTTGAGCGTGAGAACTCTTCATGTTACATTTTGTAACTATTTATTCAATTACTTGTCAAACCATAAAGCGCTTATACAAGATAATATTTGTACGTTCATATGTTTTGTAGATTTGCTCAAATTGCCAAATCTCCGATGTCGCCTATAAAATATACCATCAATCTGTTTCAGTCTGAGAAGATAGCTGAAGATGACGTGAACTTACTGAGCGAGATGGTGTTCGGCACCGTGGCGATGACGTACAGAGGATCGTCTTTCAAGGTAGCTCGACCATCTCCCAATCGTCATTTCAATTGTCAATTGTCTCTCTTCTTCTTTCGAAGGTTCACTCGATGAATTCCCCACCGTGCATCATGTGCACGAAGATCTTCTCGGCCACGGAACACGGAGCGTGCAAACCGAGGTAAGCTGTTTCCGACTGTTTCCATTGCGGAAAAATTCCACCGCGTTTCAACATTTTTCCTCGATCATCTTTGACTCGCCGTTCAATTATCCCGTAGCGAGAGGCTGTCTGACGAGGGATTAGGTCGCTCTGTGCGCGTAGATTCCGCCTCCAGTAACACCAGCACACGCTCTTTTTGTAAGTAGATCGATATGCGATTGCTTTCATTACAAGTGACATAAGGTAGAAATATAAAGATCAACCCCTACAATTCTTCGATTACATGTACTTGAAGACAGAAGATTCGATCAAACAGATCATATAATAATCATAAAATAAAATAAAGACTCAAATCTATAGGTGATAACATTCGGATGAACTTTGATTTATCTCCTATTGCAGTGTCTCAGCCGAGTTCCGGCAACCTGTCTGGCAACGACCTGCATACAACACAGCGCAAAAATTCGACATGTTCGAGTCTTGGCAGCGGTTGGGACATAGACATGGTTGCAACGACGGGTAGTAAGTTTACGTCAACCAGAGTCAGAGCGATATACTGGCAAAGGATCGAATAGAGTACAACACGTCGTAACGCGATGCTGATCTTAGGTTCACAGTCGTTAGAGAGCAACGGATCGTCCGGTGTTGGCAGCCTGTCCAGTCTACGGAGACGATGGCTCAGGGCGATCTCGACCTCCCTCGGGCGATCAGACTCTGATGACGCTTTCGGGATGCAGCACTCGAGCGAAAACGGGAGCGACGGGCGTGACGGACACGCGAAACGTCACAAGACCAGACTGGGTTTAGCGATGTTGGTGCGCTTGGCTCCTGGCCACGAGAGGTATGTGCTTGCTCATGAATCTTATCCAAACAGGCAGCAAGATTTGCAGATATCTATTTAAAGAAAATTAATCTTTTATTGGTTATGGAAGACAAAAGGTAATTCTGCGTAAACGAGAATAATATCACTCACTCGTTACATGCCACGTGCGAAAGAAAGAAATGGAAAGTATTTCCTTTTGTTGAATGAGAAATAATCGTCGAAACGAAAAATGTATTCTTGCCTCAATTTGTGAGACAAATGATAAGAAAGATAATGTTGAGCGAAAATATACGTAATTAGCAGCAACATTGAGACGCGCCTTTTGGAGCACATGGCCCTCTTAGAGGGAATGCTGGATCGCTTGCGCTATTTTTGTATCGAGATCGGCAATGTCCACGGTTCGGGCTGCAAGGGGATGCAGCTGACTGATAGGATATGCAAGGCGACATCGCGATTCGTCGTCTCGTTGTTGCACGCGCTTCTTAACGTCCGGATTGACGCCGGCTCGCGCATTCCTCTGCTCTGGCACGACGTTCTGCTGCACTCCGTGACGGTGAAGATGAACACCGACACTTTGCATCGCACTTTGCAACAGATGTGTGAGTTATTCGACGAGCTCGACACGAAGTCGACAAATTTGTGAGTGTATACGAATACTTCACGCGCCGATCGAACGTATACCCGTATTGATCTTAGTGCGTTTCAGCTTCCTGAGCACTGTGGTGACAGCCGTGTTAACGTACCACCTCGGCTGGGTCTACACCGTGCTGTCATCGCATGATCGTCAAACAGTGAGTATTTATGAAATTTTAGCAAAGCTGAAATAAAAATTAACTAGCCCTAAAAATTATATATATATTATTTCTCCCTATAAAATAAAATATTAAATAATTATAATTCAGTATTAATTGCAAATCAATATTAATTTATTTTACCTTATTTTATGAATAATCTGATAGCAAATCTTTTTTCTACCCCAGTTTGGTAATTACTACGTTAATTTATTAATATGGTAGAACGCAAATTACGCAAGACTCTTGGGATGTATTAAGATTTTCCCAGTGGTCAGTTTCTTCTGAACTGACTGAGATTTTCTTGAGATTTCATCTCCTCCTCAGGTGGAGAAATTGGGCAGCTGGTACTCGTGCAATCCGCTATGGGCACAACTGGGCGATCTGTACGGCGCGTTAGGTAACCCTGTGAAAGTCGCACACACTGTGATCGCGGGCGATCCTCGAAAGAGCGAACTGATCAATTCCGTCTTGTCGTTTCTGTCATACTTTATTCGCAGTAGTATGATACGGAAACGTCGTGAATACCGTTGCTCGTCGCAGCGGGACCTGCAGGAGGCAATCAGCCTGCTGGAACAGGCTCGCAGTAAGCGACCGTACTTGTTCAGTAACAAGAGGCCGACTTGCGCGTTCAACGAACGAGACACGTCGGGCCTCAGACGAGGTGGTGAATCGCGTGTTTTGCCGTCGCGCAAATCGACGATACGATCGTGCGACACCGGAACCGGCGACGTTAACGTGTCACGATCTATCGCTGCGCGATTTCCTGCGGAACGGCCAAGGATCTCGCGATCCGCCAGTCCCTTGAAGCGTAGCGGCACCATGAAATCTGACCTTGACCGGCTGATGACGAAATCGACCGAGACGATGGTTCCAGACCTTAAGTTCCCGACGAAGCAAGAGACCGCATCACGATCACCGCCTCGCGACAACAATAAATACGAATCATTGTTGGATGATCGACCGCCCAAAGATAAGAACGAGAGTCTCGCATCCAGTAAAGTGAAGATAGTTGTAAGCGAGATTGGAGATCCGCAGGAGGATACCGTAGCGAAGGAATATCAGCGAGATTACCTGCAGAGTCCGTTGCAGAGCTTCGAGAAGAAACTGGACGCGCATGTAGACGTCGAAGAGAGTCTCGCGACCGGCAAAACCGAACCTCATCAGCCTAGCAACAATATAGATCCGCTGAAGATGTACTTCAGCCGACCCGAGTACCCGCTAAACATTGAGAGCGGATTTCCTGACGAAGGTAAGGAGTCCTCGCCGCAGGTCTTCTTCACCCTCGGCGGCGAGGACAAGTCTGCGAAGACGTTACCTTCGAGGCCACGGCTTGGTAACAGTTGTCAATGCTCGTACACGTTCACGAGGGTGCCGAGCACGTCGGCACAGCTCCCAGAGGGCGTGCTGCGGAAAATCATCCAACGAAACTTTCCTGAGTCGTCCAAAAGCATACAGCCGCCTCCTGGTACGGCTTCCGGTATGGGCGCGCGATCCATAGGTTTCTGCTTGAGGTGTAACGGTCAAGGATACGCCGCCACACAGGGTTACGACGGCAACAAGCAGGTTCTGGAGACGCCGACGAACGCAACGGAAGTGCTGCGCACGTGCGGCAGCACTTCTGTCGGTGACAGAAACGTAAGGATGTCGCGATCCAACAGCCTGGAGGCTCTGATGGAAGCCAACAGCGTCGTGGAACTGCCAATGCCAAGGTTAGTGGGTGGATTTTTATACTAGAATCATTTGCGGCAAATTTGCAGCTTGGAAAACTCTGTTTCGAACTTTCACATTGAAAATAATTTTTTATTTTAATTTTATAATTCTTTTAAAGAAACCTATTTTGTTTTACTTGAACTGAGGATGGTCCGCTGACGACTACTGTTGCAGATCGAGAAAAGTATCGTCGAGCAAACCTGATTTGACCGAAGAGATGGGTTTCACGAGGACTCTCCTGCAGAACAGGATAACAAACGACGAGACAAACATCCTGGATACGGGATACACGTGGGGTTTGGTACTGCAGGGCGTGATTAAGAAGAAGAAGAGGAGAAAAAAGAAAAATACTCCAGAAGACGAGGGAGACAACAGCGAAACCGATTCAAAGGAGAATTGGTGGTCGTGTATGCGCGAGGAAGTCGCGGCCAGCGTTCGATTCCCGACGATCGATCAGCCAGTTGCTGAAGCGCTGTGTGTGCTGGCCGACCTGGACACCTGGCACGTCGGCATCTTATCGAACAACGCGCCTTGGCAAAGCCCGCCCTTGCCGGTGGGCATGTCGCGTCTGGTGTCGAACATGTTGGAATCCTTCGCCTACGTGTGGCGAAAGTATCACTCTCCTACCTACGTGAGTCTTTCTTCGGCAATTTTATTTAATTTTCAATGAATCTACAATAAACGTAACTCTCTCCGAGCCACACGGAAGCCACACCTAGTATTTCTTTGAATATAATTCAATAATTTCTCTCCTTTTTCGGAGCGTGTTGTCGTCTGAAATCCTCAAACCGATGTTTCAGTGCATAGCAATTTTGGAAGCTAAACTAAGGGAACTGTGGTTAAGGAGCGAGGCCTTGGCAGAGATGATGATGTCTGTGGAGGAGTGCGACGCCAACGTGAACAGCCTGACCAACGCTCTCGATCTTGACGCGGCCGACATACCGTTGCTGCTCGCCGTAGCAACCACTCATTCGCCAGAAATAGCGCAACGATTTGGTCTTACGCTAACGTAAATCTGTTCGGTCGTATCTGATGAGGTTTCCTCCTTACGTTGTTTCGTCGAGAAAAAGGAAAATAGATGCTTGCTCCGTAGCGCGTGTCGACGTAAGTGTGTAGCCGATACTTAGGCACTTGCTCTCGAAGTCATCTTCGAGAACCTTTTGATTCACATCGGAAGGAAATAACGATTGTTCCACCGCCGAGTACATATAGCGTAATCTACAAAGTAGATAGCGATATATTCAATCGTAAATTAAATTCACCGTAGCACACTACACAGAATGCCTACACAGGACAGTTTGATCGCACACCGCGGTCGCCGTGCGTTTTAGCGTTTTGTAGCGAATTACACGCTAATCTTAATTAATATAATGCGTAATTATGTGTATTCGATTTTTTTACATGACTCATGTGAGCTTGCCGTTGTATATGCACTCGATCCGAGTGAATAATAAAGTCCGAATCAGATTTCTTATCTCGCTGCATTTCTTTGAAAGGAACGTAAGTTGTTCGAGCATTCAACATTTAAGTAAAGCTAAACGTGACAGGGAAGTTCAATTATCGAGTGCAAGCACATCGACAACATCAATGATGCGACCATTGGATCAAGTAACTTAATAAAACGAACTTGTCCATTTTTCGCCAATTACAAACTCGGTCGACATCTCGAAGCAATAGCAAATAACGTCACACAATACGACAACTTCATCTCTTTTTATCAATCGTCGAAGCACCCAGAAATTATGACAGTCCGACTAAATTTGTTCCGCAGTATCTATGTGATCTACGAATCTCGTCACTGGCATTGATCATTGTTTCTTCCAAAAGTCATGGAAATCTGTCCAGTTGAACCGTGAGCTGACTGCAGTAACTCGAATCTTGCTTTCTCAAAATCGCGCATGCATTTCACTCAAACTTATATATGCCGTTTTAAGACAAACCTTAACTGATATTATTATCGTAGAGTTTCGCCAAAAAAGCCACCGTTGTCGATTATCGAGGCCAAAAATAAAATTCGGGTGAGAGCTTCAGAGATAGCTTAAGATATAAAGGAAGATGTTACGACGAGATATGACATTTTTGAGATTCAAAATATTTCTTTTTCTACCCTCTCGATCCACGTTTCTCCTGGAATATAATTGATTTTTAGCTCGGTCACGATGAGTGTTGCAACTGTTGCTGCTGTTGCACACCGCAGCCTACCTGTTACGTGAGTTTCACGTCCTAATATTCATACCTTTCATCTTAATTGACTCTACTCGCGTGTATAAGTGATGAAACGAATTCTACTCTTGCAGAAATATGCCCAACCGGAGATACCGAAATCCTTTGCGCCTATCCGCGTAAGTAACTCTGAGAAAATTCAATGATGATTCAAGAATTTATATTAGATATTTTTTTACCACGACATCTTTCTAAATATTGTAAAGCAATCAGCATAGTTAATATATATATCTTATCGGAAGAATAATCCTCAAGAATTTATTTTTTCTAATTTATTAACTTATCATGTTTCAGTATTACTGGAAATCGGACGTACCGATGGACAAAAACACGACGTATCGTCTCTCCTACTGGGAGGGACCCAGCACCATGGTCGAACCTATTCGTCCTGAAGACAATCTAACATGCGACGACGCGGCGATGTCGGACGAGACGACGCACAAAGTACATCGATCACCGTTTCTTACCAGCTTTTTCACCTGTGACAACCATCCACTCGTCTACATATATTCGCTCGCCCTTGCAGATGAGTTATCTTGGCAATTGGTGCATAAAAACGGAACCATCAATGACACCTTGCACAAGAGATTGGTTGGGTAGAGGCCCGATGCAGGACGTAACGACGAACAAACACGATTATTCGTGGAAATTCGTAGACCGAACGGAACCGTTAAAGGCGCAGAACAATTTGTATTCGCCATGTGCTGCTTTGTGCGGTAACTATCGTCATTGGATGAAAATTCGATTTGTTTTACGGACGCGTTCCACACGCGTTGTCAATTCGTCGATAATAAACTTCTCGGGTCAGAAGAAATCGAACCTCTAGCCACTCGCGGTCGGTCGGTAAAATTTAGTTTACGTTTAATTGACATATTGATAAGATATCGAACAACAGATGACACGACATATCGCTTGAGCTACTTTAATTCTTCCTGCCTACCCCCGACGATGTCCTTCGCGCCCATTAGGAAATACGTCAAGTCGGATGTGCCAATGGAAGGTTGCACGACATACAGGCTCAGCTATTGGCCAAACGAAGCTCTCACGAAAGTGAGTTCTAACTGGCGATTGAAGAGAGAATTAGTACATTTCTAAATTTATTATAATTTATGAATATTTTAAATCACTTTAAACTTCATATATATATTTGACATTCTCATATAAATATTCTCTATCGTCCTCATTCAACATTGTATTATTATTGGCCTTATCTAACTTAAATCATATTTATTAAGATCGTTGAAAAATTTGTATTTTACCAATGCATATATATACGGGATATTTTTCTTCAGGAAGAGCAACCGTGGAATCAGAAAACCGAGTACTGTCGTCCAGTGACACCGATGGACGGCTGCACGACTTACAAACTGAGTTACTGGCCGCATTGCGAGAAGCCTCGTGAATCTATCCGTGTTCAGGACAACGAGAACGTACTGAACGTCAGTTGTTGCTTCGACGACAATACTACGTACCGGCTCAGCTATTTCGGGTGCGGCGGTGACAAGCCGCCGGATCCCATTCGCCAGACGGGCAACATGGTCTTCTCGTCGTGTCCGCTCTCTCACGACACTGTGAACCGAGTGAGTAGACGCGAAATCGCGCCACCTCGGTGCGGCCCGATCTGAAGATGACACGCTAATTCGGATCGGTCGCTTGCACCGTCGAGTACATTCCAAGATGGTTACGAGATAATTTTCTCAAATTGCCTAACGCGAGCGTTGTTGCATCGCAGATTGATTCGACGCTCAACGGGCTGGGTAATGCCATTTCGTAGCGAAACGGCAACAATGAATATTCTTGTAGGGACTCGACGAAACGTCGTCGGTCAGCCTCAGTCCTTTCGACATCGCCGTGCGATTTACCGAAGGACAGATGTCTCAAGTGGATTCATGATTGAAACGATTAATTTCGCTTCTGGTTGCAGCTGAGCTTCTTAGGAAACTGGTGCGTCAAGCCGGAGTCGCCCATCATCCCTTGCACCAGGGAAATGCTAGGTAGAGGTCCGATGCAGGACGTGACCACGCAGAAGCACGATTACACCTGGAAACGAACGGCGCCATCGGTGCAATTCCGACCCGAGAATAATCTTGTCTTCTCGTCCTTGCCGTTGGAAAGTAAGTGCAGAGCCGTGAAATGGTCATTACAATAAATTAGCGAGACCTACGATACATCATTCATACCTATCACATTGTATTCATACAATTCTGCCGTCATCTTTTCGTCAAACTTGAGACTTTCACGATGCGAAAAACTTGTTCGACGTTTCATAAACATTTCAAGCTATCTCTTCAAGGAGAGAGGCAGCTTCAGGTTGCTCTTTCTTCTGAAAAAAAAGTTGACTGAAACTCTCATAGAGAAGTAGAAAATAAATGATGAAATTACTATTGTGTCGGTGAAAAAAATGTCAGAAGCTACTTATTCAGCCACTGAACGAGACCAATTTCCCACTATGATCATCTCACAGGTTGCACAACTCACCGATTGTCTTACATACCGAACGATTACGCGTCTTTGACGCCCCATAAATCGTACGCGCCCATACATAAGCACCAGCAGTCGGACATCCCGATGGAATCTGAGACCACGATGCGACTGAGTTACCAGCCCGTGGAGGCGGACCAGGTCGAGAAACCATGGACTGTATCTCCGTTCTATTGCCCACCCGTAGATCCCATGGAGGACAACACCACGTACAATATGAGGTTCGTTTACCGCTCTTGATCGAAGTTGCCCGTCCATTTTTTAGAATCCAAAGGTTCACGCTAGCCATTTGCCCTTTCGCCAGCTACATTCCGCCAGGAACACTCGTCCCGCTTTGTCCCGCGGCGTGTCCCTCGGCGAACACCTGTGAAAGTAACATCACTCAAAATTCCTCTCTCCTCTGTGTCACTTTCGCCGACAAATTGTGTAAACGATGAATATTTTTCAGTGTCATCGTCATCGCAAGCTTGTCCCGCGTCGTAAGTAGAGAAAAGTGCAAGCGGGCGGCCACGAGCGTGCGTTTCGTTTTTGTCCTCTCTGCAAGTCCCGTCGTTCGAGTGTGCACATGTGGAAGTGTTTGTGATCTGTCCCCCATGTACCTTGTCCTGACAATAAAACATCCCCGTCCCGCGACTCCTCGATATAACAGTACGTTAATCTGTCGCGGAGATCGAGGAGACTACCGGCCACGATTTCGCAATTGTACCGTTACGATTATCGCGATCGCGTATGACGGATTGCGATGTGAAGCTTGATTTTTCACATGGTCGATGCGTCGCGTAATGAAGAAATAACAACAGCGCGTGTCGAGAGAGACTGCGTACTCTCAATCCTTCGTAACAATATGACGATGATCCCAACTAACGTAACGCTCGCACGGTGCGCCGCTCGCAGTCACAATCGCAGCCGATCGATTATCACTCGTGATTCTCGCGCTCTTCTTCCCGTTTCCGCGCGAATTTCAGTATCATGCACAGCGTAACGTTTACGTCACCACTGCGACATTCTGCCGGTAATCGCTGATCGGCTTATCCGCGGGCTGACTTCTTCCGCGAGAGGCACGCTCGCGCCGAAGAAGTCGCTCTTCCTGCGAAAAGCAGCCTCTTGTAACGTCGACGGGAGAGGTAGCGTCGGTATGTAATACTCGGAAATCAGCCTCTGGGCGTAAGAATGCGAATTTTACGTGGCGTCGGAAGTCAACGGCTCCTCGTGACGGGACTTACGTGAAAGTAGTTAGCATATCTATCCGTTTGCGCAATGATCTCGGGGTTTGTCTTCCTCACACGCCTTCCTTCGGCCGGCAGAAGACCGGCCGATCGAGGATGAAGGAAAGAATTGACGGAGAGGAGAAGAGGGCATTTATATGAGCTTTTCCTTCTGAGCGCAAACACTCGGGCTCGAGGAAGATAAACGATCAGACATCTTCATAACAGCTTCATTAAGGAATGAACGTGTACGAATTGCATAACATGCAACTAACCACAGGGAATTGGGTAATATGTAACATTATGTTACGCACGTTTCTCGGGACTTCCAGAATAGCGGTTTTCCATTCCAATTGTTAATTTATGCGCCTTAGGAATTCATGTGTCTCTGCTTTCACTGATTTTTATCTCGCCTCTCGAAATACCGTTTAGATGAAGAACGTTCGATCGAACAAACTCGATCGAAGTCTTCGGGAACAAATTCACATTCGTACCGCGATTCGTCACGCGTATTATTGATTTATTTTGTTTACTCGTATAACTATGATTATATATAATAATATAGCTGGTGGCTCTGCTCGATCGAGCGCTGATCGTTCGCAGATTTTTAGATTGCGCACTCGAGAGAATCGCGATCGCGTCGCTCAAAGCAACATGATGCGTCTTCTTGGTCTTCTTGATAATGGCAGAAAGAAAGTCGCGGGAGTAGCGATTCGAAGGCCGCGCGCGAGAACAAGCGCATTGCGCTAATCGGAAGCGCAGTCTCAGGCCGTTGATCGTGGGCTGTTGCGATGGCATTATTACGCGCATTCTGATGCATATGTAAGTATGCATATTAGAACGTGTTTCTCGCCCATTGTCTTGCTGGTCTCATAATCCGCGAAACTACGAAAGCGCCAGGCCGGCCGAAAACGCGATGTCTGATACCCACGGCGCCGGCGGATGCGATGTACGAAAGGCGAATCACCTGGTGCGACGCGAAGACGCTAAGAACGGCGCGAAACGGGAAACTCTCCACGCGATATCAATCATTTTCGAAAACGAGACGATCGCATACGGCGACACGAATGATTTCCTTTCAACTCGCATAAATGCGCATGTGCGATTTCTTCCCTCTCGCGCTGTGATAAATGTTTTCAAAGATTCTGCACACGATTAAACGAATGATGATTTCTTCATTCTTACCTCGGCTGTGAGAGCGCTTCGAGATTACAATATCGTCGTACACGACGAACACGAAGGGTTCGGATCAATTTATCGGCGGATTAGTTCGGAGGGGGGCCGCGATCTTGTCGCGGATCGAACGAAGCGCGACATATTGCATCCCGCGAATAATAGGGCTCATTAGAAAGCCATCGACCGAATGATTCGCGATGAGTCTCTCAGCCAAGAGTAAGGTCGTCCCGAGCGATGAGATAATCGGAGCAAGACGCTTCTCGGTACCGTGATCTTAGGGAGGTCTCGACACGATCGCTCACGAAGGAAGCGGACGATCCCACACACGCACCGCCACTACGCGGCCACGGCAGATATGTATGCTCCTCGCCATAAAGCATACGGAGCTTCTTGCGAGGCCCATCGCCTCCTCGAGTAGGGGTAAAGTGAGAGTCGGTATAAAAGGGGATTTCTTTCCTCTCCCGGGATCGCAGTCGATCTCGCTCGTTTGCGACTATCTCTCCGTGCGTCGGACGTTTTACGTTGATCCCGAGTCGTACGAGGTGCACATTTCGCGAGACAGGATGAAGTACATGGTGAGTAATCCGTGAACGCCCTCCGGAACGCGACGCGATTTTCCGTGGGGTTGCTATTGTCGAAGAGAGAGAGAGAGAGAGAGAGAAACACAACTGTTCTCCGTTCGTTAGTATTTGCATGTGCTCGCCGTGTATCGCTGATTTTCATAAAACGATATCGATCCGACAATGATCGATCGTATTGACGCGTTGGTTGAAGGCTAATTTTCTTTCCATATGAATTCCCAGAGGAAGAAAATGTGGGCTTATTAGAAAATAAAACGACATCGGTTCATTTGCCAACTTGATAGAATTTATTAGAGCGAAGAATTCAACGATTAATCGTCTAATTTGGAGGATGAAACCTCGCTTCTCGCGAGATAATTTGGAGAATTCGAAGAATCCAATCGACCGTCGTCGTCGATGCGATTACGGCAATAGGCGCGTTTATTAATTTTCATGCGCGGGATGCATCGTCCGAGCATGGAGAAATCAGAATTGCGTGGGATGATAATCCCGGGGATTTACATAATCTGAAGAACAATGTAAGTTCCTCCGAGGAACTCCAACTCGTTTCGCGCATATAGAAATTTCTTCTAAATGTTAACGAGGAGCTGTTTCTCTCTCTCTCTCTCTCTCTCTCTCTCTCTCTCTCTCTCTCTCTCTCTCTCTCTCTCTCTCTTCATCCTTGCACCGTGTCTCCGGTTCAAACTCGGAGAAATCCGAGTCGAAAGGCGCGAATAAAATCCAGGGAACTGTTGTCGTCTGAGACGCAAGAATAAAGTTTCCCGACCGGGTTGGATCAGGTAGACCGAAGATGGTAACGGGACGGGCAACGCGATATCAATGAGCGCGGTAGAGATGGGTTGGGACGAAACGGGACGGACCGCAGCTGCGAGTTTGCGGGTCAGGAGTTAAACGACCCGCGTTGGCATTTGCTTCTCACTTTCACTCATCTGCTGAGAGCGCATCGCCCGATATTCCAGGCGGCGGAGGGAAGCCAATAAATCCACTTTGGGATTCGCCGCTCGCTCTTCCGCGTCCACTCTCGCGTCGATCATTCGAACGGACCGCTGATCCAGTCTCGGGACGCCGTCATTAGAAGGGGGTGAATCTACTGACGTAATCGGCGAGCTTATGATATAACGTAGCCACTTAATGCGCCCACTACTGCGCCTAGATGATATCGCGGCGCTCGGGCGATTTTCTCGGAGCGTTCTTCGGTCACTTCTATGTATATGCGATAATGACGGTTAATACTCCTCCCGCTGTTCCTCAGGTGTTAGCGATGATTCTCGGCCTGGCTGTGGCTCAGGAGCCGAATTATCACGGGCGCAACTACCAGCAGGACGATGGACAAGTGGCTGATAGCAGACGGCCTACATCCACTACGCCCATCCCGATCCTCCATTGGAATAAGCAGCAAGAGCACGACGGAACCTACAAGACTAGGTATCGCCATCGTATTCCCCCGTAATTCACTCAACGCGAAATGCCGTAGTTTTGAAAATATTCGAACGTCGTTGCACGAACTACTCGCGAGTCGGCTTTATTTTTCAATAAAATTTCTGGAACAGTTTAAAATAATCGTATAAAATTTGAGAAAATTGGTTGAGTTCTCTCAACCACTGAACATCTCGAGTCCATCAACCGCCGAGCAGGCATCCGAAGAAAAGAAAAATCGGGTCTTTGCAGAGCCCGATTGTGCAAAAGAAATTTCGTCGGGACTCTCCTGGCTGCTGCAGCCCGTTTCCGAAAGTGCCGAAATTGCACGACGCGCTGGTCGATCGACGTTAGTCCCAAAGTCGTGCGAACTTCGCCGGAGCGCTCGGGCAATTTCAGCATTACGTAACGCGATCGGGTGTTCCGTGCCGCGCCGTGTCGCGTTTGCGCAATCGATTATTTAACACCCCGTCGACATCGTCGGTTCCGCAGTTACGAAACGGGCAACAACATCATCGCCGAGGAAAGCGGCTACATCAAGACCATCGGCGAAGGTGAAGACCGGGCGGAGGCGATCGTGCAGCAGGGCACTTTCTCGTACACGAGTCCCGAGGGACAGCTGATCACCATTCACTACACCGCCGACGAGACCGGCTTTCACGCGCAGGGTGATCACATTCCCACGCCGCCGCCCGTCAGCGAGGAGATTCAGAAAGGCCTCGACCTCATCTACGCGGGCATCCGTCAGCAAGAGGTACGTGCAACCTTTCCTCTTCCGTCTAACCCCCACCGCCCTCTGCGGGGCTATCACTGAGATCCGAAGAATCTGTCCTCGAATGCGCTTTCTATGTTCGTCTCCATGCGAACCGCACTCCTGATGAAAGTCCATGACATGCGATTCGATGTTAATGCGTTTCTGACTAAAGCGACTTTAAATTGCAACTGGAAGGGAGTGTATTCGGCAACAAGTTTAATCTCCACGGCGAATATAAAGCTGTATGTAGATTTTCTGATCGTTATCGGTTCCAATTTAAAAGACATTCATCTCTCGGCTTGATTTTTTTATTTACACGAGAGTTGCTCCGAAATGCAGGAGCGAGAGGTACGAAGAAGAGAACGTCGGCGAGTGCATATCTTCGTAAGGATACGAAATTATACGAAGCAGACTCATTCAGGCTTCACGTGACGGGATAATAACATCGACAATTTTACGATGCGCTATTAAAGTCCATTCACTGTTTCCTATCCTCGTTTATCCCCACCCGCCGCTTCTTATCAGCGCCGTCCACGTGTACCCGTGTTCACCTTTGTGGAAGACGTTCTCCGTCCGCGATCTTGTGGGAAGGCTTCTGTTTCGCCATTGCCGGCATAGGTCAACGGTTCCCAAGCAGGCTTTGCGAAAAGCCATTCAGTTATCTGCTTGTCAGGCAGAAACGTGTTTGCGAAATCGTGATAGCGATCGATATCGACGCAAAGGCCGAGGCCCGCTCTCGCCTATGAATGACTTGCGCAAAACTGAGGAAGGAGATACAAGCGTTACCTGCTATCGCACGCAGCCTCCTTTCGCGAATCTCATTAATCATCGTGTCATTACAAACGCACTCGCGCGCGCGCGAGCGGCAACTACCAGTTTTCCTTCTGCTTTTACTCTTCGGGGTAGAAAACGACGATCTCGTGTAAGCCGCACGAAAGCATGACACGGACCGTCCGCGAGAGATCAGCATGCAATTAAGATTGTTTCATGGACCGTGATAATTAGCGCGTTACCATTATCGAGCGAATTCATCGGGCACATTTCAAATTTTTTCTTCGAAAAGATATTGCGACCTTAAAACCGAATCGAAAGGATAAGAGCAACGTTGAAGAGATGAAGATGTCGAAAGTCTGTTGAAAGTACACACCTGATCGTTTGTCATAATGACGCACAAATCAGCGCAAATCATTTCTTCCGATCAGAGAGCATTTCCCGCCTGATTTCCCAAGATAAATTGTCCTCCTGGCAGATCGTACTTTTTCATTTCCGGTTTTGTCGTGTGTATGTCTCATTCTTCCCGCAAAACTAACTCTCCTCGATGGAACCATTTCTCTCTCTCCCACCATGGCTCCCACCTCCGTCTAATCTTCCGCAACTAATCCGCAGCTCGACAAACAGAGCAGTAGCCTAGAATGGAGACTCCAAGCGTTTCACGTTTCAGGAGGAAGAAGCCCGTGCCGCGGCCCAAAAAACTCATCAGCCGTTGAACCAACAGGTCGACAGGCGGGATGACTACGACAGGAAGTACCGGCAGTGAGACCGGAGCACTGTCGGTGCTCTTCAGCAATACATATCCGCAGCACTGTATCGTACTTATTAAGAAGTAGCGATTAAGTTGTTAAGTTACGTTATCCCCCTCGCTCTCCAAATACACTCTCCATTGTGTGTACATTTGTAATAAGAGACATCGAGATACTATGTGGCAAGTCGACTCGCTCCGTTCGTCCAATTCGCACCGTCGATCCTTTCTCAACGTGAGATCCTGGCATTCCCGTATGCACGTATTAATGATCAATCCTCCCTCTCTTTCTCTTTCTCTTTCTTCGGCGGCATCGATACCGCCGGGGCGTAATTACACTCTCGGAGTGCTGGGAACTGACATTTCTCGTTGTGTCGCGATGGAAGAATGTCACGGGGATGGCCTCGCGCCGGCGCGGCGAGCTGATCCGCTCGCGATCGTTCCTGCGTTCATTCATCCCGCCGCCGTTATTTTTACACCTCGCGGCCGACCATCTGTGCGACTTCCACGCGAGAACTTGGAAGAGTTCGACGGTTCTTACAGAGACTCGTCGTATGCACCGACTGTTCACGATCAAGATTAGCGTTTTCCCGAACACTTTCACTTAACGTCTTGGCCGCGTCGATTCCTCGCGCGGCAGGTTTCTTCCTCACACGTAATCTATTTGGCGTTCAATCAATTGTCATCTCTGGATCATGATCGGAAAGATACATCCGTGACGGCATCAAGTGTAATTTCGTAATATGTTTCTCTATACATAATACCGATGTATCGGTAATTTGAAGTAAAAACGGGAGACTGCAATCGGAAGAAAGTAGCAAACGGAGTCAGATATTGATCTCGGTGTGTCTCGAAGAAATAGATCGATTTCCTGTCGAACTGTCGCGCTTACCACGGAGGGGGGAGGGGGGACGTGCGAACGCGGTTCTCATGCGTGTATGTATATCAATACACGAGCATGCAGACTCTTTCCGAATTTTCCGCGGAATAAGCGAGTATCGTCGCGCGATCTCAGAGCATCCGCGCGTAGGAGACGATCGAGGAAAATGTAGGATGACGCACGTCCTAACGGAGCGAAGCATCTTTATTGTTAGTCTCGTGTATACGCGTAATCACACACATACATACACACACGCGAATCTATAAGGGCGTCAGTCTTCGTGCTCGGAGAGGAGAGAAAGAGTGCGCGCTCCGAGGTCGGTGAAACTTTTCACGAGGTAGCGCGTCAAGGCCGGTGAAATTCTGAATGAGGAGTGTAATAATCGGATAAACGGGCTCGACGTGCCGCCGTTACAATTATTGCGTTGCGAGCGACTGCCGTCCGAGCTCTGCGGTTGCGCCGCGCGACCTCACCGAATGCCTTCCTTGTGATCGAATGCCGATTGCAAGTTGCGAGTATCTTAAAAACAAATATTATGAGACGATCATTCCAAGAGACTCGCGGAAGATTCGCAGACCTGTAAGGCAAGAACAAATCCTTGAAATAAACGTTGGATCTGTCTTATAAGGAAGATTACATGGTAGCATTATCGACCGACGTCAGAAATATCGAGAACGACAGAGATATTTGCGCCATATTAAATCGAATGCCATGGATATCCTTTCGATATCCTGGTGTCAAGAATTTTCATTTCGCGCCATTATTCCAACCGGAAAATAAGTGTTCGGCATTTTTCTATGATGAAACTAGTTTGCCTCCGGTAAAATCCATTAATATATAATAAGTAGTCTGGTATGTTTTTTCCCGGAGTGGAATATGTGAAATTGCATGCAACGGAAACGAGTCTGACGTAGCTAAAAACATTGAATATTTTTCTAAATCGCCAATACACTTGAGACTGATCTGGCATAGACACGTGCGAGTTCTTCCGGTCGCGACGCGTAACTCGGTGTAATTTTATACGAAGCATAGTCTTAACAAATATATATTGCACAAGCAGCTAGCTTGAAATCTTGCTGAAATTGAAGAGTTTTTTCGTCGCTACGGTACAGCCTCAACTCTGAAAGAAAGAATTCTCTAAGTTTCACACAGAGCTTTTATTGCACGATGCTTGCGCGAAAACCATCTTGGACACATCACATGACTGACGACACTCGGCACGTGCGAACGACCGCACGCACGCAATAAGTTAGGCGTAAAACAATGTTCTACGGTGCTACGTAGCCCCCGTTTCCTCCTCCACCCTCCGTGTTTTCCGACTTTTACACGGATACGACGGCTGAAAATAAACGTCGTCCGCGCGGGGGGAGGCTTAATCCGAAAATTGCGATTGACTACGCGCACCGAGCGGAACGACGGCACGGTTCACACCGCCATGAAAGAACGGAAAGCGCGCGCGGCGTATCCGCTTTTACTCAACAGCCAGCACCATTGTCGCGGTGTTTATAACGAGGTTTTAACTTAACGATTAACTAATACTACGCGGGCCCCGTCGTCGTTCGGCACGAGCGGATACCTTCCGCGAGAAAATTAGTACATAAGAAAAGCGTACGGACGCATGTTTGCGAAACTAGGAGGCAGCTACATTAGCGACAAGCGGAATTCGGCGATGTAGAAAGCTGTTAAATTCTCTCCGGAACTACGACTTGCGCTGAGTCAACCTCGCGATGCACGACGCACCTGCGGACGTACATGTTTATTCGCATCGCCGTTATCTTCCGCATAAGAATCCGGAAGATTAGGAGCTGTGATAAATTCGGGTGGAAAGTCCACTTCTTTCAAGGCGACATTTCGTGCTGTGGATTGTCGTGTCAGCAGAGAAAAAATATCCCGCATCGCGGGGTTGACGTCCGATCCGCTCGCGCCAAAGTGCCGACCTTTCTATTTTGATTCGGTAAGTGGGATTTTCCGATCGTGGTCCAATGTTCGCTGTCCAATGATGATAAAACCGACGAAGCAGACGATCGCCGGAAAGAAGCATAAAAATGACACTCAGCGAATCGCTTTTCACAAATTCGAAAACTTGCATCCGTCATCCCGAACAATCGGTCGGAGAAATTGAATTCTGCTCGAGAATCGTGTCGCGAAAGGTCTCGCATTACAATTGTACTCTAAACGAGAGCAAATACTTTCTCATTCCTCCCGGGTCTTTGGGAAGAAATGTAGGCTGTTAGAGGAAGCGTTGTCTCGCGCGCGAGACAATGTCGACCGAGACTCTGTTCGCACGGCTGACAGATCGGTGACGCAACTGGAAAAGTCGGCGAACATTGTCCGACGTGTTCTGCAATATTTCCATTTTTCTTTCTTTTCCCCTTTTTCAAGGAAGTCCCACCGCGCCTCCCTGAAAATTATGTACACACGCAGCCCAACATGGCATCTAACGTCGTCCTCGCGATATCCGATTATCTCCTCACGATAATAACGGAACAAAGGTAGAGGCGAGATGGTGAGTCAGGAAGTCGCGAACATCTTCACGACGAGAGATCGTCGTCTTCATCGCCTCCGCTCCTCCTGATCTTCCCGCCGTCGGGATTTTCCTACCCGCTACGCTTCGGCGGCCTCCTGATTCGATCAACCGATCCCATCCCCTGCAACGCACTCGGGTAATACTGGCGACCGTTGGTGCGGATAACACAACGGAGTCGTACATGAGAGAAAATCAGTCGTGGCACTTCGAGAAACGTTAAGCAACGTTGGATCTCACGCCGAGATTTCCTCCCGTCGAAGAGACCTCGCACATGAAACTCGGATGATCGGTCTCCACGCGAGACCGAGAGAGCTGCTCTCCCTCTCCTTCTCTCTTCGGCATTCGTCGTTTCATCCATCGACGGGCGGAAAAATCGGCGATCGACAAGGAGAGATTGCTTAAGTCGACAGGCGACGGTTCGGGGCGACGAGCAGCCTCTCGCCGATCGAGAGCTCGTCGGGTCGAATCGAGGCCGTGGCGAAACTGGCGTCGACGCGATATCAGATGACGAGTTCTCCGCGACAAAACAGCGCTACGACGCGAAGCGATAAACATAGAGCAAATCGTTACGAGCTCGTTGCTGGGGAGGAGGCTCTCGAGGCTCGTGTTCGCGACAGGTCAGGCGGCGACGGGTCGTAGGGCGTCGCGGCGAAGCCGACGTAGCGGTTATTCTTCTTGTGGACGAAACCGCCGGTATGCGGGTCCGTCTTGTAGTAAATCACCCGGCGAATGCCGAAGGGGTCGATGTAGCCGAACGACCCAACGTTGTTGCCGTCCGGCTCCCGCTCCTCTTCGTGATATTGCCTCTTCAGGTAGTACTGGAAGCCGTTCGCCGTGCTGTAAGTGCCGTCGTAGGGTGGCAAATCGGGTGCCGAATCGCTTCGCGAGATGGGCGATCGGTAGCTGGTCCTGACGACGGAGGGACGGGCGACCGCGGGGTCATAGGGTGCCTCGAGGATCGTAGTGGGTCGAGTGACGGATCCGCGGTAGTACGTGGTCTGCGGTCGATGATAAGTTTCCAGACTCTGCAGGCCGGATGAGGGGTAGCCCGGTCGATTCGAATAGTAATCGTTGCCAGCAATCGGCGACACGTTTGGTCGTGGTCGAACGGTCGTCGGGATGTAATAGCCGGAAGTGATATCGTTACCGGACAGCGGACTGACGACGTCTTTGGGGTCCGGTCGTCTGTAAATAGGAATGTTTGACGGTTCACACACGTTTCTGTAATACCGCGCGACGAATATTTCTTATTATAACGCTCTTATCCTTTGCGCCAAATGTATGGCACTTTTCCCATTTCTATCGTTAATCCGCCGATTTCGGCCGCTTTTTACCTGAAAGGATTGGGCGGTCTTCTGGGTCTGGCCAAGACGCCGGTCTGCGCCGGCACCTTCTTCGTTTCCGCGACCGCGTCCTGAATAGGCCGGTTCTTACCCACGTAGACCATCTTGGACCTGAAAGGATCCCGACGGTGAATTCGTCGTTTGCGTTTAATTACCGCGACTCTGGTCTCTTATCTCGGGCTACCTCAGTATTCGGAATCCCTCGTGGTCCGCGATGTAATCCTTCAGTCGTAAATACCCGAGAGGGTCCAGCCAGCCCTCGGTGCCGATCACCGTGCCGTCGGCCAGTCTCTTCTCCTTTCTGTACTGGCCGTTCGCCGTTTGAAAGCGGAAAAATCTCTCCGGGCCCTCGTCGGTCTGAATGTGGTACTGCGTGTTGGGATTCAGGTTCCAGCCGCTCCTCTGCGCCTCGATCTCGTCCGCGGTCAAGCAGAGCGCCGAAACCTGCAACGTGAGTCCGTTCTCTCGAATCCTTTCCGCATTGCAAAATTTCGCCACCTGCTTTTCGGCATATTATTCGATCTTGGCGAGACTCTTACTCGCTCGCACACTCGCCCGTCGAATATTTTGAATAAAATTTGGAATCGATTAACATACGTTACGGGTGGAAATAGAATCGATTAGCAATTAAGGATACGCCGAAGGTGATTCATTGTACTTTCTACTTCCACTTTCAATTTGAAAGCATGATACACACAGAATATCCCAGAAATGAGACGCGTATCCTATCGTCGTACACGTATCAAATGTTTGCAATATGACCAAGCTAGAGAGAGAGAGAGAGAGAGAGAGAGAGAGAGAGAGAGAGAGAGAGAGAGAGAGAGAGAGAAAGGGGGAGGAACAGATATATCGTTCTGCCTGAATTTCACCGAACTCGGATGCTGAGAACGAAAGGAACACGGTGTTTTCTGCGCTCACTATCGTATCGCCGTGTATAATTATCAATTTAAGCCGATGTCCGCCGTCGGAGCATGAAGAAAGTGAGAGATGTGCTGGTCCAGCCACCATCATTGCTCGTGCAATCGGCGGGCCATTTAAGGTTTCGCGCAGCGCATGCAAGCGAATTTCCAATTGACGCGAGGAGACACGCTATGTCAACGCGCGACACGGTCAACTGCTCCGGCGAACGATTAGTCAGCATCGTTCCGCGGCGGTTACGAGGCTCATCCTCTCTGCTTCTTTCTTCTTTGTTTTTTTTTTTTATGTTTTTTCTTTGCGGTTAGATACGGCGCGTCGTAGGCGCGGCGGCGTGTACTTCGCCCCGCGCCCCGCGGTCGGTCGTAATCACTCCATTTACGGCGTTAAGAGCCGAGGACGATGATCGTTCTGCTCGGAGCGTGGCGGCTCGGCCAGGTCGGTCAGCCTCGAAATGACTCGCTTCATCTCGCCCGGATCTCTCTCTCTCTCTCTCTCTCTCTCTCTCTCTCTCTCTCTCTCTCTCTCTCTCTCTCTCTCATGGCGTTTGATAACAGAGTCAGGGTGTTCTCGGCGTTCCCTCGTCGTTGCGCTCGTTTACACGAGCTCACCCGCGGTGAGTAAGAGTTTGCGATCGTCGAAAGGAGCTGATCGCGAGATCCGGTTTCCCGCGACGAAGTTCCATCGCCGCTCTCATGGGGGAACATTTTTACGTGCGCGTCCTCGAGCACAGTTACGTTCCTTGTAATTTTTACCGCGCTCACGGTCATTTCGGGAGCGAGTGTAGAGCGACGAGATAAGAAGGAGAGACTTCCCGCGGGTAATTTCTCACGGAAAAAGATTCGCACGCGTTACACGCACGCGCGAGTGCGAATATGTAGCGAGAGACCTTGATCTCTGATCATGAGGAAAAAACTGATGACGACCGACAGAGAGGCGCGTAATCACCGCGATCGAGCGACCTTCTTCACCTCTAATCGTCTCCTCTTATCGTCAGACCGACCGATCGGCGAAACGATCAAGACGACACGCGGCGAAGCTCGCGCTCGTCGGACGCAGAAGTCTCAGGGTGTGAAAGCACGTTTCGGTCTTCCCCGTCATCGCGGTTGTAGAAACCTCGAGAATCCTGGACCGCTCGTGTGATTCATAATTAGGCGCGTCTGCCTGCGCGCCCCGGAGGACCCAAGTAAAGAAAGTTCGGCGAGTTTGATTTACAAAGCGAGATCGTGGAGCACTTCTTCTTCCGTTGTTTAGCCCGCGTACACGTTACAATGCGCCACACGACAACCGCCGACCTCGCCGTGTAACGTGACGTAGTGCCCTCCGTCGTAGTATCCCGCGCTGCGGGGAACATTGCGCGCAGACCCACGGTGGTCACGTAAGAGATACTTATCCCTTCTATCGCGGGGATTTTGCGTGGGATTGACCAAGTCCGCCTCGCGTCGGTCCATATTAAGAGATGCTGGACCGAGCGAGCGCGTAGGGCAGACGTATCGATATTACGCGTCGGGTTATTTCGCGCCGGCGGAAAGTAGAAAGACGTGACGCGTTTATACATAGAAAACGGAAAGATGGCGTTAACACGACGGAGAAAAGAAATAACGGGAAGAAAAGTAACGGCAGAGAAGGAAACGAGAACAACGAGGAGTCTGTAGATTTCTGATCGAAAATCTCGTCGTCGTCGTGAGATTTCAGCGACTGAGAAACCGTTATTTTGCGTAGGAATGAATTTTTGACAGCGAGCAGACAGCGGGAAGACAAACGGCGTATCGCGTTGATAGAATCCGCAAGGATGCTGTACGCGCCGGAACGAAGGGGATTAAGTTCCTCTCGCCGAGAAGTTCTGCGCTTGAGATTCCTCCGGGTACGCGACTTTGCTTTATGGGACACACCATGTAGCCAAGGTATGCCACACACTTGACCCTGGACCTCCGCCATATATCACACACGTGTGCCTTAATATTCCTCGCGTTACTGCACCTCTTCGCCGGGAAAGAGTTCGCACTCGCAGATTGCTTCGCGCTATCCTTGAAACTGGTTCACGGTGTTATTGCTGCGAGGCAGTTTGACATGAAAAATGGCCGCGTCGTTATTACAGGAATCAGGCTCGACGCTAGGCTCGACATCCTTGAAACGGCCGGTACCCTCGAGGTACCGCCGGGTCGACTTTGTCTCCGCTCGTACAATACGCATTACGATAAAGTATCTAAACGCGATCTATGCGGAACGTCGCGTTCGTATTGAACGCTCTCGAGCGATCCTTCGCCGGCGGTTTTATCAGCTCCGCGTTTCCTTGCGTGCTTGTACGATGCACTTTTTTTCTGCGTTCCACTCGCTCGGAATTTGCAAGAACGAGCGAGGTAGATCGAGATTCCCGGGTCATCATGCGCTCGATATAGCCGGCTTACGGTTTTTTTCTTCCCAGCGCATGGAAAGATCGTAAAGGATAAACGCGAGCCTCGTGTGACGTAATTTATATACGCGGCTCTTATACCATCGCAGGATGGGTGAGGCCTTTCCTTTTCCGGCGCTTGCTTTTGTTCGCGAAAGAGACGGAGAGAAACGGAGAAAAGACAGTGCTCGCGCGCGCGAGTACAAGCGAGCAATTATTATTAATTACCCACCACAAAAGTGGTGGTAGTCTCTCGATCTTCAACGACGGTAAATCGACCAGTCGATCGCGCCTCGATGCCGGGAGCGAAAGGTATCAATAGGTTACCCGGTTTTATACGAACGCGAACTCGCCGCAGGAGAGAACCTTAGTGGAGCGCGTATTCGCGCGTTACTCGCGAACACGCAACGTAACGCGTTATTCATTACCCGCCGAGAGCAATTTTAACTAAAGGTTAAAGCCTGCCGTTCCCATAGAGGTTAATTTAATTGGAGTCTAAATGATTCTTCGTCTTTCTCTCTTTGCCTCTTCCGCGCGGCATACATATATATGCATTACAGAGACCCACGGTATGAGAAAGTAATTTAATATCCGAACGCGAGAACAACGATGCTCTCTCGAACGCGCCGTAAAATGAAAGAGTTAACTCCGCGGATAATTGCGACCTCAGGTGCGCTGGGACCATAAACAATCGGCGGTGAACGAGAAAGGGGCAGGCTACGCAAATTGCGTTACGTATCAAGGCATAGTGGCACGAATTCGTAACATTCATATCGCGCGATTCTGCCAGAAACGGCGCGGATTCCGCTTGCGTGCGCCAAGTCGTAGAGCAATCTTCAATTTTCATCTTCGGAGGAAAGTCCGCCGTTTTGGGCCGGTGATTCCGCACGAGGTCGACCAGACCGCGCGATTAACCCGTTAAATTATCGTTGCGCCGTCCATTGTCCGCCGGTTGGGATCCCGTCGGTCATGGTGATTTCACCTTTTGCACAGGAGCCGCGGCTCCTTTCGCTTCGCTTCCGCCGTTCTCCTCTCCGCCATCCCCTTGTTCGCGCGCGCGCGCGCGCGCGTACTCTCGCGCGATCCCCATTCTCATTAAAAACACCCACGCTCCGCGGTTCCCATGTGCCTCTAATCGCGTGATATAATCAGGAGATCATAATCAAGCCTGCGCCTGCAGGAGATTGGCGACATTGGTGGTCGACTGTGAATTGAATTCGGTGTTTATGAGAAGGAAGCACTAATTGCGCGGCTAATTAATTTCAGCAAGAGAAAACGTTAACGAGATCCCTCGAGCCGATCACTTTCCAGATTCGGCTAATCAAGTCGGCATTGACACATTTTCCCCTCTCTATTCATCGCATATTTACACAAAGGAGCTAGAGACGCGCGCATGAAACATAAATTTTTGCATTGATCGCTGTGAACTCAAAACGATTTTTTCAAACAAATAAATTTCTGGATTTATGATAAAGTTATTTTCAATCAAATGAAAAAGAAATCACGTAGAAATCTCTTTTATTTCCTTAATTTTTAAAAATGTAATCAAGTTTCATTTCATCCTTGGCTTTTATTGTTGTCTCTTTCATCATGCCCCATGTGCTCGAAACAACATTGTGTCGATAGACTATGTGCACGTCGCTGCGTTAGGAAAATGTGACGAGCCCGCGAAACGTCTGAAAAGTATGTACCATATTAGCGGTTTGCGAAGGCGCGGCATCATCTCGCGTCTATTCCATCGCGCAGCATACAATTGTAATATTACGGGCCGTAGATCGCGTCGCCTGCGTGTGTGTATGCGTGTGACTAATGCGCGATCTTGTTTGCGGCCGTGCTCGGTATTCGAGGAGCGTCCCTGTTTCATGAACGCGCATCGCGACCTTCGCACGAACAAACGCGTGCGCGCGTTCGTTTAATTGACATTCGGAGCGCGCGATATTAATTACCTTCGCTCCATAGCACGGCTTCGTCTCGCTGTTTACGGCACAAGGATCACCGCTACATCCCAATTTCTCTCGAACGCGAACGTTTCGACATCGATTCCGCAACTCGACTCATCGCGCGTGCAATTAGAAGCGACACATTCCGAACTGGGGCTTCGATATTCAAAGTATATTGTGCTATTTGCTATCGCAAATGTCGATTTCCTCTCGATCGTATTCACACCGCCGATTCGTCGCAGCTCGGCGTCTGCTTCTAATCCCATTCGGATGCTAATAGCCCGACCACTCGTCAACGATTGCATAACCGATGCGTCAAATTTTCAAACGTGACGCACGTCTCAAGATCCTGCACTCTTCCAGTCCCGCTTAATCGACGCTAATAATAACACGTTACAGTCGACTGCAACTTGTGGCTTTTTAATACGACGATTAATAATTAACAACAATAAACGCGACAGAATAGATCTTATTCACGATCGTTACGCGCGTCAAACGGATATCATTACCAGACGATGTATCTTCAAGCTTAATTATAATATAATTAATATCTAAGATCTCTCTCTCTCTCTCTCTCTCTCTCTTTGTCTGTTTTTTACAGCCTTCCAATTAATATCCGTGATGTAAATCGCAAAGGAAAAGGCATTTTTGCTCGCTTTAGAAAGTAATTGTCACCTGAGGAGTTTCATTCTCAGGAACATAATCCGTTCTAAGTCCGATATTAATGTTCAGCGATTAATCTAACCTGCCGTTTCTCTCATCGCGCTTCACGTCGTCGCGTCGACGTGAAGCGCGATTCTCGCGCAGTTAGGCAAGTAGATATATTCAGAACCGAACGGCGCGCATTCGGCGCGCATTCGGCGCGCCATACGCGTGAGGAAACTACTCGACCCGATTTGAATATTATTAATTGGTCACGTTGCAGGATTGCTGTCGGTTTGATTAACAAACGCGCCGTAAATTTTTATCCGTAAATCACCGGCGATCGGCAAAGAGATAGAGAGAGAGAGAGAGAACGGCTGTCCTCTTCTGTTACACTTCTATTCACGCGATCTTCACGGTGCGCGCACCCGTGCATCGAACTCTCCCGGAGTAAGTAGAAATGGTCGGTACCTCTTTCACGAACGCATATCCCCGAGACTTTCATGAGCGCCTTCCACAAGTCAGCGATGTCAGTTTTGATCGAGGTGCGTTTTGCACGAGCGCGGTGACGTGAGCGCGGGCGTGATAAATCGCGTTGGACGAACAATCAACGGCCGATTCGCGAATAATTACTCGGCCGAAGTGAGCGAGCGAACGAACTTGTACCGTCATCGTTAAATATATGCAAGGTATCGCGAGTCGTTCTCTCTTTCTCTCTCTAAATACCTCGCTAAATACGAACGCTTTCAGTTTTCGACATTTTTCAACTGAAACTACCACATGTTAAACAGGTTAAACATAAAACTGATCGAAAAGTTGTGTTCAAAAGTTAAAAGAATTAAGATCTCTTAATATACATATAGATACTATTTCGTCTGTTTTTATCCGCAATATAAATCTGTCTGCAGTCGTTTAGTTGCTTCGGCTTCATCAAGTTTCAGACGTTGAAACTTTGAGACATTAATGTATACGAGGTTTTTAACAATCATGCAAAACTCGTTTCCATCGGCACTCGTAGGATTAAGAGGAAGTTTATATTCGTGTGATAATCGTCGAATCTCAATTCCACCGCGAGCAACTTCTTTTCAATGCAAGCGGATTTTCAATGCCAATGTCAAAGTCACATTGCACAGTTGATCCGTGAATCCTGAAAATAGCGAGATTACACACTGCCTTCGTTTTGCCGATTCACTTGCCACTTGCTACCTGATGACTCAAGAGACCGCGCGCGCGCGCGCGCAATCGTCAGCTTCGCGAGCGGTGTCATGCTCGAGCGAGCATTTCCGAGCGGCGCCATCGTTTTAAATTTCAGTGTCAATGCCCATTAGCCAAACACCCACGGAATCGTACGAAATATAAGTCTACAGCAAGGTCAACGACATCGACTTCGAGCTTCTCCATCGCCAGTGATTTCGATGCTAATGTCGGCCGATCAGCGCGATCACCTTCATAGCGCGAGACTAATTAATCGTTTCGTCGGGAATTTAACACCGCGAGTTCATTCAAACCTCCGTTAGAAAGCCGAGTAGCCTACCGTGAGGAAGCAGAGGCAGAGACAAGTTCGCAAAATCATGGTCACGCCGGTGCGCCGCCAGGTACAACAGTGCAACCTTGCAGTGAGCGTTCCTCAGGTTTCTCTCCTGCCGTGGTCCTGCGGCGGTCGCAGCAGCAGCCGCTTCGTGCCGGAACGTTCCCTTATTTCCCAAGCGAGAGCCGCTCGTTTACATGCATTACAGTCATCGGCGGCGATCGCATAGAGAAACCTCTCCCCTGACCGAACTCTCCCCTGGCCACGGTCGCAGGCTCAAAGTCGCACAGGTATATCCTGAGACGAATCAACCAAGTGAATTGTCGCGAGGAGGCGAGAGGCGCGCGACCACGCGAAGCATTTACGAATTTCGCCGAAGAGAGGAAGAACGGCAGCCACTTTCGCGGATCGGACGTCTACCGAGAAGAGACGAGAACTAGCGAGGATGATGATAACCAAGAGGTAGAAGAAGAAGAAGAAGAAGAAGAAGAGGAGGAGCAGAAGAAGGAGGAGAGAAGGAGGAGGTGGAGGAGGAGGAGGAGAAGGTAGAAGAGGACAATGTCAACGAGGTTTCATCGTCCATCGGCTGGTGTGTCGATGTTGTCGAAGCGGACCGAGAGGACGCGATACCGTGACTGAGAACCGGCGGTGTCTCTCCGCATTTTCAGATCCGCGCGACGGATCTACGCTCCTTCCCTGGCGACCATCCCCCTCCGTCAGCAGCCTGAGACTGTTTTTCCCGGCGACCGAGACCGCGCCCGCCCACCACATCGCACGCGGATACTCCACATTCGCGAGAGGCGCGTGTTCCGCGCGGAGCGGAGACGAGACGCTCCGCTGGTACCCGCTCGAACTTAACGCGGCGCGCGTAATAGTTGCATGTAGCCCCACGTGATTCCGCAAACGGGATCGCGATGACGTAAAGAGGCAGAGAGCCGCGGTCCATATAAGCACGCAGCCTCTTGACGGAAGAGGCTGCGAGTATTTCCGTTGAGTAATCGTCGGCCTGAGGAAGCTGCCGGCGCCGGCTGTCTATCAACGCGGATCTCGAGAGCTACCAGCTTATGCGGGGTATCGTTATTTTCCACGGGAACGTAACTCCATAATCGCGATGAGAACGATGGAGAACGAGTTCAGCTCAGGTCTTTAGATTCGACTTGCAACTTTATGCAGATGGAATAATTACGCGATAATTTCCGCACAGGGACTCGATAATCCGCGGAAGATGAACACAGGAGATACGCCCATGAGATTGCTCGTGGAAGAGCTCGCGTGGAACAACTCCCACGTGCCGAGACCGTCTCTTACGGCTGTCAACATTGTGTCATTGAGGAAACCACATGGGTTTGGTCGCGAGACCGGCGTTTTGCTCCGTCTCGCTTGAGCGATAACTGCTTGCACCCATATCGACGTTACAATCGACGATACCGCACTTACCGTAAATCGCACGCGATTTACCGAGATAACGCGTCGAGGAAGCTATAAACGATGAGAAAATTGCAACGCGAGATTTATGCTTGTCTTTGAGCGATGCGAAAGATCGAGGTCCATCAGAATGCGTTACGAGGAGCCGTCGCACCTCGACGCGCGATCGCATGCACTTACGCGTTTGTGACACACACGTAGGAATTTCCGGGAAAATCATTTTTCTAATTTGACTCGGTCTTGGCTGGCTGGCTGTGTTATTCCTGATGACGCGGCCAGACAATTTAGCGCGGAATGTCGCGAATTAAAAGATTTCACGCGAAGCGGCGACATTAACATTTCACTTGCGATTTCTTTTTCCGTGATCTTTTATCGCGAATAATAATGTCCACTTGCGTGTGAATAATGCATCGCAATTATGCCGATTATAACTCAAGCGTACAATTGAGAGGACGTTATCGATGGATAATACTCGGCGAATGTGGCTTCCGGCTGTTGATTGGAATACGTTATATTGGTATATAATTTATAAAATTGACGCGATTGCACCTTAAGTATGGAGTTTTTTTCATCCTACGTGACGTTCCTTGAGACAATCAGCGTTATGCCAAATTCCCACTGGTCATATCCTCGGTACGGCGTTCCCAGGACTTCGACAGTAGCCGGAAGGAACGCCGCAGCTTTATGTCATTTCGCGTATTTGCGTCACTTTCGGGGCGAGCGATCATCGTTCCGTAATCATTATTGGTGTTACCGGCAATCATCCGGTGAAATAAACCCGAGCGACCTGATGTCGCTTTTAGTCACCGGAAGAATTTGTCATTTGCGCTAAAAGTTGCATCGCGTCCTCCGAGCATCCGAGCGTCGTCAGCTTGCACTCACGCTGATAAATGGTGACTAATCGCACGTGTTGCAACGTGCGCCTCTGCATGCATAATGTGCGTAGGGAACAACAATTACGTTCTCTGTTTTGCAACAAGAGACGAAGAACATTTCGTCAAATACGCTCCACTCAAGATTATACATATATGAGAAAAAGAAAATTACATCAAAATTAGATCCTTGTTTCAAGACTGAACTTCTTGATTCATAATAATTATAAATTATGACGGTAATCCTGATAAAATTCTCGTCTGATTTCCACAGAACTCGCCACTTTGTACCTCTGAATCGAACCCAAGAGTCTCGTTGTCGTAAGAGCTCCAACGACGATGCGATTTTTTGGTTAATAAATATCAGACGGCTCATTTCGCTCGAGAAAGTGTGGAGTTCGTAAAAACAGCTGTAGAACTTTTTTGCCAACGTTAACGAGAGGGAGAGACTCAGACGCGCGTTCGAGAGCTCGCGGAGAGACGAGGAAATTGTCGCGGGCGCGCGCGCGCGAGATAACTAAATGAAGTAAATGAAATCCGCGGTGATGTGAAATTAATGCACCCGCGAGCTTTGCAGCGAGAGATCCAGATAAATAATTTCCATCGCAGCTGAAAAAGGCCGACGCGAAATCCGGTTTCGCCGCGGAGGCTCCGCTTTTCTAAAGTCGCAGTGAACGGCACCGCGGCGTGTGCCTCCGCAATACGGGGACGCCGATGGCGACGGGGACGGACGAGAGAAAAATCGCACCCGCGACGGTAAATGCACGATGCGTGACGCCTCCGATGTGCCGTAATTATTTATAACTTCGTAAACGTCGCGAGAGAAATCGAGAAGTGCGAGCAGAGCCCCGGCCGCGCCGCATCAGGAAAGCTCGAAGACTCAAAATTCGCGGAACGCGAGAAGATGTGATAACGTCGCAGCCGTCGAGAGTAATAAATCGTTACATCAGCGGAGGATCGCTCGATCGCGAATCCGCTGTCGCACGACTTCACCGGTCCGTCGCATCGCGTCGGACGAAATGACGGAAGAAAGAACAGCACTCGTAATGGAGATACGGGACTGATAAGAGGATAATTCCGCTTTTAATTCGCACCGGCGGATTAACGGGATGCCAAGACCGGGACGTCATCGTGCGTTTCTCTCTTTCATCAGCGGCCGATCGAAATCCCCATCACCTCCGCTTCCTACTTTTGCAATAAACGTGTCGTGCCGGCGCGGTACGTACAGTCGCACCGAGAACGACAGCGAGATCATTCACGCGATTGTCCGAGCCGCGTGTGTGGGAGCGCGCTCCGTTCGTGTCCCCTTGCAGCAACTTCGATCTGAATAAAGGGAAAAAGACGGGCAGAGTGGGACTGGTTTTTTGACCGGAACCCTTTCTGCTTTCTTTGTGGCGCTCTTCAAACGGGCCGAAACATCTTTCAAAGCAACGTCATTCGACGAGTCACGAACGAATCTATTTTTAGCCAAGAGGCCGTTATTCCACAACTTACCCGACGAGTCAATTTGGGAACGCGCAACCTTGTTACCTATTCACATCCCTGAGAAAAAAAAATGTCTTTTTTATTGGAAGTCAGGTGCGCGCTTGTCTTCGACGGAAATGCAGCAATTGCGGGACCACGCGCGGTGCAATTGCGGGGTATTAACGTTGAAGACCGACGAGTCGCGTGTAAGAAACACATCCAGATCGCAAGTGACGCGTTGATGAGATTTTCGCGCGCGAATGCAATCCGCGCGACTCAGGTTTCTGAATGTAGAAAGCAAAGTGCGTGCCGGCACGCAGCGGGAACCGCCGGGCCCTCCGGCCGCGAGTTGTCCGAGACGCTCCACTAGGTCATCGATATCGAGATCACTTCGTCATGTTCGCAAGGTAAACGGCGGACGAGCTCGGCCCGGCCCCGCGTTACGCCTTCGATCTGACGCTCGAGCGAGCCCACCGCGTATTTTCTCCTTCGCTTGCCGCGCTTACAACTTGCGGCGCTTTCACTTTTACGAGCCGCCAGCAGAAACAACGTCCGAGTGGTAGACACGTGCGTGTGCGTGTGCGTGTGCATGCGCGGGTGCGTGTGTGCGTGCACACGTCGATTTTTGATAATGAAGTTTCGGCGGGCGTGATGGTGAGAAATTATCGCCGCAACATTCACGGACACGCACGCGTACTTTCGCAATCGCGCGTCCCCGCGCGCGATAAACGGCCGTGCAGAAGTTGAGAGGTTTGGAAAGGAACACTCTCGCGGATCAAAGCTCTCGTCAGTGGACGTTGTTCGCAGGATAAGATTGCGCGACAAGGATACCCCGCGCACAATGGACGCTTTCTAAAAATTAATAGACAGCGTCCTTCTCGAAGTTATCTCATAGCTTTAAGCAATGTCCGCAGAGGGGGGAGGTATCTCTACTGTTCGAAATGTTCATTGTTATGGATGAGGTTAAGCCGAACGATAAGCGACTGATACGCTGCATTATCCTGGTGAATTACTATATGCGAACAATTAAAAGCATCACTCGAACGTGACTTGCGGAGCGCGCGATGGAGCACGTAGGAACGACGAGTGGTTTTACAGGCCGCACGCGATGCAACGATTTGCAAAGATATCGCGAAAGAACGTGGAGCCAAATTCTCACGACCGACATATGCAGCCTCGCGCCGGGAAATTGATAAAATCATCTAGCCGTAATCCCGAGCCGTACCGCGAGCGATACCGTCTGACATTGCGCGTATCCGTCAGTCGACACCCTCACGTCGTTTCCTCGTTTTGTCTTTTGTTTCGTTCGCTTTATCGGACCGGGCATCGTTGTTATGTAAAATTCGAGTAACACTTCCAAACTGGCATTCTTAATTGACGGTAATGATCAAGTGTTCTTTTTTCTTTTTGCAAGATACTCACGCGTACAACTCTCCGGAGATGAATGTTTCGTTAACGCACTAACGATTTGATTAATTTTATATTCTACAAATGAGTCTTTAAAACGGAAACGACTCGAACATATCGCCGGCCCCGGGGGTTAAAAGTGTTTTTTATTTTAGAAATATAATCTAAATCGTCAAAAGCACGTTATCGCGAAAAAAATAAAACAACGCAGATCGAATGGCAGATTTTTCAAAATAGGTCCTCTAAATAAAAATAGATTCCATCGAAGAGATGAAAAGGACCGAAGCAGCGAGTTTGACGGATAAGCAGCGCGATAAAAAGTGCCATGTGCAGTTGGAACGTCGGAAAAAGACACGTAAGAAACGAAGCTGACGTTTGGTTAAAAAAGAAAACAGAATATCAGTCAGGCTCCTTTTAGTTCGCGCGGACGACGCAATCTCCGATGACGAAGGAGAAGACAGCAGGACTCACCACAAGCGGCAAGACGCAGGCGAATCTGCTCCGCATTCTGGCTGTCGATTCGGAGACTTCAATGCGGGACAGTGAGCGACTAAATGCGAAGTCGGTCGGTCGGTCGGTCGAGTTTCGAATTTTTGGGAGATGCGGATTACGCGATCCTGCCGCGGTTAATCGCGCCCAATCACTGGCCGAGCTAGCCGGCAAGCCGAAGCCGGATCGCACTTGCGGCCTACGTGAAGCGAGCCAAGGCCCCTTGGCTTGCCGTGATCGGCAGGGTAGGCCGGACCCACGCAATTTTCCTTTACGGTCGTTTGTCTGACGATGTCGGACACCGTCGTGGACACCGACAACTCCGACAGATCAACAAACGGACGCCGTTTCGAAAAGCAATTCGGCGCTCCCGATCTCTCCTTATTCTCTGAGCGAGCAGGAGACGTGGTGTGTGTCGCGTGGTATGTAAAATGTTTCGTGGGAATGACGAAGGTCCAGATTACAAGCTGTTGTCGACATGTCGTCGATGCAGGCGGTGACGTGAGCGATCGGGAATCCAACGGGGCTGTGACTTGTCAGAAATTGTCGTTTCAACACGAACACGAAGAGCGACGTGTTTCTTCTTCTCATAGATACCTTGAGAAGACAGGTACCTTTCAAAGCAGTCTTCAGAGATAGGTGCCTTCGAAAATCCTCGTGAAATCCGTCGAGAATGATGCAAATTTTCGTCTCGTTTGAGAAAGATTAATATACCATAATCTTGGGGTGATGCGAAGTCACACGAATGAAAAGATGCAGGAAGTCTCTGTGAGAAATATGTTACGCATGTTTCCCCGTGTGCGTTCGTCGCATTTCTAACAATAACGAAATACGCGTTACGTGGGACGTCTGCAAAGATCGGCGGAAAATGTTCCCATAGCAGATTTTCAATTCCAACTTGGTTTCGCACAAAGAGATTTTCGCGACCATTTCTCTCCCTCTCCTCTCTCGCTTTTCCTCAGGAGGTAGGCGTGATTCTTTGTCCCGTATTTTTCACCGGTCCGAGAGTGAAGAAATTCACGAGTTGTGTCCCTCGACGTTGATCAGCGGGATTTAAGGGGCACATTACTCTCAGCGGCTGAATAGAGCGAATAGACGGCGGCTCGAAATTTTGCGAAACTCCGGAAGCATTTCCCGCGCGGGTCCCACACACGTGACAGCGAAATTGCAGGGCGGGAGGAAACGGTCGCGCCCGATTATTCCACGCGAACACGTCACCGCGGGCGTTACTAAACGCGTGTTTCTGAGCGATCGCTGATCGACGTGCATTTAGAAATCAAGGATATACTTCACATCGCATTCCTCGACGTTCCGCTGGAATTATCGCGGGTTAATCGAATGCCGAAGAAACTGCCAAGTAATCTCCGCGAGAATTGTTAAAACCGATAAGAGTCGTCGCAGGATATGATGGTTGCGAATAGCATTACTTAGCCAGAGGATAATAACAAAACGCAGAAGAGAATAGACAAACATTATTCCCCCGAGACAATGGAATTCCTTTCGTCTCTAGAGTTCCAAAGGCACTCGCGTATGTACATTCATATATTCTACCTCCTGGGGCAAATGTACATAAAATCAATTTTTCGCCGCGCGAAGACAAAGAATGCAACACGACGCTGTCCTTTGAGCGAGCGCAGGATTTTCCTTTATTTTGTCTTCTTTCGTGTCGCGTACAATGAGCGTGTGTGAGAGCGGGTGACTAAATCGCCGCGAATACTCGTGGGAATCCAGCAATTTCGGCGGTAATTTATGCAACTGGGTCCGCGCTACGACCATTACGCCTGGAAGCGGGATATCATAGCGTATCGCAGTGTATCGCCCACTCATCCGGACAAAACTAGATCTCGTTACTGGTTGCGCATGACGTAATTGTCGATCTTAAGAATCCGCGTCGTTACACAAAGTACACCACTACAAACCACCACAACGAGGATAAAGCGACGTGGGCGCGTGAATTCTACGACGTTATCGCCGTCGAAGACGCCTGCACGTCCTCGTCGCCGGGCGTTCACTTCGAGTTCGCTGACCGCGAATCTCGAAATTGTAAAAAAGTACCCCAGGGACGCGGTTCGGAACTTGAGTGGAGCTTAAATATTCGCTCATTATCCACTTGCAAATCGTAATGCGAATTTCCATTCGCGCTTGTGAGCTTCGGATGCACATTGCGGGGAATCGCGACTCGTCTGAAAAACTCGTTTGGAACCCCTGAATATTCATTAATTTGTCTCCTCGATACACGACAGTGACAATTAAGAAGTATACATCGTGTAGAAATCTGAGAGCTTTCTTGTCACATTCGCACGATTCTTCTCTCTCGAGCGATTCATCTTTCGTTGTCGAGAAATTTACTAATCATCTGCGACGCAGACTAATTACGTGCGAGTGCGCGACGAGAGACGGCTATTGACTATATCGACTTAATCGTGCACAAAAAGACGCTCATTCAATAAGGCGATCATTATGGCATCCATTCTGCAAAAAGCCACAGTTCGCTTGACTGAAGACGCGGACACGTGCAATCTCGCCGTGAACAAAACCGAAACGAAGAGGTCCGAGTCGGAAGAACGTGGCCTAGCAGAGAAATCTATTGTTCAACTTGACGCGCGTGCTTCGATTCGAATAGAGGATCTCCAAGAATAAATAATTCAGTGAGAAGGCGGCGGGAGAGGATGACAAAGCCCAAAGAAAATACTCAATTCGCAATAACGGTGCTAAACTAATCGATCCTTCGGTAATCGGAATTTTCAGGTTGGAGAACGATTTACGAAACGAAAGACACGAAATTTCTATTTTTAACGGAGTTATACTCTTCGTTCGATTTCAAAGAGGGTCCATCAAGAATCTTTCGCTATATTCGCTGTGTCATCGACAGGATTGAAAATGCAATAAACGTGAAAAGTAAACATACGATAATGCAAAACAACTTGGATCGTTTAAGACGTTTGCTACACTCTTGTTGCTCTTATTAGCATAGAAGTGGGCCTCGGTGAAGCTGAGGAATTACATCATCGTTACTCCGATCGTTACATCGTGCAGCTCAATGTCGGACAACTGCGCGTTGCCTTCACTTTGGCCTTGCTCGCTTTTCGCGCTTACCTAGACCCCCGTCAGCTGTCGGGGAGCGAAGCGGGGAGATTGCAATTATGCAGATGTCCATTTAACATTTTAATTAGATGGCAGTGTCTCACGGCTTATTGAAGAAGTAATTTCTTTTGTTTTATCATTGCGATATCTACTTCAAGTGAGAAAAGTATCGCGCAAATTTCAGTTACTGCTTCAACTGCAGTTTTTTTTTTTTTTTTGGTAACGCAGGGGAGATCCATCATGGATACCCCCGACCCATTGGGGGGGTCGGGGTTATGTCAGACTCTTACTGACTAAAATCCTTGCGGGATGTCTACCAACCGAACCGTGATAAGGGGAGTTAGGGGAACTGCTCCCGCATTCCCTCCCCAACAGCTTCAACTACAGTTGACCTTAATCGTGTTTAATGCGTCTAAGAATTATCATATCCTCGACATTTCCGTATTCCGATTTTCATTTTCAAATCATAAATATTAAATTCATAAATTTAAGTCCAGAAATTAAAAAGATTCTCTGATGGTGCAATTGTTTGACGAATCAAACAATAGCTATCATGGTTAGAAGTGGATAAATTTAAATATTATTAAAAACAATATACGTTATAACATTATTAATATTTTATATCGCAATATCCATTTGTTGCACACCTTCTGACGTGTTACCGTTTAAATGAGGTAAATAAGTAGAAGAAGAAAAGCAATTTTGAATATAATATATAAATAAACATAATAATGAAGTATTTTCCTGAATTCGGTACTTTCCTTATACCACCGACGAGATAATATGAACTGATAGCCCTAGGTAAATTTTCGTATCAACTAAAGGGGCCCGAAGAGACCCGGAGGTAATTGAAGAGCAATGATAATACCGACGGTGACGTAGTTCATGTCCTATTGGTTGCCAAATGAATTGTAAGGTTTATCAAGCTAAAGGATCACGACCTTCCCTCCACTACGACTAGAGGCGCTGCACGCAGGAGCATTACCAAAACGCAATCAAAATGCAACTTTTCTCGTTCTTTCTCCGTATCGAACTGGTACGCGCCATTTTACTGCTCGTGCAGGAGCTTGCTGTCGCGAGCTTGGTTTCACAACTTGCGGATACCTTGGTAAGTTTCACTCATCGAATGGAATGAATCTAATCTCGGGAGTGGTAATAGTATTTTCTATTTCGCGAGCACGAATAATGGAACGTGATCCTCACGTAATGCGTTATCTGTTGTAATAGCGGACATTTCCTGCGGAGCAGCGGGAAGCTAATTCCACCGCTCTTCTTCTCCGTTGTAGAGCTCGAAACGATTTTATCAGACATTTTATATACAATACTTTTATGATCTGGAGTTATATAAAAAATAAATACACGATCGCTATGGTTCGTTAGACAGATTACTCCGCAATTGAGTACGGGCACTTTTTATTTTCCTCTTTAATCTTATATCCTTTCTCTTGGTTCCTCCTTGTTCATGCGCATAAATTTATCTAATGTTTTCGGCTCAAACAGGTTTAAATCCTTCCGACCGAGGGGAAGAATTTACTTTTGCTGGCGAATTTTCTATCTTTTCTTTCCTGCGATTGGCGTATATTTTTGTAAAATAAGAAAATCGTTTTTAAGATGTCGACGTAAACATGACGTTTCCGAGATTCATTATAACTCTGAAGCTGAGTCACGTTTTACTCGATCTATTGGTCGGCGGATATAACAGCAGTGTTTTATCGCACTAAATTTGGCGTTTCCATTTACAGACTTGGCAATAGAATAGCTTTAAAGTCATGTCGAACGGTAGCGGAGATCACGACGATGAAGGATACGTCGTTAAGATGCGTGGACTCCCGTGGTCTACCACTGTAGATGAGATCATAAAGTTTTTTGCCGATTGTTCCATTTCTAATGGCAAAAATGGGGTGCATATGACTATGTCACGTGAGGGACGCCCCAGTGGCGAAGCTTATGTAGAAATGGATACTCCAGAGGATATTGAGAAAGCTTGCAAACGAGACAGAGACCACATGGGTCACCGATACATTGAAGGTTAATCTTTGAGAATGCTTAATACTAATAATATTTACTTTTTAATATTGATTTGATGAAGTATATATTAGAAGTTTTAGTCTCTATAATATTACAATTCATATTTGAAATTTTCTTAATTTTACAATAACTTGAGTATTAATCAATAAATATATGCTTCTATTGATTTTTGTCTTGTATATAACTATGTTCATTATCCCAGATTTTTATTTTATATAAATTATATAACTTCTATATAAATTTGATTTTAGTATTTAAAGCCAAACGTGGTGAGATGGAATGGGTTGTGAAGAGGAGCGGTCTTAACTTGGAGAATGCAATGGACGATGGTTGCGTGAGATTACGTGGTCTACCATTTGGTTGTTCAAAAGAGGAGATTGCACAATTCTTCTCAGGTATTTAGTATATAACAATCAAAGCTGTCCCTGTGTCACTGCTTATTAATTGATATCAAATGTTGCTGAGATTTTATTTAACCCTATAAGACAGATATCTGTTCATCTTTTTCAAATAGCTTTCTTTGTTTTCTTTTTATTTTTGTTTTTAATTTTCCTTTTCATAAGATAAATATATGATTCCAAGTAGACATGATGAAAATCAAATTCGATGATTATCGTGCGGAATACAACAACGTAGTACTTTCAATTGTTTTAATTGTGAGATTATTATTTGGCATTGATACAAACACTGATATATATCGTGATATTAAAAGACTGATTGCTGAAAGTAATACCTTTTTTAAAAATAATAAAAGATAATGAATTGTACATAATGGCTAAATGCTGAAATTGAATTTCATTCCAAAGCTACGTCCTCGTATTCTAGCACTTATGATTAGCCTCAGTTAAGATTTAAGATCCCGCTAAGATTCGCATTGTGCCATGTGATTGCGGCGTGAATTGTAATGTTTACAATCTAACGACACGAACGGAACGAATGTTTATCTTTGTTACGCGTGTCGAATGATCGAACTTAATTCTTAACTTTGGTTTCGCACGTGATAATTTGCCGTTTTCTGTCTACAAAGGAGAAGCATGAAGAAAAAGAAAAGAAAAAAAATGAGATAAGTCGCGCGTATACGCGCAATTTAGAGTGTAACAGTCTTGCTTCTTTCATAAGGGCTTTAGTTAAAAAAAAAAAAAAAGAAAAGAAAAAAGAAAGAAAGAAAGACAAAAACACCTGATCATAACTCTTTATTGATATTGGGTATCTAAGTTACAATGTCGATGTTTGATTATGTGTGGGTCAGGGTTGGAGATTTTGCCGAACGGGATTTCGCTACCTACAGACTACACGGGCCGCAGTACTGGGGAGGCTTACGTTCAATTTGTTAACAAAGATGTTGCGGAGCGCGCTCTGCAGAAACACAAGGAAAAGATAGGACACAGGTGGGGCACTGACGCTAGCTGGGTTTGGGTATACTTACGACTTTTCCATATCATTTATTAATGACTGTAGTATACGTAGGTATATACATTTTGCTAGTATAAATAGTGGGAATAAATTTTCGATACGGATGCAGCTTCTTTATCCGTGTGTCACCGGAGAGCGTTTGTTGTGATGTTCTCGTCGCGCGACAACAGCAATAACAATAACAACGTCGTCGTTGTCGTCGTCGTCGAGACAAGATGGCGGAGACAACAATTGTAAAAATAGTGTGTCGCATTCATGCGTTTTGAGAGTCCTCTCTCGTCGTCAGCTAAAGTTGAGCGAATCTGTTCGTCTTTACAAAATCGTCACAAAGAGATATCGAGAGAACACCCTCGAAAGAACCCTATCGAGAACCTTCGAAAAGTCGGATTTCAAGTAAAAATGTCGAGATTGAAATCTTTTGGTTTTCTTCCGGAGAAAGAGGGTCGCCTCTGCAGAGGAGAGACCCCTTCCTTATGTGATATAAAGAAACTGCCTCTCTCCCTCTTTCTCTCTCAAACACAATTACAACCAGATAGTCATACGTAAGCGACGAAAGTACTGTGGACCCAACTTATACCCGGTGGGTGGGTGCCGGGGGGCGGGAAGTACCCCCTTGAGTCATCACCAAATTCCATGGGAGGTGGGTAGGGCAAGCCAAAGTTCGGTGAGCGTTACAGGGACATAGTAATCATCAATCCAATACGACACATCTATGCCACGTGCACGGTTGCATCTTCTACGAATTGACATTGGAAATCAATGACTTTAAGAATAAATAATCGCATAAATTGTAAGTGCAATGTAAATCTATAAATACACTGTTGTCGCATGACCGCATGTAGTCTTTGCGATACATCCTTACGTTTACCGCAAGGACATGTGTCGGATCACATGTACAATATAATTTAATAGTAAAGTAAAAGTATAGAATTTCTATATCGATGGGTGAATGTCCGTCCGCGGAAGATGTAATTGTTAGTGTGGTTTACCGGAAGATCATCGGCGTCACTTGGGCTGGGTTACTATGACGTAGGTCAGAAAGCGTCAGAAAGCGATGTCGTCGTGGGAGGGTCTCTCTCTTCGCAGGTTTAATGATAAATGAGGAGGTTTAGTATGAACATAGTTGCTCTGTCACACGGTAAAACTCCTTCAATTGCTAAAAATGCCATTCACGAGTTTCTTCTTTTCTTTCTTTCTCTCTCTCTCTCTCTCTCTCTCTCTCTCTCTCTCTCTCTCTCTCTCTCTCTCTCTCTCTCTCTCTCTCTCTCTCTCAACGTAACGTCAAATCAGATGATTTTTCTTCGGCACTGCTGCTCAATAATGAATGATTCTCTCGTTCTTTTTCTCACATTTTTTGTTTCTGGAAACATTTCATGTGACACTGATTCTCTTTTATTATCTCACTTATTTGTGATCTTTCTTCCTCTTCCCTCCTCCTCTCTCTTTTTCCCACCTTTCTTGTATGTTGTGTCGTTAAAGTTGACTTCGATTTGGTGGCAGTGTATGATGAGAGTAACGATAATAATGACGACGACGAAATTATTCATTGTGCGTGTTGGCTCACCAAACTAATGTGCGAACTTCGATCGTTAACAGATACATCGAGATCTTCCGAAGCAGCTTGTCCGAAGTACGCGCTAGTATCGGGCCAAAAATGCGCGGTGGACCCATGGGCGGTTTTAATCAGAGGCCCGCGCCGTACACTCGTGGCGATCGCTTCGGTGGGATGAATCGTTTCAGCAACAACGGCAGAGGATCCAGAAACAGAGGTGATTTCTCTTTATTGTACCAAAGTTTCGCGTTTGTACATCAAGTAATAGTAATTCAACACGGTTCAACACGGAGAATCTATTATTTATTATGTATTGTACACATTTGATATATTATTTTCCAATTGGTTCTGTTTCAGATTTTGACAATGGCCCATGGGGAAACGGAAGCAACTATGGATCTCGCGGTGGCAACATGGGAATGCGTGGCGGCATGGACATGAAGGGCGGCAATTACAGAGGTAGCGGTGACTCCTGGGGTGGTAATTCGGGCGTTCACAGTATCCACATGCGAGGATTGCCATTTAAAGCGACAGAACAAGATATAGCTGATGTAATTTCTGCATTTATTTAGTTTTTATGTAATTTAGAGAAGTCTCTTAACAGATATTTAACTTTGATGAATATTACTCCAGTTCTTCAGACCGATCGAGCCGGTAAACGTCCGCATTATTCTGGAAAATGGTGGTCGTCCATCAGGAGAAGCTGATGTGGAGTTTGCGACCCACGAGGAAGCCGTGAAAGCAATGTGCAAAGTTCGTACGCAGTTTTGTTTTATCATTAAAATCCATTAGAAAATTTGTTCTTGCGATATATTTTACGAAAACGAGTCGTAAACATCGTTAGGATAATATGACTTTGATATTATTTTGTTGAAAATATTCATTTTATTGCAGGATAAAAGCCACATGTTGCATAGATACATTGAACTGTTCCTGAATTCAACCGGCGGCTCGAGTGGCATGTCATTGAGTGGCATCGGTAATTTCTGCGGAGGTAGGGCCGATTGCCGAAAGTATTATTACAATTGAGGCTTTACCACATATTATACATAGAGTCGGCATACGTACGCGAGTGAGAATTGAATGAAATCTGTCGATATATTTCCCTAATAGATAGGTATATACATATATATTTTATTCACGTGTGATGTGTGCGTGTGTGCACAGGCATAGGCAACAACTTCAGGCCAGGATACTCGCCGAATCGGGGCTTCAGTTCACAGTTGGGAGGCAATAATTATAATAGTTTTTGAGACCGGGCAATGCGTTTTAACGCTGAACGACGATTATAAACGGTCGAAGAATCAAAGTGGATTGCTGATCACACAAACCACACCTAAAATTATACTGCAACGCAATGTCGAATTCATACACATTTTTCTTTTCTTTAATTATATCTTATATATTAATCGTAACCAAACCAATAGTGTGTAAGAAGTACCTGCTTATTCTTTTCTTCTCTTTTCGTTAAGAATAAAAAATTTCTATCAGAAATACTCTATGTATGAAATACATACGATTTAAGTATCATGATGAAAGGCGTGCCTAAGGATGAAAGATGACAATTTCTTTTCATTTCATTTTTGATATCGTGTGCTTTTTTTCTTTTTAAGTAGCCTATTGCAAAAGAAATTTATTGCAAGTATTGAGAAAGATTGAAGATGAAAACTTATCTTAATGATATTAGATTTGTTTTTTCACGACAATGTTTATGGTTACGCGGCATATAATTTGTTCTCATCTAGTATCAAATGATTAAAGTAATTTTATATGATACGTAGCCATGTGTTACATATCCTAACAGCTTTGATGCGAGCTTAGACGTGATGTTTGTCGGTGTGCGTCGAGATATAGCGTGCAAGCTGAAGCGCAAAGTATACAATTGTAATATACACGACTGATTAATAGTTTGCGATCGTACCTCAACAAATTTATCGTGTTTACATATTTGCTGTGACGTGCAGGATATGTAGGTTTCAGAACACTCATTCAAACACATTCATTTTTGTCATGGCGCGATATAATATATTATACTCCGATCTTCGAAATATCTTGGAAGTAAGAAGTCATAGCTCTTATAGATATTGGTGTTAATAAACTGTATAAGAAAGTGCCAGCTGGCAAATATCAATGTTGTGTACATCTTAAAACGTAAATGCAACTTCGGATTATATTCTCTGAAATATTTGAATAAAAAAAAAAAGGTAAACTAACCGTGATAATGAATATAATGTATATTCTGTTCCTTAGAGTAAGACCCTTAGTAGACTTATAAGAGGAAAGTTTAACTGTTAAACCTGATAATCTGTTTATTCAAATTAACAAATTTAAAAGAATATATTTAATCAGGAAGTGAACAATAAGAAAATGCTGGCATATTTACACTAGAGGTCGGTAACTAAAGTAATATGTTCTTTATTAATATATTAAAATACTCTGATGTATAAGAAAACCTTCCAAGTATTTATCTGTTACAGAATTTACTAAAAACTTACACTTACTACTACTTAAAAAACTTATCCTCATAGGAATTATGTATTGTTTATTGCTTATTATAAATATAAGCTTAATTATAATTTGTAATTATTACAATATATTATAAATATATACAAACTTATAATATAGTTATAAACTTGAATATTCATAGTTTAAAGATACTCAAATCAATTTATATTCTATATAGAACTTCTATATACCTCTGGAGCAATCTATTAAGTTATTTGTTAGCTAATATGTATTTACTTTAGAAACTGCATTTACTTGAAACTCTATTAGGAAACCTGTCATTTTAAGCTAATAATATTGATGAAAATAAAAAGGATATGTATCTCATATACTTAATCAGGCCTGTAAAAATCATAGTCTGTGATTTAGAGATTTTGAAACACCCTATGTATGAAGCCATGATTGAACACTAGGAGACACATTTCACTTCACGTTGTTCACGTATGGACGCTTCATCACGCTCAGTCATGCTCCGTTGAATAAACAATGCATACGGAGTTCATCGTACCGCTGAGCGGAAATGCTCTCCCACAGGGGGAAAACCTAATTGTCATAAAAGAAATCTGAATGAGATACGTGATTCGTTTTCGCCTACACTTTCAGGAAACTTGTACATACGCACCGAGAAACTTGTGATATTCGTTTGATATTCGCATATTAATACCAATCCGCATTGTCAAACACGAACGGGAGCATCGGAACTCCTATAGATTTCGGTAAGTCCAATTTCTGATACAATAAACAAAAAAATGTATGCGTGTGTGTACACATCACATTTTTCTCGCACTGTGAAAAGATGTAAGAATCACTTTCGCAGTTATACTGCAACGTTATACCAGAATTTGAGAGAGCTGCCGTTATCATTCCTGGCTAACGTCATTGTTAAATGTGCTATTATCAACTGCTATTATCAACAGGTATCGAACTGTTCATTCGTGGTTATGTTTGTCGATGCTTATCTACGTCCCCAATTAGACGAAAAAGGTGCGCTAAGTATATGGGTATGGGCCGTATATTTCCCCACCAATCGCGCGAGAAAGGCGGAAATTTAAAAAAATACGATACATCCATACACCTCGTGCCTCATTAATAATGCCTGAAGATTAAACTCTCTTATCAGTGTGCCGATGTAACTCTCGTAGATTAATTCTTGTCACACGACAAATAGGTTGTTCACAACCGGCAAGGTGAGTAAAAAGACACAATCTAATAAGAATAAGCGAATTAATATAGCGAATGTTTTACTTAAACGATTGAGTTCATTGATAAAAGTTTAAAAGTTTTGTAAAGATTAAAATGTTACCTTCGATTATATCGTAGATGTTATAGTTTAAGTGAAAAAATTTTTGTGACCGGTGTCTTTATGGATGAAAGTTTCTTAGCTTTAACTTTTGTAATTTTTCGATGTATGTAATTTTTCTCTTTGTTCTATTAATACACTAAAACAATTGTGTTTAGACATGTTACTATTTATATTTAGACATTTGTTTCTGTACTTTTCAATCTCTTCATTCAATTGTTATGCAAAATATCACTTTTTAGATTCTTCAAGTAGCACTTTTATTAAAGTGAACATATTAAAAAAATATCTTGCGAAGATGGAACAAACAGCTGGAGAAAACAGTAATGACAAGTTGACTGAAAATAATACACAGAATATTCATAAGGAGAAGTATGAGAAATTAATTATCTCTTGTTCTTAAGAAAAAAGGAAAATAATTGAATGAACTCTGAGAAATATGATAATATTATTTTTCCATTCTTCTCTTAGATCTTCAGAACTTGACAGACAAGTACAGTCTTTAATACCAAAAGCAGGTTGTAGTACAACAAGACAAGCTAGAGAATATATTCCGAAATCTGGGATGAAGAAATATAATAATGCTTTGGGCAATTTAATACCATTACGATTCCAGACCCAGTATGTATCACAATTAAATATTATAATTATTTATATGTGTATGTGGAAAGTTTATAATAATTATTTAGAACAGCAGTTAAATACAGGATGTTTTGTTATCAGCAAATCATCTCACATGTAATAATTTTACTAAGAAAACACAAATAGGAATAAATTATACAATATACATTATTATGAAGTAATAGTTATAAAGCAGTCACAACAAGACTATAATTATTCCATAAATTTGGTAGATCTCATAAATAATAAAACATCCTCTATCATAGCACCTTGGTAATAAAAGTATAATTGTTTTATAGCACGAAAGAAGAAGCACCTTCAGATAAAGCTGGATTATTTTCTTACGTGTATATAACATGGATGACACGTTATTTATGGAAAGCTTACAAGAAAGGACTGACAATTAAAGACTTGCCAAATATTTCAGTGTATGATACCTGCGAGTACAATACACTAAGGTACAAATTTAAAGTGTTATCACATCTCTTTGAATATTGTAACATACTATATAAAAAAGAGCAACTTTTTTAGGCTAGATGTATTGTGGCAACAAGAACTAAGTAAAAATGGCCCCAGTGCAGCATCGTTTAGCATGGTAGCATGGAGATTTGTACGCACAAGAGTTTATATATCATGCATTCTGCTAACTTTATCCCTTATTTTTGGGTTCATAAGTCCTGTAAGATTATCCTTTTATTTGCAGTAAATTACATTAAGTACTAACATTATTATACATATATTATATCATTAATATAATATAATTATATATTTTTTATTATACATCACATACATACATACATTGTATTTACAATATTATATATTGTAAATACAATGTGTGTTGTAAATAATTGTGTGCAATTTTCTTTTTAGACGATATTAATGAGAAAGATATTGGAACACATGGAGTCTCCAGAGGAGAACTTTTGGGATGGCATTAAATGGGTTGTATTACTAGCACTGTGCGATTCCTTGCGTGCGTTCTTTTTTACTTGGACATGGAACATGAACTATAAGACTGGATTACGATTAAAGTCAGCTTGCACGACTCTGTTGTATAAGAAAATCATCAAACTGAACAATCTTGGAAATAAAAGTACAGGAGAAGTAAGACTCAAATTTTGTTTCTTAAGAATTTGAACATCTGCAAGTTGCTTTCTTGATACCCTCGATCTATCTCTTAACTTTTATAACTCACATTTTATTAACTTTTATTTTCAGATAATTAATTTGTTTTGTAATGACAGTCAAAGACTGTTTGACGTAATCATTTATGGGCCGATGATTATTAGTGGACCAATAGTCATAAGTTGCGGTGTAATTTATGTACTCTGGATGTTTAATCCTATTTCTTTACTAGGAATGATAGCTTTTCTTTCGTTTTACCCATGTCAGGTGAGAGATTTGCTATTGTGCGTATAACGTACATATTTTATCTAACATAACATTCTCATTTACAGTTTTTGATTTCACGCGCGACTGGTTACTTTCGCGAGAAATCAATAGGTATCACAGATTCTCGGGTACGTCTTATGAGTGAGATTCTGGAGTGCATAAAGTTGATTAAGATGTATGCCTGGGAAAAATATTTTAGTCAAAAACTTTTCGGTGAGAATAATTATAATTTGTAGTAAAGTAAAATAATTTAATTTTCTCCCTTTAATTTAATATAACAGATTAAGATTATATTAAGAAACTTTGTCCATATTGCATTTAATTCATTGAACTGTTGCAATTCTGATATATTTCTGATTAAAGAAACATGTTCAAATTTAAAATAATTCTTTACATCTAGAAATGTTTTTCTTTGCAGCTATACGCAAGAAAGAAGAGCATTGGCTTCATAAGATTGCATATTTCCAAAGTCTTAGCATTTCTCTAACGCCAGCGATACCTGTGATATCCGCAATCATCACATTTTTAGCATATGTTGCTTCAGGCAATGGGTTAACCGCTGCACAGGTATGAAATCTAATCTATCCTTCAGCATAGTTGCCAATTTTAGACATGTATAATATTTTTATAAACATCTTGATTTTATGTATATCAGGAGAAATTGGATAACATTCAGTAGGTAAGCAATTTTTAAGGTGTTGGATCCTGAGGTGGAAATAGATTGGTACTTGTTCGATTTTCATGGATATCTGTAACTTTAGTTACAAGTTAATTAGATTTATGCGAATTGATTTTTGCGAATAATATTACATTTAATGGATTATACGTTACAGGCTTTTCCAATGACCACATTATTTGGAAATTTGCTTAGGCTGGCGCTCACGTCACTTAGGGATACCATGCGATATTTTATCACCGCTGTTCTATCTCTTAGAAGATTTAAGGTCTCCCAGTGTCGTTCGATTAATTTAATGCATAGCTTAAGGCTATCCGTGTATTAAATCAGTTATCCGTGTATTAAAAAACCAGTACTCGTGTTTAATAAATTCAGTCTCTTGACTGAATTCTTTTCGAAATTTTTCTCTTTTATATAAATCTTACAAAAAGAAAATACAATTAACAATTGTCACAAGATTGTGCAGCTTTTAATAACATATGTTACACCAAATTAATGAGATAATCTATATAAAAGAAAATAGATATAAGCAGCATGAAGAAAGAAATAGTATGAGTACTGCTTTCATAATAATACATAAATGAGATAAATGTTTTAATGTAAAAGACAAAGAGCTTTCAAGGTAGCGTAGGAGAATACAGACACAATGGGTGAACATTGCATGCTTTGTGCACAAAAAAGCACTGTGTTACAATCGAACAGCTGCTATTAGTGATTCCTCTAGTATACTGGATACACGAATTGCGAATTTTAAATAATGTCGAATTGGGGCGCACGACGTTCCCACGCTTGTCTACCATTAAGTACAGACATAATTGTATTGTACTAACATGGTTGTTTTAATGCTGCACTGCATTACTTTTCAGGTCTTTCCCTTCGTATCGGTGCTCAATGCTCAAATTCGTACTTCTTTCATGTTTTTGCAAGTGGCCTTAGTTAATATCACTGCAGCAAAGATAACTTTTGGGAGAATAAAGGTGTTTATTCTTTGTGTATATTTAGTGGGAATGTCCTTTGATTACGTTGTAACTGAATTCCGTACATTTCGTGCTGTATCATAACGTTTCTCTCTTAACACTTTCCATTATTCAAATAACAATTAGCTCTGACTTTACCGACGAATGTGTATTCACATTACAAAGCCACATTTAATTAGATGTCTTGCTTTGCTTGTACTTGTCACGTAGCTTGATCACGTAACGATTTCGTGTGACGTGTTAATATATATTTACAATCTTACAAAATAACATGGGGATGCCTGAGACTGTCATTTCTATATTTCTGACTCTAGAAATTAACTCATATCTCATATATTCGTGATAGCTGATTGTAAATACTGTATATTCCTTTCTTTTTTAAATTTATATCTTTCATATCATTGCACTACTAATTCGCTCGATTGCTTTACATCTCTTTCAACGATATACCGAATAAATAATTTGACTAACAGAACGATATCTGTACAGAGCGTATTGCTATTGGACGAGGGCAATTGTCAGGCGTCGAAACCGATTGTGAGATCACAAGCGGTGGCTATCGCTAATGGTACTTTTGTCTGCGACAGAGTAAAACTTCAGATGGACAAATCAGTTGATCATGATAGTAAAAAAAAGTAAATATCTGTTGGATTTATAAGTTTAAATCGATCTTTGTAAATTTAATCTTTCCTACACACTAAGCTGATTGAATTGACTTTTCAATTTGCTTGCAGAAAGACGCTCGACACGAACAATTCGACAAAAGTGGAAAGCCTTACGCAACTTATGCAGGAAACCAAATACATCGAGGTTCTCAATGACATACATTTCGGTGCACCTAAGGGGAAGTTAGTCGGTATCTGTGGCCACGTAGGCAGCGGGAAATCCAGCCTTCTTTTGGCCGCCTTGGGACAATTGAGAATGACAAAGGGCCACATTTTGAGGGAGGGTTCCTGCGCGTACGTCAGTCAGCAGGCGTGGATCATGAATGGAACTTTCAAGGAGAATATTTTGTTCGGCGAAGAGTTGGACGCCAAGCGCTACTATTACACGATTACAATTTGCAATTTAAAGGACGACGTGAACATGCTACCGGGAGGAGACGAGACCGAGATCGGTGAGAGAGGAGTCAACTTGTCCGGAGGACAGAGGCAGAGGGTCGCGCTCGCACGAGCGTACTACGCCAATCGGTGCAAACATCTCTTTATTTGCTTTCCCATATTTACGTTGCAAATGATTTTTATAAAATGATAGATCCAATTATATTTTTCGTTCCAGGGATATTTACTTCCTTGATGATCCTTTGAGTGCAGTCGATGCCTACGTTGGTTCATACATCTTTGAGAAGTTGATTATCGAAGCTCTTAGAAACAAATCTGTTCTCTTCGTGACACATAACATTCAAGTACGTGTTTAATACCAAGATATTTTTTCCTCAAGCATCGTTTATAATACAATCTTAGTTATAAGGATTATTTTTATACCTTGTCCTTATCTCGTATGAATTAATTATTATAAAGTAGTCGGAGGAGAATCATTTACATGTGCGAATATGCGATAGTTATATCCAATATTTGTTGCAGTTCTTAAAACGTTGCGATGAAATCTATATGATGAGCGAAGGCAAGATTGTCGAACATGGAACTCATGAAGAACTTATGCGACTCGACAGGGAATATGCTTCAATGGTGAAAAGCGGGATTATTGCAGCGGAAGAAAATTTATTAGCGTGCGTTTGATATATATTATATATCGGACTTGTCAGAAAGGAGTTCTGTATAATTCAATACATTCAATATATTATTTAAATCTTTACAGCAGAAAACCTACAGAGACGTTACAGAGAAGTATCCTCACTAATGACAATTCAGACTCTCAAAATACCGGGACAGAGTTTGAAAGCAAAGAAAATTACGCGAAAGACAAATTATACAAAGGTGAGAGTAGTGAATATAATTGTATAACATGCAACTTCAAATTTAGACTCCGATATCACGTGCGTTTACGTTAAATAATTTTATATATTTTAGTAATTATCTTTCTAATTTATTTTAGTAATTTATTTATTTATTTATTCTCTGCTTTAGGCAAAGCTTTAACAGTAGAAGAGAAAGCTGAAACAGGTGCTGTCAAGTCGTACACTTATCACATGTATATACAAGTCACAGGTGGTTACCTCGTCGCAATCCTCGTATTCTTAACGTTTTTCTTGAACGTGGGTAGTTCAGCATTCAGCACTTGGTGGCTCGCTGTGTGGATTAAAGCTGGCGGCGGTGTAAGTAAATACACATTACATTTAACATCTAAAATATACACACGTATTTTCTATTAATAATATTATTGTTATTATCATCATTATTTTTTATTATTCTTTATTAAATGTCTATCTTACGTAGAATGTTATTCCAAAAACTTTATATTATTAACAGTGATTTTAAACTCACATTTCGCATAACATTTTCCAGAACGTAACTATATCTGGAAGCAACATGACTATATATTCGGAGAACATAAACGACAATCCAGACTTCTCGTATTATCAGAACATATATGCTATGTGCATTGGTGGCATACTATTGACGAGTTTCATTCGTGGCTTCGTGATTATGTTCGCAACGATAAAAGCCGCAACTACATTGCATAACACGTTTGTTCGCAAGTTGATCGGTTCCCCGTTAAAATTGTTCGAGACTACCCCAAGTGGTAGAATCCAAAATGTGTTCAGTCGAGATATAGACGAAGGCGAGTACTCTCAGAGATCCTAAACGCATGTATAATGAATGAATACGAATCAATCTACGTATCGTCTGATTCAACTAATATTTTTTTTACAGTTGATAATTATTTACCTATATCAATAGAGAACATGGTGCAAAACATTTTTACTTGTAGTTTTGCTATATTTTTTATTTGCGGCATATTACCCTGGTTCTTTCTACCGTTACTTATATTCGGTGCACTGTTCTTTTTTGTTAGTAAATTATTTAGGTAAGTTATATTGATATATATATACTACATAATTTATCTCAGATAATAGAGAACTTCGGTTTCATGTCGTGTGTTTATAGGATAGGCATGAGGGACCTGAAAAGAATGGAGAATGTTTCGAGATCTCCCGTTTTAAGTTTCGTTACCACGACGATTCAAGGTTTGAGCACAATTCATGCGTTCCAAAAGGAAAAAAGTTTCGTGCACAAGTAATTATTCTAATAAATTATAAATTGTTAATAATTTTAATGAGTGAAATATTTGCTAGTTTCAATAGTTATATATAATCAGTTAAATAATAATGGAAAAGATAAAGATATAATCGTATAATTACGAGATAACGGCAAGAGAAAATATGACAATTGAGTTGTTTCTTGATCGGCAGATTTGAGGAGCTATACAACACGAATAATTTGTGTCAATATCTGTGCCAAGCCGCAATGAGATGGTCCGCGGTAAGACTGGATAGCTTGGTAATCGCCTCGTCCCTTATAACCGCGTTACTTGTAATCTCGCTTAAAAATGAACTATCGCCAGCTTTTGCCGGTTTGGCCATGGCATATTCGACACAGATGACCGGTGTTTTTCAATACACCGTCAGACTGATGTCCGAGACGGAAATGCGCTTTATAAGCGTGGAAAGGATTAGCTATTACCTTAAAGTGAGTCACTTATTTCCGTGTAACACGTAACGTTCACGATTGGAGTAAATAATTATACATTGTGTGAGAGTAATGCTATTATGTGTACGACAGATATTTTTACTGTAATCTTTATTAATTGTGTTTTGTTTTTACTTAGACCTTACAAAGAGAAGGTGCGAGTAAGACAGTCGATGTCAAGCCGGCGGACAATTGGCCTTCACGTGGAAAAATAGAATTCAAGTCGGTTCGGATGAGATATAGAGAAGAACTGCCGCTCGTGTTGGTCGATGTTTGCTTTAGCGTTAAAGCTGGAGAAAAAATAGGTAACGAAAAGATAATAATTTGCCGTATTTTTGTGTTATTTCGCTCGAGGATAATTAAAAATTGATTGATTTAGGTATCGTGGGTCGTACCGGATCCGGCAAAAGCTCTTTGGTCGTAGCTCTGTTCCGTCTAGTCGAAATTTGCGAAGGTGGCATCAAAATTGACGGTATCGATATTTCGAAATTGGAATTGGACGTATTGAGAAGTAAATTGTCGATCATCCCGCAAGATCCAATTTTATTCAGCGGAACTATAAAGTAAAATATTTCATTTAATTTCCAATTCGTTTCTTCCATCAATACAGACGTATTGTCTTCGTTCATCAGATCCAACCTGGATCCTTTTCAACAACACGCCGATTCGGACATTTGGAACGCCCTCGAGAAGACTCAAATGAAAGATAAGGTGTCTCTTATGCCGGGAAAACTCGATGCCTCTGTTGCATTTGGCGGAAATAATTTGAGTGTTGGTGAGAGACAACTTCTCTGTCTATCAAGGGCTTTGCTGCATAGTGCCAAGGTAAACATAAAGTCCGTGTCAGATTAGATATTAAAGATCGAGGATTATAGATCAGAGATTAGAATTTAATGAATTAATTAATAAACTTTGATATTGGCTCACTTTATGCCGATCGATCAAGTTTCCAATTTTCAACCCACTGTACTTAATTTTCAATATCTAATTTGATATCTATCTCTTCAAAACGCTAAGTTAGAAACAAATAGCGATCGGAATATTATTTTTTTTTCAGATATTATTACTTGACGAGGCTACGGCGGCGGTTGATCCCGAGACTGAAGCGACGGTGCAAAATACTCTGCAGTACGAGTTCGCGGATTGTACTATACTTACGATTGCTCATCGGCTGCAAACGGTCGTGGCGTCTGATCGCATTCTCGTTATGAGTGACGGCAAGGTTATCGAATTCGACGCGCCGACCGTTCTTCTCTCCCGACCGGATTCCGAGTTCTCAAAGCTGATGGCCGCCGTGGATAAAATTGCATGAAATAATCTCTGTTGAGATCTGACTCGCGATTATGATGTATGATTAGTCGCACAGGCAATTAGACTAATATTACATTGATCTCGAGTTATACGAGTAAATGAAGAGAAAAAGGAATGCACAGTATCGTTTTATAAAAGAAACATTAACATACATAGTATATCATGACAAAAAGACATAGAAACAAATAATAACTTAATTAACTTTCTTACCGAATTTTCTCAACGTTCCATTATCCAACTTGCGTCTCGTAAATATAAAAGAAAACAATATCCGTCTAATATCCATCTTCCCTTAACTTTGTTAGTGCAATCAGTTCGTTATAATATCATTTATATATATATATATATATTGAATTTCTTATAAGCTAGGTTTGTTAATTTAATACTTATTAGTTTAAAAATAAATTGCAGATTTTAAATAATATATAATAAAATGCTGGAAATTATGCATTAATATTTGCATCGATTAGTATTATCAATAGTATAGAGACAAACGCTGTTTAATGTTAAAAAAGAATGAATTGAAAGAATGAATAGTCACAAAATATAATTGCAAACGAAGAAATTAACCATATCAATTTCGATTCTGGGAAATTTACGCGCGCTTGGAAATATTGAAATATTGATTTTCTCGTGAGGCAAAACGTGCATACTGCTCATGCTCGCTGCTTCAACTTTCGGTCGTTGCTGGACAGCTGGCGACACGGCCGAAAAATGTTCGTCGCGACACCGTCAGCTTGTTATTACCTCTGAAATGTTTATTGCACGTTGAGCTTGATCGTTGCTTTATATTCCGAAATGTAGTCTATAAAAAATGCCGTAAAGGCAGTATCTATCATTTCCTAAAAAGTCCAGAGAAAGGTAAATCTTCCGATAATTAATGAACAATATATCTGACTTGTTAATGTGAAAATTTATTTGTGAACAAATTAGATATTTAAGTTTTATTGAATTTTAATATTAATAATTACTTTGCGTTATTTTCAATATTTACGGTTTCATTCCTTTGAGTATATATAAATCGTTTAAGAAAAATGAACTATTCTTTATTTGTATGATAAAATGTATAATTATATATAAATATCATGCTTCCATAAATATCAATAAATTACATATTTTAATAGATTATTGTTATATTCTTTTGAGGTTCTAAAATGTAATGTAAACGAATAACGCATGCATGTATGCGTGCATTATTCGTATGAATGGACGATCAGTAGAAACAGATGGAAGAACTTAGCAAATTAAGTTGATCCATTAATTCCTGGTAATAACTTTTCATTAAATACAGTTATATAATTCGGCAATCCCAGAAAAAACAGGTCAATATACCTCTCGAAAAATGTACATGTTTGTTTTCTAGAGTGTTCATCGTAATTAATAAGTTTGCTATTTATAGGCCTCAAGATTGCGAACATAATCCCTATTATGATGTTGGGGAGGAAGCAGAGCCTCAAAGGGGAACCCGTTCTGGCCGACTATGGCCCGGAAGAGTCCCTCAATGAGAGCGCTGACATAGAATGGGTCAACAAGGTGAGTGAAAGCAGAGATCGACTTGGTGAAAATCGCAAATTTTAAGATTAACGCAATTCTACGTCATGTCCGATCGATTTGTGAAATTCATATTGCGAAAAATGATTTCAGCTGTGGGTGAGAAGGTTGATGCGGTTCTGCGCTCTGGTCTCGCTGGCATCCGTTTGCTTGAACACTCCGAAGACGTTCGAGAAAGTACCAGCTCTGCAATATGTTACTTTCATTTGCGATTTATTAGTCACGTTTCTGTTCACCGCCGAGATGATCGCCAAGATGTATATACGTGGAATACTAAAGGTAAAAGGTCATCTTTTTCATTGAGAATACATAAGTTGAAGTGAGGAATACTTAACTTTAAGGATTAATTCGAAATAGTTGACCTTCAATCATTGTGCAATTTATGTCATTTAACTGGAATCAAAATGGAATTGCTAATGATATTGCAGAGGGATAAGTCTTACTTGAAGGATCATTGGTGCCAATTCGACGCGAGTATGGTGATCTTCCTCTGGCTGTCTGTGATTCTGCAGATGTTCGAGATGTTGGGTTTCCTTGTTAAATTCAGTTATGCTTCAATCATGCGATCACCACGACCACTGATCATGATACGCTTCCTACGGGTCTTCCTCAAATTCTCGATGCCCAAGAATAGAATTAATCAGATTTTTAAGTAAGGAAATTACATTTGAATCGGCAGTCGCTATTTTAATTGAAATTAATTTCATTGTTAATTTTAACCCGTCTCCAGCTGTGTAGTTATTAATTGCCAGTCGTTCGATTTATTTAGACGCTCGAGCCAACAGATTTACAATGTGACGCTCTTCTTCCTCTTCTTCATGTCTCTTTATGGCTTTCTGGGTGTGCAATTTTTTGGCGAGCTGAAGAACCATTGTGTGCTGAACACAACTGATCCGCATTACATCACGATCAACAGTCTAGCTATTCCCGACACATTCTGCTCCACTGACCCAGGATCTGGATACCAATGTCCCGAAGGAATGATCTGCATGAAGCTGGAGTTAACCAAGTATATTATAGGCTTCAATGGATTTGACGAGTTTGGTAGTAGTTAATATTAATATTACACCTGTTGTCCTTGTATGTCCTAATTTTTTTTTTCTTTTCTTGATAGTAGCTGTTTAAGCGTAATTCTCTCGCGATTATTATCCAAAAATTACCAATTTGTTGGGAGTTATTGAGTTTATGAATCATATTTTACATATCTTACATCCTACATTCTGCATCCTATATTTCATATCTATTCTATATATTTATATATTAAAAATCGAGGTTGCAAATCACAAGAATATTCTTCTGCTAATAATTTATGGATAGATACATTTGTTAATCATGACATTTCTCATGGTGCTGTTGAAACTAGTCTCCTAAATGCAAGATACTTGGCAGACTTAATGCTGAAAATTGAACTGCCATCATTGCAACAGTAACGCAAATGATACGTGCGACTTTGACGTTAAATTTGGATTGCTCAGCTACCAGCATATTCACCGTCTATCAAGCAGCCTCTCAAGAGGGCTGGGTCTTCATCATGTATCGAGCGATAGATAGTCTGCCAGCGTGGCGTGCGGTCCTCTACTTCAGCACGATGATATTCTTCTTGGCCTGGTTGGTGAAGAACGTCTTCATCGCCGTCATCACGGAGACCTTCAATGAAATCCGGGTGCAATTCCAGCAAATGTGGGGCGTCAGAGGTCAAATCAGCAACAGTTCAGCTTCGCAGGTCAGTCTTCATATTATTCTCTTCTTTCTTTCTCTTTATAATCTTCAAAAAAGAGTTGTTCTTATTTGTTAATTGTTTCTAAAACACAAACAAACAAGCTCAATGAAAAGATGTGAATATCACTGTATAAAATTGATTTAAACAATTATGTGACTTTAATTCACATATTACTGAAGAATTTAAATATATTTGCATGTATATTTTATACATGACTCGTTGGTTCATTGATAACTCCTTGATTGCAGATATTAACCGGAGATGATAACGGTTGGAAGCTAGTGACGTTAGACGAGAACAAACACGGCGGTCTAGCCTCGCCGTTCTGTCACGCTATCCTCAGATCACCACAATTCCGCATGGTGGTGATGTGCGCGATTCTGGCGAACGGCATCACCACTGCTACGATGACATTCAAGCACGACGAGCAACCGAGGCACACGTATTATGACAACTATTACTACGCCGAGATCGCCTTTACGATACTCCTTGATCTAGAGACTCTGTTCAAGATATGGTGCCTGGGCTTCCGGAGTTACTTTAAGCATTCGATTCACAAGTTCGAGCTGCTGCTTGCCGTTGGCACGACTATACACATTCTTCCGTTCTGCTATCTCTCTGGATTCACTTACTTTCAGGTTTCTACCTTTATTTGACCTCGTCTCGTTCTGTATTTTCCTCACAGCTGTTTTATGCTTCCTTAGATTTGCTAACTGCGTTTCGCTTTCTTGAGTTTGCAATTTTGAAAGTTTGTTAATTTTTCATATTTTTTCAAAATATCCAATATATATGCGATAAACCGATCTTTATTTTATCATTTATATCCGTGTGAAAAGGTTCTCCGGGTGGTTCGACTTATCAAGGCATCGCCGATGTTGGAGGACTTTGTCTACAAGATTTTCGGTCCAGGAAAGAAGCTCGGAAGTCTCATCATTTTTACCATGTGCTTACTGGTGATATCATCTAGCATTTCTATGCAGCTCTTCTGCTTCCTCTGCGACTTCACTAAGTTTGAAACCTTCCCTGAGGTGAGTCGTTGAGATGCTTTGACAAATCGTTGAACCACATGACTACCTTGGGGCAGAGCTTTAAAGCACAAATTCCCCAGGCGTTCATGTCGATGTTCCAAATTCTCACGCAAGAAGCCTGGGTGGACGTGATGGACGAGACTATGGTTAGAACTCACGAGACGATGGCGCCTTTCGTCGCGGTGTACTTTATCTTATACCATCTTTTCGTTACCTTGGTAATATTTATATAACTTTCTCCGTATGCAACAAGCATATGTCGTTGACTCTTGGCACAATTCCTTATCTCTTCACAGATTGTATTGAGTCTTTTCGTCGCCGTGATCTTGGATAATCTCGAACTGGACGAAGATATTAAGAAGCTGAAGCAACTAAAGTTCCGTGAACAGAGCGCTGAGATAAAAGAGAGCTTACCATTCAGACTGAGGATTTTCGAGAAGTTCCCGGACAGTCCGCAGATGACATGTCTTCACAAAGTGCCGTCAGACTTCAACTTACCGAAGGTAAATATTCCAAAGGAGACATACTCAGATTAAAGTAATATTTAATTTATTTTTTCTAAGGTGCGCGAGAGTTTTATGCGACAATTCGTACTTGAAGTGGAGGACGAGGAGAACGAAGGCACTAAGAGAACTAACGAAACCTTCGATTCGAAAATGTTGTACAGGAAGCAGCGGCCAGTGAAGATCTTGAATAATCCGCCGAAAGTGAGAAGCGTTGTGACGAATTTGAAGAAAGCGGCTGTCATCTATATTATAAAGTAAGTGAAACATTTTGTTACGGAAACATCCGATGTATTTAAAATTTAGTGCTTCAATTGTTTCTTTACTTACAGTGATTCCAACAATCAGAGGCTCCTGTTGGGAGATTCCGCTATGATTCCTGTGCCGGGAAAAGCACTGCTGAAACCGCAAGGCACCGTCAGCAGTGCCAAGCAGCTTCGCATCGACCAGAAGAAGTAAGAATGAGGATCGAGGCTGCGAAAAGTTGAAATACATCGGCGCAATTCGCGATTCATCTCTCTAGAGATATTTTCGCTGATTTGTTTTTCTTTCTTATAACGATATCAATCATTTCATGCTTTTACACTTGCGCGTTTCACGTTTTCTTAATTGCTGGTGGATGAAAACAGATCAATCAGAAGAAGTGTCCGAAGTGGATCGATCAAACTCAAGCAAACTTATGAGCATCTTATGGAGAATGGCGATATAGGTGGGATAAACAGAGTCAGTTCCTCGCGCAGCAGGCCGCACGATTTGGACATCAAGCTGCTGCAGGCTAAGAGGCAACAGGCGGAAATGCGAAGGTAGTTGAGACTGCACATACAAAACTACCTTTTCTGAGACTTTCTGAAAAACCTTTGCGAGTTGATGTCTCTGTTTCGACTGCTACCAGAAATCAACGTGAAGACGATTTGCGGGAGAACCATCCATTCTTCGATACACCATTGTTCGTCGTGCCGCGTGAGAGTAAATTCCGCAAGATTTGCCAACTGCTCGTTTACGCGAGATATGATGCGAGACTGAAGGATCCCCTGACAGGCAAGGAGAGGAAAGTGCAATACAAGAGTCTGCAGTTAGTATTATGAAATTACGACGTTTGCATGTTTTTGCTTGGATGATGCCAAGCGAAACAAGGAGAGATTACAAATAGACGGACTTTATATTTTTCTTTCTTTTTTAGCAATTTCCTCGGTTTAGTAACTTACCTCGACTGGGTGATGATATGTGCCACGACGTTGTCGTGCATCTCAATGATGTTCGAGACGCCACGATATCGCGTGATGGAAGTACCGGCCTTGCAGATCGCGGAATATGGCTTTGTCATCTTCATGAGCATTGAATTGGCGCTCAAGATCTTGGCGGACGGTTTGTTCTTCACACCCAAAGCTTATATTAAGGATGTTGCTTCAGTGCTGGATGTCTTTATTTACATTGTACGTATAATTTGCTCAATATTTTAATTATCTCCTACAATAATTATATATGTATGTGATATATATATATATATATAATTATCGTTATACATATTGAGACACACTACGATTTATCAAAGTTACTTTGTGTATCGTATCATCATATATTGGTCGTATCATGTCGCTGTAGGTGAGTCTCGTGTTCTTGTGCTGGATGCCGAAGAGTGTGCCGCCGAATTCCGGCGCACAGTTGCTGATGATATTGCGATGCGTCCGACCATTGAGGATCTTCACACTTGTGCCGCATATGAGGAAAGTCGTTTACGAGCTTTGCAGAGGGTTCAAAGAGATCTTGCTGGTAGATACCATTTTTCGCTTGGATCCTTAACTACTCGCGTTTATACTTGACGTCCTGAAAGTAATAAAATGAAAAAATTAATTTAGGAATATGATTTCATCGTGAAATAATGAATAACGTACGTTTAAACTAGGTATCGACATTACTGATCCTGTTGATGTTTGTGTTCGCGAGTTACGGCGTGCAGTTGTACGGTGGCCGATTAGCCAGATGCAACGATCCGACGATTTTGAAACGCGAGGACTGCGTCGGTGTATTCATGAGGAGAGTGTTTGTGACAAAGATGAAGCTGCGCCCCGGGAAAGACGAGAGTTATCCGTCCATATTGGTACCGCGCGTTTGGTGAGCGTTTCGATCGGTTAATTAATTTTACGTGTTTCTCTCTTGTTTCATATCGATTATATTTTGCTATAAATATTTTTAATGAGAGAAAGATAATGATTTCTCTCATACTTTCTCATTTTATAACATTGTATATAAGACATGTTTCAGGGCTAATCCTAAAAGATTTAATTTCGATAATATTGGCGACGCGATGATGGCTCTGTTTGAAGTGCTTTCCTTCAAAGGCTGGCTCGATGTGCGAGATGTTCTTATCAAAGCTCTTGGTCCCGTAAGTTATAAACTTTTTGAATTTTGATTGGATCATCAAAACTAAATCAAAAACTTTTCATAGCTCAAGAATATTTTTCACATAATATACATTCATATGATATATATTATTCTTTTCTGTGCTGTATGCTTCTTTTCTCCGACGTCCTACTATAATTTTCTTTTTAGGTTCACGCGATTTACATACATATTTATATTTTCCTGGGTTGTATGATCGGCTTGACCCTATTCGTGGGCGTTGTGATTGCAAATTACTCCGAGAACAAGGGCACTGCTCTGTTGACGGTCGATCAGAGACGATGGTGAGGTCTTATATTTCTCTCTCATCGATTCATATATGGCGATCTCGTTTTCTGTAGATCGTTCATATAAAATATGAATTTTGTCGGATCGCAGGTGCGACTTGAAAAAGCGTTTGAAGATCGCTCAGCCGCTGCACTTGCCACCGAGACCAGACGGTAAAAAATTCCGGGCTTTCATCTACGATATTACGCAGAACATCTACTTCAAACGATTCATCGCCGTCATGGTTATCATAAATAGCGCTCTGCTGTGTGTTTCTGTGAGTTAAACAAAGTAATCCTCAGATCTAGCGAGGAGCTTTTACCTTGAATCATTTGTCCCTTGCCGATTACTATTAGACTGTAATAAAAGTAAGTGGAAAGCGTTTGGCAGTATTTAATTTGCGATTTTTTCCGTTTTATCTCTCTTCTGTCTCGCTCGGCCCGAAGTGGAGGATCGAGGAATCGCACACGGAACCGCTGGCCACCTTGTCCATGATCCTGACCCTGGTCTTCCTCGTGGAGGTAATCATGAAAAACATTGCTTTCACACCACGTGGCTATTGGCAGTCTAGAAGAAATAGATATGATTTGCTCGTGACAGTCGTGGGCGTTATTTGGATCGTCATACACTGCACGATGAAGGTACGTTCTGGCGTCGTCGAGAAGTCATCGTGCTTCCTCTGTTTATTCTTTTCCTTTCCCATCTCCTAGAATCGCCTAGAATCCATGACACTTAGTTCATGACGATTTGCAACCGTTGCTTTTCAGAACGATCTGTCCTACGTGATCGGATTTATGGTTGTAATACTCAGGTTCTTCACCATTACCGGCAAGCACACCACACTCAAGATGCTGATGCTCACAGTCGGAGTGTCCGTTTGCAAGAGCTTCTTCATCATATTCGGCATGTTCTTGCTCGTGTTCTTTTACGCTTTAGCCGGCACTATTATTTTCGGCACCGTCAAATACGGAGAAGGTATAGGAAGGTGAGAGAACGTTAGAGAATCTATAAAAAATATACAAAATTAAATGTTCTCAATGGATCGATCAATTAGTTTGTTCAATGACACTAAAGAGACAAATTTGAATTTTATCTTTTAATTTTTTTATAGTATTAATTTCTAAATTACAAGAACTGTAAAAATTTAAACCATATTATTGCGCGCAGCTCAAAAATGTATCCCAATCCACTCAAAAAAATATATATAATCTCTAATCATAATGTAGGCGTGCTAATTTCGAGTCACCGGTCACCGGTGTGGCGATGCTCTTCCGCATAGTGACGGGAGAGGACTGGAACAAGATCATGCACGATTGCATGATACAGCCACCTAATTGCACGCCGGCGGACAATTATTGGGAAACGGACTGTGGCAATTTCCACGCTTCTCTCATTTACTTTTGTACATTTTATGTTATCATCACTTACATCGTTTTGAATCTCCTAGTGGGTATGTATAGACATTGTTGATTATTGAAATGATAACTATTTTTGCTGCGCATTATCTAATGTTCTTTGTTTATTCGCGACGATTTTTGATCAATAGCGACCTATAGCGTAAGTGTCTGAAAGCAATCTTAGAAACATTTGTAAGGGATTCTATTTGCTTCAAATGTCTTTTGAGTGTCTCTAAAATGTATTTTAGACATTTGTGCTATTTGAGAAATATTCTTTTTATCTCTTTCGTCATTAATAAGAATTCTTGTCAATTCTTTTCTCATAAAACTTTCATAATAATATAATTAGCGTGTTGGATTCTCAAATTCGAAGTTAAAACGTTTCTCTTGCGAACAGCTATCATTATGGAGAACTTCTCTCTATTCTATTCAAACGAAGAGGACGCATTATTGTCGTACGCCGACATCAGGAACTTTCAAAACACGTGGAATGTTGTCGATGACCATCAGAAAGGTGTTATACCAGTGAAGAAGGTATGATCTTACTTTAAGTTAGAATATCAAATATTCATATTAGTAAAGCGACATGATAATATGTAAAAAATCATCAATAACGTCAATTTATTTCAGGTGAAATACATTTTGCGGCTGTTGAAGGGCCGATTAGAAACCGACCCACAAAAGGATCGCCTACTCTTCAAGTACATGTGCTATGAGCTCGAACGACTGCATAACGGTGAAGACGTTACTTTCCACGATGTTATTAAGTAAGTTCCATGAGATAGACACTTTACCTACGACTCTCAAGTGAGATCCTAAAGTCCTTTCGAATTCTTAAGTTCTTCATCTTGCAAGGTTCTTCAAGTTCTTTGTTCTAGGATGCTTCTGCATCTTTAAATTAATAAATTTCTCAACAACTTGTGAACGTAATTATAAAAAATGTTTTATAATACTCGAGCTGCAAAACTTGACTGAACCGAGGAATTTATTTTAGCATGTTGTCGTACCGTTCGGTGGACATAAGGAAAGCGCTCCAATTGGAGGAATTATTAGCGCGAGAAGAGTTCGAGTACATAATTGAGGAGGAGGTGGCCAAGCAAACTATCAGAACGTGGCTACAAGGCTGCTTGAAAAAAATAAGAGCGGTAAGGATGAAGGTATGTACTTTGAAGTTACGTGGAGAAAATAACAATCTTGTTACTTTTGCAGAAACAGCAGAACAGTCTCATCGCTGGGCTTCGCGCTACAAACAACGCGATTGCGCCGCCTCAGGATCATATTGAAGAAAAGGGCAAAGAAGTTAGCGTTGATCGCGAAGAGGAGACTGAAACTAAAGCACGTTTTGCCTTCTTTGCTACAACACAATCTATCATTCGTTACAAAAAATTAACAGTTAATTTTTATGTTGAGTTAAATGATATTTTAATTCTACAAAATAAAATTAACGATTTCGAGAAAAAGTTCTCAATACTTCTGATAATGAAAATTGAATTTTTATTATATTTATAATAAAAATACGAAATTTTCGCGATGCACATGAGACATTCACACATTTTCCGCGATTCTAAAAAACGTTAATCTTTCATCAGCAGGATGTCGAGGTGCCGAAGCACAGAGTAAAAAAACCAGTGGTGCTTCCACGATCGGACAGCATAGGAAGTGCATCGGGGAGGAAGTATCTGGCCCCGACTTTATCGGATCCTGCATCCGTTCGGTCTGAAAAGGATAAAATCGCCGTAGCGAAGAAGAGGAACAGCAGACCACCAGGTAAGACTGAGTGATCACGTGGCTCGCTTTTTTTTTTTTTTTTTTTTACGTTAACACAGTTTCTACAATCTCGATGTTGTTTCTTCCCGATTTTTTCTAGCGATGGTGAAAAATAATTTGCCACACCTGACGGAAAACACGGAGCAAAGTAGGCAACAGAGGGAGGCGTCGAACAGCAAAGTGTCTGCTCCTAAAGTCTCTAGCGTCATGTTGGAAGTGCGAGAATGGTGGAAGGAACAATTAGCTTATAGCAGCGAATCCAGCGAAGACGAACTCTAGAACTTCCGAGTCACTGATAAGAAATTGTCAGACTGCGCTATTGTAATCTCGTTCGTATGAATCGTACGAAACGATATTCAGCCTAAGAATCCTTGTATTCAGCAGGGAGAGAAAAAAGAATAGAAGGAAGGAATATAGTATGTGCCTATAATTTGTAATTGTTCATTCTTAACGAACGTCCAATTTTAACGTGTCAGACTTCGTCGTTTTCACTACTGACAATTGCTAATATATTAATATGTTATCAAAAAGCAGTATACACAAAGCGAAGATCCAAAAAAGCTCCTGTTATACGTTTTATGTGAAACTTGACGTGTTAGAAAAATTAATCTATCGCGAAAGAATTATTATAATCATTGAAACATACACACACTCGCGGCATTTCGTATCAAATATCAGATATTACTGCCGTCAAATAGTGCATTCGCCCGGGCAAATGTGTTTACATCCCCGAGTATCCATTTGATTATTTAACGTCGCCCCGTTGATGAAGAATCATGCATCACAGTGCCACTCATTCATCACACTCGTGTCTCATTCGTGTTAAACATCACGAGTTATCCGTGAAAGAATTTTTTACATCCAACACGATATAAATTTTCAAGCAGACCAATATAAAATTGGCGATATCGTTAACTGCAATTTTGTAAATGCACTTGGCACTTGGATGCGACTTGTTGATATTTTTCGCCGTGAAGAGAGTCCTGATACTCTGTCGATGACGTTATCAAGCGCTCATCCTTCTCTTCTATAGGAATACGTTCGGATGGCCTGTACTGTAGACTTATATACACGCAATTGATTTGATATTGACAGTTGTAAGATTTTAGCGCATGATCGTTAATGTTACATTATCTCTGTTATAAGTGCTGTTATAGGTGTCGTCATCGCTGTGTATTGAATAAGACAGCTGCGCAGTCGATGAAGTAGCAACATCGGTCAATACTATGATTTAGCGAGTGATCGCTAGCAAATGATTTTCTAAAATGACCCGAAGAGATGGGTAGCGTTTTAATTTGGGGTTAATTAGCTGAGGCTGATTTTTCAAATGAGATTGCGCATGCGATTCAAACGCGAATAGCGTGTGAATCATTCGTATGAAGTTAATGGGAATCGAGTGGAGTATTTATACGCTCTCAAACTTTTGTAATAGGACATTGTGATAACATGAAGATACGCCGTGAATATATGTTGTTAAGACGAGCCTTTAGCGAAACGCGATCGATGTTAGTGCAAATAGTACGCACACGCACGATGGATCGACGTGTTGTATATATTTCGCAATGGGGAGGGCTTAGCCTTGTGAACTGTATTACGTTTACATCACTGTATTGAATGTTGATGATTGTTGCTAGTTTATGTGCCAATGTGTTGTCTTATATCGAATATAGGGCAAATAAATGTTATTAGTCATGATTATTCGTAAAAAGTTGCACTTATTATTTCTTAATCACTGGTATATATAAATGCGAATACGTATAAAAATATTTTCCCAAATTGTAACAATATAATTGATATATGTAAAAATTGACCGTAATTGTGCCGTTACTATGTTATCTACTCTCAATGAATAAATTAATGGCACCTGTGATTCTTATTATTTTAGAATATAAAGAATATTTTTATAATTAGACAGGCTTCTTATATCAGGAAGACATTGCCTTCCGCGGCCATAATCTGATTGTCGTTCGTCATGGTTTCGATGGCGGCGGTGATCTCATCGGATGTGAAATTCAGTGAACGCGTTGTGTTCAGATACATGGTAACTTCAGTCAGAGGTATCGTCTGAGTCCTACGCTCTTGGAACAAAGTGTGAAGCGACGACTTGAAGACGTTAAGTCTGAAAGTGAAATTATAGTTTAGCGATCGAGTAACCGATGAAAGACATAAAAAAATATTAGAATAATTTTGAAAGAAAAACTGTGTTCAATGTCTTTTATTCTTTCAGTCGTTTCTATCTGATTTCATTGAAAAATTCTGCTTAGTATTTTATCTCTGAGAAACGACTTAAGGATTACGAAGGTATAAATGAAATCTTATCGATCTAATTTGTTTTTGTTACTGGTCTATAAAATTTTAAACGCATAACTCATTCTATACATAAATAGGAACGTTAAGACAGAACGTTAAGAATCGACTTAATTCTTAATTCTTCTCCTCGACTGAAATTACCTCTCTTGCGAGATCGTTGGTGTTGCAGTTGGCGTCTCCGGGATGGATGTTTCCGCACTCTCGGCGGCGGCACTCTCGGCGGCGGCGCTCTCGGCGGCGGCGCTCTCGGTGGTAGCACTCTGCGACGAGGGTGTAGTTTTCTGCGAACGTGCTCTGGTCATTCTCCTCGTGGTTTCATCAATGTGCGTGTCGTCGTCGCTTTCATATTCGTACGGATCAACCTCGCCCGAGTCTTGAGTCTTCTTGGTACGCTTCGTCCGTCTTCCTTCGTTGATCTCATTCTCGTCCTCCGATATGTCGCTGTCGCGACGTCTTCGCTTTTTCCTGTCCTTTTCTAATACGCGTTTGAAGTATGCGAACTGCACCAGCTCGATCGCAGCTCGCGCGTCTTCGCTCTCTACGTTTTTGGATAACCGAGCTTTTGCATGCGCGGTCGCCAATCGAATCAGTGTCTCTAGAGTTCTTGCTGTTACTGGTTGAGTCTGAAATTTATGAAGTTAAAAGATGAATAATAAAGTCGAACATACGATACGATAAATAACAGATCTTCGAACAAAGTGTGAACCAAGATTTTCTGGTTAAAAGATGAGCAAAATATTAATACAGTAGATATAAATGCCATATTCTTTACATATACTGTTTATATTTTGTAGTGATTTTTCTTGAATATTTACCATATAAAAACGAGTATAACCTACCCTTGCAACATCGGACTCTACTACATCTTCTGAACGAAGTTTCGAATATTCCTCCGCGATAACAGCGCTCGCTTCTTCTGTGAGCTTGGGCTTCATACACCGGGCGATATGAATGTATTTTCTCATGAAATTTATGCTGAGGATCTGATCACTGGAAAGAAAACAGAAATGGATCTGTTGCTATATAAAATTTTGACATGATTGTTATTAATCAAAATTTCTTGAAATAAAATTGTACTAGATTAGAAATACTAAATAATATAGTGAAATTAATTATAACATACTTTTTGGAACGCGTTGCTCCGTGCAGAAGTGGATCATACTTCTGATAAACTTGCGATTGCGTCTCTTCAGTGACTACGTCATCCGGATTTTTCGTCGTCAACATGTCTAACTTCGAGCCCAAGCTCAAGGCTTCGCCATCCTGCTCCAAAGGACTTCTGTATCGATGCATCCTGACGACGTGGTCGCTGATTATGTGATCTTGATCCGAATCGATCACGTCTAACATTACGAAAAGAAGATCGAAACGTGATAGCAGAGAATCCTGCAGCCCGATATTCTCCATGGGAGTTTTGTATTGGTCGTACTGAAAATCATATTAAAATGATATTAATGAGAAAATTTTCATTAACACATCAGAAAGTCAGAAAGGAATCATTTTTAAATAGCCTGAACTTATATAGGCGAAATTTCGAACTTACTCTTCCATATACGGGATTCGCAGCTGCTAATACCGAACAGCGCGCGTTCAAACTGGCATGAATACCCGCTTTGGCGATGGTAATTCTGCCTTGCTCCATTACTTCGTGTATCGCTGTTCTATCGATATCTGACATTTTGTCAAACTCATCAATACAAATAACACCCCTGTCTGCGATGACCATCGCGCCTGCTTCCAGTCTGCGTTCACCGGTCTCTTGGTCGACCGTGACTGCCGCGGTGAGACCCACGCCCGAGGATCCTCTTCCGGTCGTCGAAATTGCTCGTGGAGCTGTACACAACACGTAACGCAGTAATTGCGACTTAGCCACTGATGGATCTCCGATGAGCAGCACATTTATATCTCTGTAATAATAATTATATCCCAGAACTATCGTTGATGAATATTACGCGTACAGAAAGTACGAAGTACTTTCTTTCAACTTTCTTTCAACAAAGAGGACCAGACATCTCTACTTAGTTACAGACTGAGTTTTAGTAATTTGTTTTTGAATAATTTACTTTATTCATTTTTTAATTGTTAATATAAAATAACGAGCAGCTTAATATGAATCGGATTTTTAAGATCTAAAAAATAAGAATGATGCATAATTTATTTTGTAATTAATTACGTAAACATTAATTTAATTTCCGACCGTTTCTTATAATATATAATCACTGAAGATTTTGTAAAATGTTCTTACCCTCTCAACCTCGTACCGTTTGGCAAAATCTTCTCTAGTCCACCTAAGAGGAGGCACAGAATAGCTTTCTTTATATAGTCATGGCCATGTATGGATGGTGCAAGAGACTTAGCAAGCAGTTCAAATATGTTCTTGCAGGGGTTGTTTTTCGCCAATTTTTTGCACATAGCTACATCATCGTGAGAGATCGCAAGGTTAGCTTCCTTGCTCAGTTGCATTATATTGTTAGCAATCAGAACAGTCCTGTATTGAGATAATCATTAGGGCGGTCTTACAGAAGAAAACACTTCTTCCTTCAATAAACTCTAAAGTCATCTGTGACTTGGTTGATTGGAAGAAGTAGTCTCTAATCTTGGTCTATGCAATACCTGAAAGCTCCAGTTGTGTATCCACCTTGCTTCCCTGGAAGACACCGATAATTTCCAACAACTTGTACTCGATCTCCAGGTTTGCACAAGTCTACTAAATCGTTATCACAAATTATATCCACGCTTCGTGGTAGCTGTCCAGCTGGAGCTTTTTCTGGCATTTCCTGTATAGTAAGTGTCTGATGATCTTTATAAGTTGATAAGCCAAATTCTGTTTCTAATGCATTGCCATCTTCATCCTATAATGCAGAAAGTGTGAACCTTCATACAGAGAAATAAATGCTCTTTTATACTTTGTTCAATTTGCTTGAATAATTACAGTGGTTGGATATATAGCAGAATGAGGAAAAGCATCCAAGGAAGTTAAATCCGAATAAGCTCTCTCAAGAACAGTTTTCGTTGCTTCACAGTAATGAACACTTCTCACAACTTTTGGTCGTACCAATGAGCCTATAATGGACATGCTTATAAATTTGTGATTCCTTCAAATTTTTTTTGAGTTTTTAAGATCAAATAAATTGAATATAAATGTAAATTCTTAGAATTACACTTATATATACTTATTTTATAAATTCATACTTTAAATAGAATACAATAAATATTGTATATGCAGATAGGGGTATAAGTTCTATAATTAAAACAATTAACTGTTTTTTCTTTTTTAATACTTACATTTTGTGACAATACCTTCTACACATACCAGATTACCCAGAAAGCGAGAGGTAAGTGTTCTTGGAGTGACATGTTTATTTCCAAAGCTTCCTTCAAAAGCTACAAAAAAATCTTTATTGTTTTTGATATAATCCATATCCACACTTGAGATATACTGTTTCAAGGCATTTTGAAATGCCAGTTGCTCCTCAAAGGAATTATTCAACAAACTGTAACATAATTCATAATTATCATTATATATATATATATTTCCAAATGTTTAAACATTATTTTCTGTAATTTTATAAATTGAGGAAAACTAAATGAACATATTATACCCAATTGTGCGTGCAGGATTTTTCCTTCTTAAATCATTGATATTTATTACTAATCTGTACTTATTTTCTTGAATCATATTCTTAACCATTGTAGCATATATCCCTTGATCCTCCTGCAAAGCATCAAAAAATATGAAAATCTTCAAAAAATACCCAATATGCATGCATTAGTGCATATTACAAACATAATATTCTTTAATATAATTATAACATATATATTATAAAATTAAATAAACGTCGTTGACAACAAATATTGACATTTAAAACATCTACCATATCATCTAAGAAGTCTACATATTCACGCGTAATTTGTTCTAGATTTTGATCAATTTCTGTGTCCATTTTAACGTTGTTTGTAATAATTAGTATATATTTATTACACGACACTTAACATACAATACAACAAATCATCAAATGTTTCGAAAACGATATACCGTCGCACCGATATCATTTACGCGGGAATATTGCATGTGGACCATACTCTGATTTAAAAAGACACTAGTAAGAACTAGTAAGAACTAACGTGTGCAGGTTGACATAAAGGCAGATTCACATCTTGATGGAAACCAGAGGCTGTATTCCGTACTCGCGTACCGATAGTTGTCGGCGTCGTTAGCAGTATTGCGCAGCTTTTTTGTTATATGAAAAACCTGCGCAATGTCGCTAACGACATCGACAACTGTCGATATGCAAGTATGGAATATAGCCCCAGATTTTTCTCTGATAGAAACCAATAGAAATGCAGAAAGCAGAAATGTAGCAACCAGTCAGAAGTCGCACTAATAGTCTATCTCTCTCTTGCAAGAGTTTTTCTGTCTGTCACTCTCTTAGGCCGGTATTCATAGTCGGATGTTATATTTAAGACCGTCTTAAGTTCATTTTCAGATGCTGTACAAATTATTTCATTGGCTACGGGGTATCTGAAGATGTACTTAAGACGATCTTAAATATAAGACCTGACTATGAATACTCGCCTTAGTTTCTGTTAGTATGTTTTTTTGTCAAGGTGCTAATCCGCCTAAATATTTATTAATCTAAAACCACTAGGAAAATGGAAAACTGAGGGTACGGTTATTTTAGTTAGTTATTATTGAGAAGACAGAACGGAATTGTTCTGATTGATTAACCCCCCTCCCCCTTCGCTTGTTTATTTCTCTTCTGCTGCTATTTCGATCTCCATGTGACCATATTCTGAAAGAGCATTGCATTCGATAGTCAAATTACACAAGATGATACCACCCACAAATTCTTCCTTCTAATCTCCGAAAATGTCAGTTTTCCAGCATTATTTTAAAAAATCAGGCATTTTCTACGATTCTGTGATTCAAAATGGACAGATATTTTTATGATTGCATATAACAGTTATCAAACCATGTAAGATGACATATGGTCTAATAGTATAATTTTCTTGTTGGACAAGATGAATAAGTTTTAAATTCATATGAAATAATTGCTTTTCTGTCTATTATTATATCTCAAACATAATTTAAGTAATTTAAAAAATTTTATTTTTTAAGTTTAATTAAGAATTAAGAACAAATAAAAGTCGGATGTATGGTAGATTCAAACAATCACATGTTTATTTAGCTTTCTTGCTCTTAATTTTTCTCATATAGAATTCCAGTTCTTTGCCTTCAAGAATGTAGCCATCAGCTCTGCCACACTGGCCAGGTCTGCTTGCTATACAGGCTAAAATTAAAAATATTACCTTTGAGTTTGAATTATCATTAAATATGCATTACAAGCATTCATACAAAGAGCAAAAAGTATCTTGTAATTACAACCCAATGACTTTAACATCTGTTTGCAAAGAAGTATCTTTTTTTTCTATAAAATAATTAAAATTTTCATACCAAGTACACGTCCTGTTGCAAATTGTTCTTCCAAAGCAGTTTCAACCTTGGCAAAACGCTGCCTTGCCTTGTATTTAGCCTCTGCTTTCTTTGAACGTTTCTTGTTCAATACTTCTTCTTCAGCTTCAGTCTATTAAAATATTTTATGTAATAGTTTTCATTATATGTAAAGTTTCATGTAAATTTTAAACAAATTATAATAAATACTTACTAATTTAGCACCCCTTTTACGGCCAAGTGGGAGAACATAATGGCTTTCATACCATTGTCTAAATGGTGTAGCATCAATGGTGACAATGGCATTCTTTACCAAAGTCTTGGTACGTACCAATTCATTGTTTGATGCATTGTAAACTACATCAATGATACGGGTTTTCCTGGTACTACATTCTGAACCCCAAGAAAAATTTCCTGTATCCAATCTAAGAGCTCTATACTTCTTGTTGCCTCCTCGTGTACGGACCTAGTAAAAAAGAAAAAACTTCACAACCTTCAAAGTATGAAATAAGAAATAAATTATTATCTAATGTTTATATCAGCGTGCTGTGGGAAGTTGTCAGCATAGCACTCAGAATAGATAAATAATTCATCACATAGTAATTCAATTAATCAAAAACTAAATTATCAAAATATTAGTTGCCTGCAAATAATTATAATATAAATACTATTTAATATTTTATATTTGAATATTGTGATATTAATTTATATTCTTTTACTTTTATGGACATTATACATTATAATTTATTCACAGTATGAATCCGCTGAGGCCCAAGTTTAGTATTGGCAGCTGGACGTCCTAATTCAAACTTCCTCTTCTTACGAATAGGCTTCCTCTTGCCACCAGTAGCTCTTCTCTTATGCCAATGATCTCTCGAAATACCTGTAATACCATGTTAATCAACATATCAGAAAGAAGCCTTTTCATAAAATTCTCACAATATTAATTAAACAATCTAAATTTAAGATTTAAAAAATTTCAACTCAAATTAAAATTTAAACATTAGTAGAAATAATTATTAATTCAAAGTCTGCTTTTTTTAGTTAAACTAGGTTATATTTTTTGTTGTTGGAGTGAATAAGTATATAAACGTGTATTGAAGAGAAAAGGAACAAAGTTTGAATGCAGCTAAAAAGAAAAAAAAGGAGCCAAGTCAAAATTTATTTGTGAATAATTTATGTTAATAGACTGTTGAAAGTTTTTTATTAAAAATCTATGCAAATGCATAGCTATCAATACTGATTTCACATAACTTGCAACTTCTTATACTTATCTCTACCAACACCGATTAAACCTTAACCTAGTTTAAATTCTATACAATGATTCAAATAAAAATTTAATCAACATTGGTGAATACGAATATTACATGGATTTTGAAAATTTATAATTATATCAATAAATTATAATAGTTGAATATATCGATGATGGAATATTTGTTTCTAAATAAGCGAAAAATATATATTGTAGAAGAGAATAGCACATGTGCATCATCGTTCAGTAACGCTCGACGACATTTGCTTTTTCATAAGTTGTGAGGACACAAAAATATTTTTGTTCAAAGAACGGATAAAATAATTTTCGTGTGTTGTTTATATTTTAATGCAATATTGTAATGAGAAGATGCGCATTTATAAGCAAATAAGAATATTTTCGATAAATTTCTATAAGAACACTTTTCTTACCCATGTTGCCACGAAGCAAATAGGAAATAAAAAGGACACTCCACTACATACCACAAAAGTAAGGTGGTTACCTAGATGGGATAACAATTATCCAGATACAACTTCCGGAGACTTCCAGCTATCTAGGGATATTCCCTTTGATAATTCTGAAAGAAAATAAATTAATTTAAAATGTGTTTCCAGCGAGATAAATAATTTTCAATTTTATTTTTTAATTTTAGTAAACAAACAATCCAAAAAAAATGCTTGTTCGGAAATAGTTATAAACATGCGACATATGTGACGTTGATTGGATTGAAGGATTGGATAGTCAGCAACCGGCCTATCGGAACGCAGCCTATAGTTTGATGTTCTTGAGAGAGACACGAATACCCCTTCTTACTCTCTCTCTTTTAGATCCATTTTCAAACATATGTTCTAACTACTATATGTTTTAAGGTTTAACTTAGATATTTTCAAAAGGATACTGATTGATTTTAAATACCGTTCGAAAATTTAGGTTATAAGTTTAGGTTATATATAAAATTTCTGTGAGAACGGTCCAGTAGGTCGATTTTTGTGTTACATTAAAAAAATTACACGATGGCGCAAAGCAGGTTGGAAAAGATCGGTACAGTGTATAGCAGGTGAGTCTGAGATTTTTATAATTCCATCGAATATACCTGCTATATTCATACATAAATAAAACAATCAGACCAACAGTTATAAAAAAAACTATAAAAAATTTTTTTATTAATGTTTCTTTATTGTTTTATTAATGTTTTATTAATGTTTTTTTATTAATGTTTCACTGATCATTTTATGTAAAAATAATTTATAAAAAAGTAGGCTTAGATTCCTTAACAGTTGTTGATCTAAAGAATTTTTAATTACTGCGTTTTTAAATAATGTAATGAATTTCAGAGTTAACTCACTGTTACGTAGCGGAGCCATGAAACAAGAAGACAAACCTTTGTGGATGATAGTATATGAAGCTTTTCCTCCAAAATATGAACCTAGATTTGATAGACAATTGCCAAGCAAGCCTGTTAGAACCATTTTTTATGAAGAAGATCTTGTGCGAGCGTAAGATGTTAATATATTATATTTAGTATAATTTTTATGTTGTATTATTCAGATATTATTAGTTACTGTTATTATTACTATTATTTCAGTTTATTAGTTTTTGCTATATCATCTTGTTATTACTTATATATTGTTCTTATTATAGATATTAAACATTGTTCATTATTATATTTACTTTTGTAGAAGGTTTCATAAAGATCAAAGCTTTCTACCAGCTACTAATTTGGAAAAAGAAAACATAAAAACTGCATTCCAAAATTTTTTCTCTATATATAAAGCAATACAAAAGGTATAATTATTTATATTATATTGGGTATATCAAAAGCATGATACTAAAAGTATATTTAACCGATAGGAAGAAAGATTATTGGCGGACGATACATATCAACAGGCAATGAAACAATATAGGTCTGAAGAAGAAACGAGAATGGAATTAAGGAAGATGGATGAATTACTCAATAATCCTAAATGATTGATAAAGTAAATGACCATAAAGTATATTGTTGTTTTATAAGTTTAATAGTAAGTTTAGTGTCCAATAAAAGTTGTTTTTCCAATTTTTCTGATAGCTATATAGTAATTTATATTACATATGTTAATATCTTTGTGCACTCTCCGGTTTTGCACTTACATAGGAGCAGAAATTAAAATCGATGAAGCTTGTTCAACAACAGTTTATATTTCGTGACAATCAATATATTAAGTAACAATGAATCTCGGCAAAGTTATAACACGCTGTAGTGAATAAGGAATGATAAACCACGAGAATCTTTATGATGAGTGAACGTAAAATTACTCTAATTACTGACGTTTCTAATGTACAGAGATCAATCGTAAAATCTTCTATCATATTGTAATAACTAGTACTTTTTCCTTTCCTTTATAGTATTAATCACTCATCGCACTTTGAGACGTATTTGACAATATAATCTCGAGTTTGTTGTATACTACAATATATAATTCCTAGCTTGTAATAATAGTTGACATGTTAAGAAACAAAGGATACAAGCTGCGCTGTATATCACTATAATTCGCTTCACATGCGCTTTTTGCAGGTACAAGTAACTTAAAAATAAGTATAAAAGGTACGCAAATTTATCTCGTATAAATAAATCCAATATGTATATGTTATTTATATATATATATATAAATTAAAGCTATTTAATATACCGAACATTCCAAATTCAGGAACGTAGCAAGCCATAAACATCGTATATTTATTGCACACGATAAAAGGACTCATGATCGATTTTATCACATTTATTCGAGACACTATCCGGCTTGTGACCAATTAACGAATAATTATCTCTTTAAATATCATCTTGTTTTGTTGATATCTGTTAAAAATATCATTTATATTAAAGAGAAATGTAGCTGTTAGAAATCAACAATTTCAATTTAACGTTACTTATTCCATTTAACATTCCCTAATGAGTATTTGAGAAACATTGAAAAAATCGAGCATCGGTACTTTTATTCCGTAACACAAGTATCGTATCTTCTGAGTAAGACTAACGCAATTTAAAACGGCGAATTATCACGAGAATAAGAAACTAATATATTTTTTTGTATTTAGTCAATTAGACATTCTTGAATTTTTTAAAATTCTATTCTCTTATCTAAAATAAAATATATATTTTTCCTTAACAGAATGATGATACTTGATGACATTTTCTTGATGGAAGATTTAGTTATTCATCTCAATTGCGTCAGTCTTATCCTGGAAGTACGATATGTCAATCTCGACATGTGAATCTCATTACTCACTTACGTCTCATTACGTCACTTACCCCCCCCCTCTCTCTCTCTCTCGCTTAGTTGGTACAAACTATTATAAGAACTATCCTGCAGTTTACGTATCAAAAAAAGAGAATCGATTCTTTATCAAGCAAACAGCATTTTTGGCCAGTTTTCTGAAAAGCTCTTCGTTGAAAACGAAACGAATTAGAGAGCCAGTTAAAAAGTAGCGTAACTAGTTTCGGCAATATCTTGCGTTTTTCTCTTTCCGCTGAGTGTCTTATATCACATTAGTTATTTGGGAAACATCTCGTATATAATAATTAAATCGTCAGTGGAAATTGAATGACTCGATTGAGCAAAATACTTCTAGCATCCGATCGCGGACAGCTTATATATTCCTATTGCATTATACAATAACACAACGCTAATATATAATTATACAATTTATCCCACAACCTTTCATCTTCGAGACTCGAGTGATACTCTTTTGGACGTGATGTAGTTGGATCGCAGGGAAAGATAGCGTGATCTAGAAATTATCTCGAGATTACCGTTAACAGCTCAAATTTACTGAAGCTTATCATTAACGATATTATCAAAATCGATCGACAGTCCTAAAAATATCTCTTTAATATCTAAAACAGTTGAATTATATTAATATTATTTGACGGGATATTCTTCTCACGTGACATGAGACAAGTCGCGTTTAATATCAGAATCATTTCCGCTTCTTCCATTCTTAAAATTGTCATTTCGTCAATCTCAATTGCCAGAGAGAGGAATACTTGAATGTCTAAATACGTATCATGATTTTCCTAACGTTCATCGATAGTTAAATCAAACGAGAAAATATCTTCCGAGACGTCGTTAGATTGCTCATTTAGGATTTAGTTTTATACAAAATAAGGATATTTCTTACACATTTGGTTCAATAATTCCTGCATCCTGGACGAACTAAGGATCTTGCTTACACACTATGTGACGCAATAGATAGAGTGTCCGATAAGCTTCATGTTCCAAGAAAAGTCGAGATTTTGAAATCTGTGAGATTATCCTCTTTTAGATTTTACGATGTTATTTGCGTTATTTGCACATAGAGCCTTGAGTCATGCTTATGTCATATCGAACACTCTTTGCACTGCGTACTATACTTGTATTGGACGTATAAGATTCATCAAGCATAGTCAGTCGTAACCCGCACCGTTAAGCACATCCGCATATCGCGCCGCCGTAAAGGGAAGTCTCGCAACCCCGTTACATGGAATTTCAAGAAGTTTCATTGTAGCGAATCCTAACACTTTGCACATTGGCACATTGTGACCGTATATCTCGCTACAGTGGGAACTTCGTTTTGTCATATTTTCTCGTAACGGAGAGCCAAATTGGACCCAGGTCCATTTGTTCATCGCGCGCACAATGCTAAATGCAGTCTATTCTTATCTTATGTCACTGTGTATGTGCACTGACTCTCTGTCGTCTTTATATAAAATAAATAAAGCTCACATAGAATGTTCGGCAATACGCGCAAGTTACAAGGAAAATCTGATATTCCGCATAGATATAAAATAGATAAACGAACATAAAGTACATAATACATAACAAAATGTTTGATATCAACAAATTATATATGTATTAATATTTTACAGTCTCTCCATATTTGTAAAAATCTTTTATAGATCCTCATCAGCCACTTTTAAGCGGCAAGAAAAAAGAGTAATAGGTCTATCTGTTCGACATCTGAGCAGAATTCAAGATCGTCCTGAATTTGCGCGTCGTCAAACGCGTGCCTCGTCATTAAAATCGGACAGTTATGTAAAACGCGAAACACACCGTTAGACGCGAATGAGAACACGAGCCTTAGACTCTCCGCGAGGATCAAGCCGCCGACCAGTTCTCCGATCGCCATAGCAGGGTATACATGCCGTGCTTCAGTTCTTCACTTTCGAGGCTCTTGAGCGGGAAGTCCGTGTACCGCGAGATCAAGCTGCGGTAGCCCTGGCCGACTGTAGCCAGCACCACCTTCTTCTTGTCGGCGGACCTGAAAGACACGATCTGGCAGACTTTGCCCTCAAACGGCCGGAACACAGTGACGGGCCGTAGAGTGTTGCACTCGGCGACGACGATGCAGCCCCAGGTGGTACCGATGTACAATTGACTGGCGTTGGCCTCGAGCGCAGTCACTTGGCACTTCTCCGTCGACAGGTTCTCCTCGATGGCGATCGACTTGAGGCTTTCCGAGCACGGTACTAGCTTCGACATGTCGAGCTTGTTAACGATTTGCCGGCTGTCCACGTCCCATTGATACACCACGCAACCCGGATACGTATACGAGAAGACGAAACTCTCGGCTGCGCTGGTCAAGTACGTGGCAAAGAGGTTCCTCATAGCAGCGTCACCGCTGCTACTGCCGCTGCCGCTGCCTCCACCGCCACCTCCGTGCGACAGTTGCACCGTGTCTATGAGATTACCGTCCTTCAGCGTGTAGACGGACACCCGACCAAAGCTTTGGCCCACCCAAAGCTCTAGTAAGCGCCTCTTCCGGCAAACTGCCGCCAGCGAGTAGGTTTTAACGTCGTTGCGCGCCTCACTAGCGATTTCTGTCCGTTTCATCTGCGTGAACGTGTCGGATAACAGACAGATCCTACCGCTATGCAACGCCACGGCGAACTGCTTCAATTGCTCCAGGTGGGTCAGCCCGACCACCTTGGATTCCCTCGCATTATCCGTCTCCAGACTGTAACTGGCTACACAGCCGAAGTTACCGCATAGATAGACATGCACCTGACCGGTGTTGTCGCCGATCCAGATGTAGCCGTCTAAACCACACATCGCGTACGGTATCACGGGTGTCTCGATCCGCACATGGCGCAACCAGCCCTTCTGCGTGCCGAGCAGCATGTCCACCTCGCCGTTATTGTGACCGAACCAGATCTCGTCGCCATTCAGACTATCGTCCGCACCGCGGCTCGTCATGGTGACTGCAGTCACCTGCGTGCGTTCCGTCAGCAGGGTGACGTCTATCAGATGTGTGAACTCGGGTGCGGACGCGATCGAGACGATTTGGCTGGCGGTCGGTCGGTCCTTCGGATTCTGCGCCCAACATATCACCATCAGATCGAGCGCGTAACATGGATGGAAGGTCTCACGGTACATGAGCGGCGGCCTACCGCCCTCCAGTATGCACTCCTTCACCGCCTCGTGGCCCTCGAACGGCTGGCGCAGCGTCACCAATTCGTAGATGAACATACCGAAGGAGAACGAGTCTACTTTCTCGGTGTATTCCTCTTCACCGTTGTACTTGATGATCTCAGGCGCCATGAAGCCTTCAGTACCACCGAAACCCTTGGCTCCGGTGGGCAACGTTAGCCTCGATATACCGTAATCGGCCACTTTCACGTGCACCGGCTCTGGAATCTCTTGGAATGGTAACGGCATCTGCCACACCAGTACGTTCTCGGATTTAAGGTCGCGGTAGATGACGTGCTGCTGATGCAAGTATTCCACCGCCTTGGCGACCTGCAGAATTATCGCCTGGAGCGTGTACGGATCCAGCTTGGCGCCAGAACGACGATAGTTCTTCAGCACACCGTCTAACGCACCTTGTGGGGCCAAATCCAGCACGAGAGCCAACGGGCTGACCACTATGCCGATGAGTGGCACGATGTTGGCGTGCCTAAGCGTCAACAAGATATTAAGCTCTTGACGAGCCATACAGTAAGCTTTGCAAGCGTACTGCAACGGGTCGCGGTCCCATTTGCTCTGTGATGCCTTGTACGCCAAGATCGCTGACTGCTTGGAATTGGGACCTGGTGAGACCGGCTGCAACATCTTGATGGCCACGTCGGCCCTCACGTGGGTACCTGGTAGCCGGCAGCTACCACGAAAGACGAAGCCGAAGGCGCCGCGGCCCAGCAACTTGCCTCTCTTCAAATCTTCCGACTTGATGAGATGCTTCGTGCCGAGATCCATAAAGATGATGTCAGGTGCGACATGCGACAAGGGAATCTCCGAATGCTTAGGACAGCTGATGGATTTATTGCTGTACGCCGCTAGTATGCACTCTTCCACCATCCAAGAGTATGCGAGAGTATTTTCGGAATGCGAACTCTGCCTGGACATATCTGGATGTCCCTCCAGAGACGGCATCCTGCTGGACGTGAGACTGTCGTAGCCTACACCGCTGTCGCCGTCGGATTTGTAGCTGTCTTGGCTTTGTCGCTCGCGGTTCACACAATACTTTTGAATGTCTTCGATCAACCGGTCGCTGTCGCTTGACTCACTCTCGCCGTTGCCGTCGGTGTTGCCGAGAAGACAACGTGGGCACGGTATGAGCCTCGTCACTAGCAGCTTGCCCTCCGACGTGTGGACGAAACGAGTGCCCAAAGTAGGGTACCAGTCTTCCAACAGGATATCAATATGATCCACGATCAATGCCATCAACTGCGGCATACTTTCTGGCCGTGGCTCCACTACGATCGCCTGGTAGCCCATCGGCTCCTCGTCCACCGAATCGGACATGATAGGTTGCTTGATCACCAAGGTGTCTACAGGAAACCAGATCTCCAATATAGCGGAATTCTTCAGATCCACGGTGCACCATATGCCGTCCTGCTTCAGCTTGAACTTAAACTGCCGATAATCGTACGGTGAGTTCTTCAGACTGTAGTAGACTTCCTTGAGGCGTAGCAGGGTTATTCCAGAGTACCGTAATTCGATTCCCGTCTGCCAAAGCACCCATTCCGCCTGCAAGTCCAATAGACTCGCGAAAATGTTGTCGTCGACGAAATCTTTGAAGGGTGCTAAGAACGACATAACAATTTCGACGATGGCATCGTCGGCCAAGATTCGGGTGATCAGCCTGGACCAGAAGCCGCTTGGGAAGTATGACATCAGAAGCAATCTCGTGACGGAGCAATCCGGCTGCGATCTCGACGTGAGCACGCACTCGGCGTTGCTTTTGTCGCTGGGCGCGCCGAGACATGCGAACATCGGCGACGTGATTTTCTTCGCGCGTACATGCCAACCACGTGTCTTCACCGGCACTTTAATAATCTGATTGTTACGCAGGATATCTTCCTCGGTCGGCAAGAGGGACGGTATTAACAGCGTGCGGCAATCCCACGTAAGTGCAACCTCGAATTTATTGAGCAAGTTGACGATGTAGCCCTGTGTGTCAATTGACGAGATTGTAGAAGACTTGAACACATGCTGAATGTCGTCCAGCTTCATTATCCCAGATCGAGCGAATGGATTGATCTCCCGTATGGTGACCACATGAGCGAGCATGTCGCAGAGCCATTGCGGGTCCAAGAAGTACAGGTCCTTCAACGTGGCGTCGTCATAATGCAAGATTATACCGTTCTCGTGGAGGAAGAGCGTCGCCTGGTGCAGCTCGGCGGGATCCCTGAAGGATCTGTGCAGCTTTTGGAGTTCGTTGTTAACCGCTGCATAATACTGATCAGCCTTCAGCACCGGGTCTAAACCGGATAGCTTCCTATCATGCGCCAATTGGATTACCACGTCCTCCAGAGCCAAATAACTCGCTGGAACCTTCTGCTCCAGCAAGAGCTCCTTGCTACCGGGCGACCTCAGACTGAACACGACATCGTAGATGAGATTGCACAGCATTTTGATGTTGTGGCGTGTCTTGCAGCTCACTTCGATGGTCTCCATGACTTTAGGCAAACCGCACTTCTCGGCGTCTACCACGTTGATGAACTTGTCGCGAATATACTGCTGCAGACCTTCGCTGTGCTCATAGGAGACGTCGTAGTGAGTGCCGACGATGATGACTGGCGAGTTGGGTGCTCTGCTTTGGATGTTCACCAACCATTGGAAGATCTCCGAGACGCCCTTGAAGCCGTCCGTTATTCTCCACACGACCAAGTACAGACTGCGCTTCGATAAGAAATACTGATGTGTCGCATAGTACTCCCTCTGGCCGCCGAAATCCCAGGTTCTGAAGTAGACCGCTCCGTGAGATGATTGTCCGCGCACTTTCTTCTCGTAGATCCAATCACCGATGTCCACACCTACTGTCGAGATGGTTGTGCCTTTGGCGGTCTTGGCGTTAATGTTCTTGTTACCCATTCGCTTGGCCCAATGCTCGGACGCTTTCTTCTTATTCGGTACTTCACCCTCTTGGCGTAATTGTTCCAGCAAACTAGTTTTGCCGATTCCCTGAATACCAACGATCATCAGCTTCATACGCGCATATGCTTTCGCGTCCTCCAAGATCGACTTGAGGTAACCGATCACATCCATCGTTTTGTACTTCTTTGATTCGATCATTGACTTGAGTGGTTCCTGCAATCGACAGCCTTGCGTGTTCAGGTTCCACAGCCGCCCCAGCAGACCCATCTGCGGCGGGAGCTCGACGATCTCGTTGTTGCCGCTGATGTTCAACACCGACAGGTTGCTTAACTCATAGATGTTGTGCGGGATTTCCCTTAGCTGATTGTTACTAATGTCCAGCATGCTGACGTTGGGGAAAAGTAGGTACGACTTAGAGCCGGATGGTCCTCCTGAGGTTTTGGAGTCCTTGTCGACGTTCTCGTCTTCAAAGCTCGGCATTTCACCGTCGTCCACTGACGTCAGCTGGATGCGATTCAATAGATTGTTCGCTAATATCAGCGTGCGTAGATTCTCCAGCCGTAAATGCCGCCTGTGCGTGCATACCGACTGCAGCACAATGTCGCGCATCGACGTGGGTGTCTGCCGGTTGCTAGGCACGATAGGTGACTGCGCGTTCGTCGCCGGGCAGTAGCAGGCCGTATTCGCCTGCTCCATGCTGTCGGAACTGTCTATCTGCGGCAGACTAGGCCAGCGTGTGATCTGATTGTTCGACAAGTCCAGTTGCTTGAGGCTCGCAGGGTATGAGGTGATGTGGCTCATGGATCGCAGGGAGTTGTAAGCCATGTTCAAACGCACCAAGCTTACTGCCAAACACGGCAACGCCACCGGGATACTGTTGAACAGGTTGTGCGCCAGATTCAACGACGTCAACACCGACTTGTTACCATTCTCCGTGTCGTCGCTCATCTTCTCCGACACCTGCACTGAGCTAGTCCACACGTGCGGCCGCTCCATTTCGATCACCTGCGCGTTCGCGATCTTCGTGAACGAATCGAACTCCATGGACTCCACCCGCGGCATAGCGGCAGCTACTAGTCCGCGGCAGCTGGCGCCGTTCGGTTGACCATCGTCGCGCTTTCTCAAGACGTTCTGCGACGCCTGACTCGGCAAATCGCGCAGAAGATTGAACGACGCGTTCAGCTCTTTGAGCTTGGGTGCACGCCATAGATTCTGCGGCAAGCACTGCAGTTTGTTATTGGACACGTCCATGATCTCCAGCGTCGGCAAGTTCATTATGAACTCCGGCAATTGCTCCAGTCGATTGTCTTGCAGATACATCTCTTCGAGAACCGGGCACAACTTGTCCTTGGGATTCTTCGAGTCAGCCACGAGAGTGTCGATCTTGTTTTGCGCCATGTTGAGGTATCTCAGACTTTGTAGGTAGAACACGGTGGACGGCACGGAGGTAATGGAGTTGTGGGAGATGTCGATTCTCGTGATGGCGTAAAGAACCAGGTCGTTGTTGCGTGGGCTCAATTTCTTGTTCACGTGCAGCACTGCGTCGATCAGCCACTGCAGCCGGATCTGCGACAAGTGGCACTGCTGGTTATGCCAGTTGATCATGGTAGGCGTCTTGGGAAACAACGCGGAATACGTGACGTGGCCGAAGGACGACAGGGCGGAGAAGTGCGAGCTCTGCGTGCATTCCGTCATAGCTTTCTTGTTAATTTTGTACTCGGAGTCCGGGTGTGCCTTAATCGAGAGCAACTTCGCGGTCAACGCCTCGTCGCGATTCTGGGCGGCGATCTTTAGAGCTTTGCACTCGTTATCGACCGCGCCATGCTTCAGTAGCAAATCTGCGATCTTTATGTCGCGATTCTGGCATGCAATCGTTAGTACGTTCGAATAACTGCCATCCGGATCGCTCTGATCGTATGGGATCTTGACCGGTAATTCCAGATTTGCTCCAGCTTGCAGGAGGGCGTTCACCACGTCGGTGTGCCTGCCCCTGACGGCCGCGTGAAGCGATGTCTCGCTGTTGTTGTTGCAGTAGAGATCCAGATTCACTGGATATATCATTTTATCGTCCTTTTTGTCCGTGGTTGCTTTACTACGGAAGTTCAACGAGGACATGAGCCTCTGGATACCGCTGGAGATCTTGCGCTTGGACACTGGTAACTGCTGCGTACCACTCGCGTCCTCCTCTTTCATTGTTCTCGCCTTCACCTTGTAGCCTAACAGCAGCTCGACGCACCTGACGTTTCCCAGCATGCTAGCTATGTATAGAACGTGTTGGCCGGTGACGTCCTGCGCGTTGATGTCGAACGGCAATTCGTACTCGAACTCGCCGGACGGATCTCGGTAGCGTTGATAGACGTGTTGTGGATATTCGAACTTGAGCAGCGCGTCGACCACCAAGTAGTGGCCGTTTATAGCGGCGGCGTGGATCGGCAGCCAACGTTCCACTGTGAATATCTGCACCTGCTTGGGGAAATGGCGTAACAGCAGGTCAACGACTTCCACCTTGCCATGGTAACACGCTATGTAGAGCGGACAATACTTGGTGACCGGGTGGATCCGGCAATCGGCGCAGTGATCCAGCAGTAGCCGCACGATGTCCTTGTGACCGCTCTCGCAGGCCACGAAGAGCAGCGTGTTGGCGCCGTTCGGCGCCATGTTTACTACGCATTCCAGGTCATTGGACAGGCCCTGTATGATGTTCCTAGCGGCCACGGTATCGCCTTGGATACAAGCCGCGCGCAGAGAAGCATGGGTCGCTTGTTTGGCTAACTCATACTTCTCAGCCGCCGTTTTCAGTAGGCGAATGCAGGAATCGTGCTTGCCCTTCTCGGCAATGTCGAGTGGCTTCAGGCCGTCGTCGTCACGGATCATGAGGTCCGCATTGTAGTTGAGTAGTCTTTCCACGTTGCCCGCATGACCGTGCTCCGCGCACACATGCAATGGTGTCCTGTGATGACCCCGAGGGCCGCAGGTAATGTTCGGATCGGCACTAGCGGTCAGCAACACGTCCAGACATCGGGAGTTCTCTGTGATCGCTGCGGCGTGCATTGGTGTCCTGCCCCAGGAGTCCTTGCTGTTGATGTACTGCGCGTGCTCGCCGCGTAGAAGGTCCTCTAGCAGTTCGGCATTGTCCCAGAGTGCGGCTTGGTGCAGTAACCGACCCGGGAAATCCTCGTCAATCGGCGTGTAGTCCTCCATGGAGACTGTAAATATGTCGTGATTGTAGCGATTGAGACGAATCTAGTTAAAAAGCTTCTTTTCTTTAAGAGTAATCTAAGTACGTTTAAAAAAATATATATATGTAACATCTATCTTTTAAATATATGAATTTTAGTCAGCTTGAAGGTAAGTTTTTCAATAAAAACTCATTAAAAATGAAAAAGTATATATACTTCCACTGAAAAAAAAATTATTTTGTATACATTAAAACACTGGAAGAATGAAAATTTAACTTGTAAAATGCAAATATGTTCTCTTATCTTTGAGTTTGCAGGATAAGATTGGAACCTAATAAAACCATTGAAAGAAATAATAATAATATATCTTCTATAGTACTTACAAATTTTATTTATGATTTCATTACATGATTATTCCTACTCATATTATTTCCTCCAGTTCTGTTTTCTCCAAAGTGACTTCTGCATCAAATGTATAGAACAATTGATACATTAGCAATACAGCTTTTTTGGGATGTTGCATGGTGTTTATTCTGGTAAAACATATACTATGTTGAATTAATGTACTTTAATCAGTAATCAAGTAAAATGTTAAATCTATTTTATTTTAACTTGATATGTTAGACTTTAAAATTTTCTCCAATTTTTATCCTCTCATCTTATTTTTTTCTTCAACTATTGCAATTAAATTTTAAACATATAATATGTAAGAACGGCGATATATATAAAGATAATAGACACTGTTACTTTGTAAATCGTGCAGTTTCGAATTGCGCTCGTTTTCAAATCAGTGAACTTGTATCGCGCGCACGCGCGAAAACGCGCGAGAAAGTGCTCGCTGCACAGTTTTCTAACCTCCATATTTAATCGTTCGTGAATCACGGAAAAATGAAAGCGAGAGCGCGAAACGTCGTAATTAATACTCGAATGTGAAATCCCACACGCCGGACAAGAACACCACAGCTTCTTTTATGATGCGCAATTCGCGTCAACGACAGTTGCACTAATATCGTACAAATTTTGCAGCACCGCGGCTGTGTTATGTTTAAAATCGTAGCTACATCAATCGATCCGACCTCGCGTTTAAATCAAACGTATCGTCCTCGTCGTCATTAAGTCGTGAAAATTTATACGTCTCAATGAGATTAATTGAACTCATCAGTTGATGCATCTATTATGGGTGCAAAACGGAACTTTACTTCTCATTCGGTGAATTTCCAAAGGACTCTTCATTGTTTCGTTCAGAATGTTATATTCGCTTGCGCATTTCAATTAATTTGTCTCACCGGAGCATCGTTCAGCCTTCATCATTCGGCGCACCTCGGTTAGGATCAGCGTGGGCGCCGAGCGCGCCCGGACCGGAGTGTCACTCTTTGAACGTATCGCCGAGGTTGGAAAAATGCAGTCACATCGTGGTCGACATCACTGCAAGTCGAAATATTACCCCAACCACAACAAAACACCATTGCGCGCGATGATCGCGCAGCACGACTGACGGATCCTGTAATTGAGCCGAGAGATGCAAACGAGACCGTTGCACGAACGGCATGCAACGAGTAACAGAGGTGGGCGACTGCGAATGTTTTCATTGCATCGCATTTCGCGCGACATCTCGCTGATATTTTGCTTTCGTTCGAAATGCCATGTTAAGCCAGCGGCACACGATGCTTGTTTTCGTGCTGGATTGCTTGCTGGATGAAAATACTGCGTTCTGATTGGTACATTTCCAAAGATGGATGGAAATGCACCAATTAGAACGCAGTATTTTCATCCAACAAGCAATCCAGCATGAAAACAAGCACCGTGTGCCGCTGGCTTTAGACAACATTACTAGATTTTCCACTGAATCTCGCTCCTGATTGGTAAATACTTCTGGGTCTATGAAGAATCTAAAAGAATGCTCCAATCACAGACAATAATTACTAAGCGCTCTCTGATCATTTTGTTCTACTGAGCGCGGCCATTGGCATCGTAGTTGATGTGCACGGTTGTGCAGATGGCGCCTCACACTGGGCTCGGCTAAAAGTGGCCCGTGACCTCTCTCTTTCTTCTCTCTGTTTTTAGTATTCATAGGCTAAAATTGAGGAAGATAAATTGAGGAAGATAAATATAATTGAACCATCAGATGTTAACGTGTATTTTATAAATGTTTATTAATTGAATGTGAAGATGATGCCTGGGAAAGCACCTACACAAGGTAAAAACATATTGATATGATTTAATCTTTGTGTTAGTACAATTAGAATTTAACAATTGCTTCCTATTTTCCTTTTTGCAGAAAATCTATTAGGTCTATCCTGGCATGATAGTGCCTGGATTCCTGTTCTTAATCCAAGTAACATTATGGATTACTTTTCGGAAAGAAGCAATCCATTCTATGACAGGACCTGTAATAATGAAATAGTAAAAATGCAACGTTTAAGCCCTGATCAATTAACGTATGCCATCTTTTATCTTTTGATGTATAATTTTGTTATTATGATTATAATTATTATCACATTGCTTTTTAGTAATATGACTGGCTTGGAATATATATTGTTGCATGTGCAAGAACCAATCCTCTATGTAATCAGAAAACAACAAAGACATTCACCAACTACAGCAGTTCCTCTTGCTGACTATTATATCATAGCTGGCATAGTATATCAAGCACCAGATCTAGGATCTGTTGTAAGCTCTAGACTGGTAAGTAAAAATATCTTGTGTTGGCAATTTTGTTCAATAGTAGCATTTAACAATAGTTTATTATTTACAGATAAATTTGATTGATATAATATTATAAGTGATATGGTAAAATATGTTTATTTTATATTTTAGTTTTCCACAGTTCATCATGTGCAATCTGCCTTTGAGGAAGCTATTTCTTATTCTCGATATCATCCTAGTAAAGGTTATTCCTGGGATTTCACAAATGGCAAAGCTTGGGCTGCAAAAGAACCAGTACGTGAGGAACCTAGCTCATTGTTTCAGCGACAGAGAGTGGATATGTTACTTGCAGAGCTTACTCGTAAATTTCCTTTACCAGTGCCTAAACCAGTGCATCAAACAACAGAAGCTTGTATGTAGCATTCATGTGCTTCTTCATTTTATTTTTTATTTATGATATATATAACATTATGTTAACATTTAATTGTATGTCTAATATATCCTAACATTGTAGCCATTGAAATTAAACAAGAACCAAAAAGTGAGAAGAAGGAAATGAAACCACCACCAGAAAAGAAACCAAGGACATAAGAATTTGCAAATATATTTATGTAACTTTATGTAATAAGCCAAAAAATAGTAAAATATATTTAAGTAAAATTTCTCTTGTAAGATGATGTAGTTTAGGTAGATGATTAAATTAAATTAACAATGACTAATACTTATTTAATGGCTTCTTCATTATAACTTTATAATGATAAATCAAATGTATGCTATAAAAAAAGAATATGACAATTCAGTTATTTGTATAGGAGAATATTGTTCCTAAGACAACATATTTATATATTTATCTTTGAAGTTACAAGGTTATATATTACTCTTTAGTAGAAAATTATACTTTGAAGAAAGTATTTAATATATATTATATATTGAATGATCGGTTGTCAGGCATTTATTTTGGCCTATATTTGCTTCTAAATCTCTCCAACCTATAGCAAAGAATCGGGCTAGGACATCCTTGTAATCGATGCTTAGGCGGTTTTTTGTAATTGGCTTTCTGTGCTGGATACAATTTCATGTTTATTGAAAGCATACTTAGTACGATCTATAAATCAAATTGCATTATATTTTATTTTCTAATAATTTATATATTTTTCATCAGGAATTATCCTACATATCTTATTAGAAAGAGATAATTGATTACTATACCGTGCGCGTGGAATTACTATACGTCGATGCATGGATTTGGTGCATAATCGTGTTTCATCTAGATTTTTGCTAGATTTATAATTTTTCGACGGATTATATGATATGCAAAATTAGCTGGATTTTCGAATTTAGATGGAAATTCCACTGATTAAAAATTAAAGCTTTTTTTAAGATCATAACTGTTATTAAGATAGAGTGAAGATAGAATATTTTTATCCAACGTGATCGATCATGTTGTTTGCTCATTTCGCGTTTCGACTCGCTTGTATCTTCAGCTGCCACGACAGTGTGGACTCGTTTAGAAAAAAGAAATGATTTTCCTCAATTTTATCGATCGCTCTGCAATACTCGATAAGAGGTATCACGTTATCATCGGAAATGATATGTAACGCGCGTACGTGCACCGAATGTCGTTATCTGAAAGACGATGAAAGGCAGGATGATCAGACAAGCTTCGCAGAGTTCTTGGCGAACTGTCAACACGCGAAATGCAAGGTGGTCCGCTTAGTCCGTCAGCAAATAAGTAAACTGCAGAACATGCAGGTAGGTCCTGCGTTCTCGTAATTGGACGTTATCGATCCTTCGAACGTTCGCGGACGCGTCGAAGTTGTCATCCCGAACCGCTCGGAGGTCCATGTCTCTTCCGCTGTTTCCGAGACTCTCCCCGTAATGAAACGCTCACAGCACGTAGCACACACGTATAATTAATCTTTCGACTCTAATTAAGCTTCGAAGTATATTATTAAAGTATTGTACGATAGTTCTGAAATTCTCCACCGTATGATGAATGGTCCACAAGCTCGATATATATTTACCTACACAAGTCAAATATCTGGGATATGTGTAGTCTTTCCCGAACACAAACGGCGAGCATGAGCCGCACGAGGAGACGTATAGCGAGATATACGGTAAAGTTCACGAAAAGGTGCATCAGGGTGAAGTCTACGAAGCGCAAGATGAAGTACAAGTGCGAGGCAGGACGCAACGAGTATACGGTGAAGCGTATGAAATTCCGAAAGAGGATGCGATTGCAAAGAGAACGGAAGCGGCATCGAGTAACGTAATAGAGATTGCGAAAATTACCGATTATATTTCGGTTCGATCATAAGAACTTAATATCGCGATAAAAGATGGGGGTTAGTTCGGTAGGTCTATAGTTTGCTGCGCGGGCATCTTTCCTCGACTATTGACGGCGATATTTACTAGAGAAACATTTGCCGTTAAAAAAATTATCTTGGGAAACAAAAATGAGCCCCGCGGTGAATCGAGGTGCGAGATAACCGGTTGCACCAATAAGTTGCATATTTTTGTATATAATTAACCGATAAGCTGATAACCGGTTATTCTATAATGACCGTAAATCCCTAGAATACAGCGACACTATCGCGTCGTACGGTATTTCCCGAGAGAGCGGTGGGCCGCAAGTGGATGCTGTGGGTCTTGAGCCGCGTTCGTCATCGGGCTCATTTGATGTTAGCGGCGGCTGTGGTCGGTGTGATAGTCTGGTCTGCTCTGGTGTACGGTCCCTGCTTCTTGTCGTCCCTTAAATATACACGCGCTAAACGCTCGCTGTTTTAGACACACATCCACGGATCGTTTACTATGAACGTTGGTTAAAATTAATTGAAGCCTGACTCGCGGTCCCCGTTCCCTTCATAATTTAGGATGAGAAAGGGTGAGAGTATTCCGATTAATTCTAACTAACGATCGTGAGGACGACTTGCTAATTTTTGCACGAGACACACACACGAAATACATATATAGCTAGTTACTCTATATTGTTGGAGCGATTAATTGTCAGTTATGATGAAATTCATCCATTATGTATCAAGTCTCTTTTGAGACAATAGAGGAAAGATTAATTATCTCAACAAATATGTCTTATAATATGATGGTCTTATAATACGTCTTTAAATATGGTGGATATCTTGAATTATATTCCTCCGTTGATTTTGACAGAGAATCGTCTTCGACGTGCCAGCAAATCTGTCGTGCAATAATGTCGAACTTTATCGTCATTGTGTGTTAGCTCTTACATAGCTCTTACGTAGAATTTATTATTGTAATATAAAAAGCTATTTGTGGGCTACGACTACAGATTTATTAAGTTTAGCGAGATTTCCAACTGCGCATTGGAGAATCTTTTTTCCGTGACGTTCATGCGCTGCAGGACACTTGGGAAGGGACGTGACGACGAAGATGCGCATTGGAAATGATGAGACACTTCAAGACTTGACACAAAATATATTAAACTTGGAATAGTACACCACGTGTAGCGTTCGGTTAAGTTATGCGACTAAATCGTCCCTCGCGATGTCTTTAGATCCGCGGACTCTCCTCCTCGTCCGCTCCCGTGCGATTCTCGCATTCCGGATCGATGATCCAGGGATCCGTCGATCGTTGATCTTGGGAGATGGTCGCGGCTATCGCGCCACGATATGCTACGATACGATTGCTGATATGTCTGCTACGATATCGTCGTGATATGTCACCACATCGGCGCGTTGAAATAGGCGACGGTGAGAGATTCGTTGATTTCGCATTGATACGCGCGCGATCCAGTTTTTCTCGACCGCGAAGCGATAGTCTTCAGGCTTTCAAAATCGATCGTCCTGTGATATGTACGTGTGTGACATCTGTATAGTCAGCGGAAGAAAAGTCTCTCAATAGTTTTCTTTCTCTTTTGAGAATTTCGCAATGTATCCGCTTCCGATGAGGAGAATTGGTTTTTTTTTTAATAATTAACAGGATAACTTTCATTACATCCTGATTAAGATAGTAGCTAAGATTAACTCAGCTGATGAACTCATCAGCACAGGAAATAAAATACAGTTTATCGTCAAAACGAACGAGAAAATTCTTTCTTGTTTCCTCTTTGTAACTTATATTAACAAAAAATGTTTTACCTATTGTTAAGACGACAGCTCACGTAACTGGGAATTATTATTGGCAGTTTTGCCGATTACTCGTCAATTTATTTAATCGGAGTGTGAAAATCGCTTTCAGAAAATAAGTTTCCCTATCGGATGCCGAATGCTTTCCGAGGTTCGTCGAGGTAAAAGTGTTGCTACCATTCTTCCACTGACTGCATGTGTATGCATATGAATGTTCGTAAATGTGTGCATTTTTGCGCGTAAGTCTCTCGATTCACTCTCTCACAATCGAGTTTACACGCAGCTCTCGGGACCTGGTATGGAATTGGCGATGATGATCTCCTTCATGAGGTTGCGATCGGCTTTGAAGCTGATGGGCTCCCAAGACTTCGCGGAGAACGGGTTTAACTGTCAAGTGGAAGCAATATCGTCTAAATGTGATTAATTAATAACAAGAATTGAGCAAGTTGTTAGGGACATAAAACGAGCGCAAACACGGTGCCATGAGAATTATCCACCTTTTTTAAAGAATTCGACATTATTCATAACACTCCAGAGAAAATTGAATTATCTGACGGCGAGACCCGACTATAAAGAAGTTATCAAGATTGATTAAATTGATTTAATTTATAAGCGATCAATAAAAGTTCAATCTACGACAGATTATATCTCTGATCTTTCGAATCGCGGATTCTTCGGGATCTCTTGAATTATCGAACTTCCTGCTATTTTTCGATGAATTGGAGGACCGACGGCTATATTTCATCTTGAGTTTTCTCCGAGCTAATTGGAAAATTATTAATACGTAAAGCGTTTCGTTAATAGGAAAGCCAGGACGTGCGTATTTCCCCGATGTAAGGTTCGATTATTATATCGATACTCCGGTGAATTTTATCCGCGACCGCAACGTCGCGGAATTTAAATTCTATCTGATATCAATATCGGTATTGATATGACATTTGAAGAATTATGCGAAGTATGTGACCTATGCAGACCGCGATGGTTTCGCTAGCTTGGGACTGACACTGTCGCGAAACGTGTTTTCGAGGAGAATGTATAAAATCTTAGAAGTTACTCACACTGCATCTGTTTGTCTGCAGACCCTGCTTGTGAATGTCGTAGGGCGCGAATAACGTATCCGGTCTTACCGGCAGAAACAGTTGTGGCTCGCGTTTGATCTTCTCTTGGTCTGAAACATGCACGTGATTCCGTTTTTTGCACCGGTCGACGGGCCGACGAGAACGGCAGCTTCCGAAACACAATTTTCATCGAATTCAAACGAATCTGGTTACACGCAGCGTTATATTCGCGAGTCGAGAACAGCTCGTTGCGGTTGTTACGTTAAAATTGCATATAATACGTTAAATCAAATAGCAAAAATCGTCACAAAAGTCGCGTCTCTCTGCGTCCGATGTCCGACTGCAATTTTCGATATTGCATAATCAATCGTTACAAACGCGACTAATTGTGTTCAGCGGCATAATGCGCTTAATGAGCAATTAAACGTCACACGATTCTCGTTCTTGTCTGGATCTAAAAGTGCACAATCGGATCCACGAATCCTCCGTTAATCGCTGATCAAGACACAATATGAAGTCGAAAGAGATCGGAGGAAGTTCGCAGGAAGTTGCATGTTGATCATGCGTTATGTCAGTCTATTCATTACGAGAGAAGATCACAAAAGCAAATTCGCCACAATAGCAATAGAAAATATATTGTTATACGTTTTACAAAACTGTCGTTGTAGAATAATAAAGAAGGTTGTTTCTATCATCTTCTTATTGTCATTCACGACAATTAGTCGATTGAAAAGTTCGAACAGCGGAATTCTTTCCGCTTCGTTTGAGAAAGTTTGCGAACCTACCCCCGGCCTCCCCCAATCAGCCGTAGCCATTGAAACTCGGCTGAGTCAAATCGGATAAGCGACGACAAAAATGATCACGGTTTTTGATCGTTACGCGACGGTATTACCTTGCGGCGACTGTATGATATCCGGCTGATTATTGAGCGCATAATCGGTGACCTGTTTCAACGTGTACTCGACAAAGTACGTGTGGTCGCCGTGAGTCACGTCCAACATCGAGTTGTTCCGCGAGTCCGGCGGGGTGATTATCGGCTGCTTCATGTAGGGCTCGATGTGCACCGGCGACGTGGTGCCGCGACGCCGATACATCATCAGCATCACTGAGAGCACCGTCACCCCGAAGGCGATCAGGCAGCCGATCAGCAGCAAGATCAGCGGCAGCATGCTGACGCCAGTGTCTGAAAGTGAAACAGCATATAAATACTGCGCTGCGATGGCAGACGGCAACTTGATGATGAGATCGCCAGGCATATCTCTATATCCGAACGCATACGGCCACTTGTCATCATTAGTCCCGCGAACACTTCTATTTTTTCTATTATAATTAAAATAATATTACATTTTTATATTTTATATTAAACATATATATAAGTTGATGAAATAGCCGTAAATAATGGAACACTATTATTATAGAATTGCTATAAATAGACGATAAACAATTTTATTTATATGGTAATCATTTCGGATATTAATTCGAATATGTTTGATAATCGGGACGAGGTTGGCTAGTTACATGATCTATTCACAGGCTTTGAAATTTATATTATCTTTGAAATAATTTACAAACTTTTCATATCTCTTATGCTTTAACAACATTTTTTTATATTTCGCCTTCAATTGTATAATTAAATCGTTAAATATCGTGTATTCTTAAGCAATATTAATTCCTTTTTTATCAGATATTTGACTATTGGAACACCGTGAATTTTGCGAACCGTCGCTCTGTCGCACTTAACCGTGCCACATTATGAGAGGAATATTACTTCTGCACGAAATACAACGCGTATTATTGTTCTTATGTATAGGAATGAAAAATTAACTGCGAAAAATTATCGCTGTCGCACATATGCACGACGCTTGGCAACGAACGTGTTAAATTTATTGACGCCCTTTAAGCTGTGACGCGAATGACCTCATTTCACATACGCATACACATTACCTCTGAATTAAATAAAACAACTGATAGTTCAAGATAAATTATTTGTGTAAAACATATATATATATATATATATATATATATTCTTATTTTAATTTTCTAATTATGCAGACCTCTTACGGCTTTAAGTTACAAGTGTTTAGCTTATATTAATATGTATTAATGTATTAAAATATTAATATTTGCAAAATCATAATTGCAAATGAATGTAATTTTTTCCTCATGAATTATCGATATGCGATCATATCGTATATCATTGTAAGTTGATAAATATATAAAGAGAATAATGTAAACTCGTTTCACAGAATTGTGAACATATAATAATGCAAGATGAATAATGAATTTTAACATGCGAATTAAATATTTCTCTTATGGTTACGTCGGAAATTCTTAAGAGGAGTTAATATCTGAAATAAGTATATATAGATCCCAAATCACTTGTTAATCTCGAAGATTGTGGAATATTTAATTACAGAAGATAAATTCGATTATTTGCCGATTCGATTTAGATCTTTCCAAAATATAATTAATCTTACCCAATTTGTTATTTTTTATAAAGAAATTGAAGGTACATTTTACATTTCGGTCTTCCAAACTTGATCAACAAATTATTGAAAATTATTATAGGAAGAATATTTCAAAATTATGAATATTTTACGAAGATTTCTCGTATTTAAAAAAAAATGTAGAAAGCTTCTTATGCTACTCATATATTTTGTATTGCTTTATTACCATTTTATTTTATTATATGCTTCTACAAAAATAGTAAGATAAATAACTCTTAACTGTTCACACGCAAATATATAAAAATTTACATAGTTTACATGAAAAAGAGAGAAGCCAGATATAATGAGCATTTAATTTCAACATCTCAGAAAAACCTTTTTTATTGGATCGATATATGTAGTCAGAAAAAAGTAAGTAAAAATTCACATTGCTGAAGTTGAACAGTAACTCGACACGATTAGAATAAGAAATAATTCATTCCATTACCAGTGTGCTTCTCCGAATCCCGCAGCATTATGTCCTCCAACAGCGACACTTCGCTACGGCCTTTCGCATTCACGGCGTACGTCACCAGGTAGAAATGCGTGGCCGGCAGCAGATCTGCCACGGCGATCCGGAAGATCGGTAGATCGACCGACACGCTGGATGCGTTCACCCGGAGATTGCCAGTCAACACCTCGTAAGCTTCCAGCCGGAACTCCTGGTGGAGTCCGCCGTCGTAACCCGGCACGCACTCCACCTCCAAGATCTCCGCGCTCTGATTCAACGAGGCCTTGATGGTGCAGTTGTTCAGTGGATTCGGTTTCACTGCACAAGGTACGTTCTCATCATGTGAAACCCTCTTCGCGGGCCCGTCGTCTTTTTGATTAAGAATCGACAAGCTTTAATTAAAAGATGATTCTTTTTCACGGCGAGTGAAAAGCACCTTCGACGGATACTCCTCACTCGATACTTTCCAACGGTAACCAGCGCGATGTCCAAAAAGAGAAGAAAAAGATATACGCGGAGTAGTGGAGCAGAAAAATGGAGGTATTTTTCCCAGTTTTCAGCATTCGATTGAAGTTCTGATGTGAAGGTAGAAAAAAGTTTTGTGACAGTTCGAGAAAGACATATTAGAAACATAGACCGCACGATGGACCGCAAACACGGAGTTAAATGTAGTGCGGATTATTTTGGAGATCTCGGTACAACAGGGTAGAAAAAGTGTGAATGTGTGTGCATGCGAATCGAGTGGGCAAAAAATTGCGGCAGAAATTTTATACCAGACACGATGCGGCATCGTGACATGTACCTGATAATATTTAAATATTTTCACTGATTGTTTGTCAATATTGCAAAGTATCGCGCAGAAGAATTTTTTCTCGCTACAAGCTACAAACTAGAAAGATCTTCGACAAACAAATGTATCAGGGAAAGAATTAAAAATCGTTTAAAGAATTATCTGAAATGTCGTCACCTGCCGGAATGACCTGATAGATGCAGGGCGCTTCCTGCTTCCCTATCGCGTTTCTACCCCAGCAGGTCAAAGCGCCGTAATCCCTCTCGGACTCCGGGGTGTAGACGAGCTCACTCATCGTGCCATTGTTGCCATCGAACTTGGCCGGCGCAACCTCGAAGTTCTCACCGCTGTTGTTGAATTCCCAGACGAAGTCGACTTCGCTTGGATCGGCGTCCACCTCGCAGCGTACTTTTACAGACTCCTCGAGGGAGGCTCCAATGATCGTCACTTCCTTCATCTTGCAAACCGGCGCGACTACCGTGTAGGTGTGCGACGGCAAAGAAGAGACAGAAACAAACAGTTCATACATACGTATGCACACACATACGCGTACACGCATGTGTCCTCGTCGTTGACGTAGAAACGATGAGAGCATGACGCGAAGACGCGAAGGGGCGATCTTGTTTCCGCTATCGATCGGGGGAACTTTGGAAGCGGGATTATACCAAGTTTAAACGTCATTTTATTCACCCTTAATCAGGAGAATTACGCGCTTGCCGTAGGGGCTGAATACAGGGGTTGAAAATAAATTAGCTTCTAAAATGTAATCTCCCTCTCCCCTTCATATCCCGACGTCCGAGATATTCCGCTCCCGAATGCAATTAAGCACAGTTGGCATATTGTGTAATGAGTATTTCGGAGTTTACTGGCGAAACGTACGGGCCGATGCTCGGGTAACTTTCAACTCGCCGTAAAAGTCAGAGGTCAATGTTTTCGCAATAATATCAATTTTGCTGCGATGATTATAACGCGTATCAATCATTTACTTTCATTTTAGTTATTATCATTAATTTGTCACATAAATATTTGTACTCCTAAATCGCACGTGCGCGCGCGCGCGCATGTGTGTGTAAATATTTAATTGTTCGTGACGAATACATGGTTCGCATTACGCGAATACGCGTGCTTCTCTTTTCACGCGTTGATTTTTTCCCAGTATCCTCGTCCGGCTAACATGACCTTAATTTAACATGCAATTAATCGCCGAGCGTTCGCTTATCGAAATTACACGTTTCTTTTCCGAGCTCTTATCAGGGATTAAAATTGATATAATTTCAAACTGCAATTAGCGACGGTGCAACGATAATCGGGAGAGAATTTTATCTTGCGAGTCGCCGAATCTCGCGAAAGTAAGAGTTCACCCGCGACGACAAAACACGAAGGTCAGTCGCGCATCATCGTCGTCGTCGTCGGTGTCGATCTTATTTCTTATCACGCGATAGAGCTCTTCGTGTCTACTTACATTGCACTCTCAGGGTCACGATCGGACTCGTCGTTTCCCCGCGGTCGTTGCTGGCCAGACACGTGTAATTGCCCGCGTTGTCGCGACCTATACTTTGCAGCACCAGACTCTGGGTGCTCATGATGATGCCGGCCGAATAGTTTTGCGTGAGCATCGCGCCCTGTCATTGATGGACACCATTAAGCGATTTAATCACGGCGGCTGCGAGCCTGCTTTCAAAGTAACAGTGTCCTACATTTGATCTTATCACACTGATCGAAAGCAGCTGGCGAATCGACCTCGCGTGAAACTTTATCGGTGTAGGGGAGACCGAGGCAGGTTGATCACGTCATGCAGTATGTTCGTATTTCGATGGCAACATACGGGGAAAAACGACTTCTCAGTTAGTGTAACTGAATCTGCCGTTGCCTGGGCATCAGGCGAGAGTTCGCTTATAGGAATAGAAAGATTCCTCTGTGTAGGAGGTTTCTACTCAGCCAATTGCCCTCAGTTATCTCGAACGAGTTTTAGTACTGCTGAATGTTCAGACGTATGTCTTCAGTCGCGGTCACAGAGATATCGTTCCTCGTCGTCGAGTTTTCGCCCCATCCCGTATTCGATTACACGAATTGAGAGACTTTTCTTTCATGAAAAATACGCGGGTTAGGAGATCATTATAGACATGAGAGAGGAAGATTATCTCTGTCCCGTTTGCACGGTTAATAAAAGGAATTAGTCGTTTGAAAAGTTCCAACACCAAAATTCTGAAGAGTTGGCCAAGCCGCCCCGAGCTTTTGCCTTTCCTCGTTTCCTAGCGAAGATTTCTCTTGCGGAGACTCCTCTCTCTATAAAAATTCGGAACGTATCGACGATATTCCGTCCGCGCTGAAGTGCTCTTCGTTTTTTTCGCCGAAAAATCTCATGCATAGATAGAGAAGATCTTTCGGGCGGAAAGGATAAATCGACGCTGTTCCCGAGAGCGCGTGTTCTGGGCAACTCGGGAAATTTCGGAGCGGAACGAGAAACTTCTTGCGGGTCCGATATTGAAGGCCAAGGATCTCGTGATCGACGACCGTGACTTACATTGTGTCGCCAGGTGATTTTGTGATGCTCCGGATTGGCCCGTACTTTGCATTCGAAGTACACGTCGTCGCCCTCCTTTATGTTCTTCGCGTTCAGGGTGCTGCCCAGATGCAGCTGCACTTTAGGCGGAACTGGGGAGAATTTTTTCGACGCCTTAATATTGCACGCGTTGCGACCATAATGGTACGGCAAGTGCCGGGAAAGCGGACATGAAATATTAAAAGCGCAGGAGGTAGTGTGTGGGGAAGCGACGCCGGTAAATAACGTATGCGCCTATTCGTGCGGCCAATTTATAGTGGTTCCGATTCTTCCCGAGGGCAGCAATAACCCCCAAGCTACTGTGTCACGTGGTGGGGAAATTTCTGCATGTACGTTTCTTAGAAATATTTATACAGCCGATTTCAGTTTGCGATCAGTTAAGTAAACGAATATGCATCACGCGATCAATTATGTAGTCTCACAATTGTGCATCATTGGCGTCCACTTTCCATATCCATGCCGTTTTTCTATCGTATTTTCACAGCGACCTGTATGTTTGGATTTTATTCGGTAAGATTGAATATTTGAAATAAAAGCGCGTCGATAATACGCATCGCGTATAATAATATTATTATAATGAAATTATTACCTATGAAAAACATACATTCCACCGACGGCATGTATCATCGACGACTGAACGATGTAAAAATTTATTAAATTCGTTTATGAACTGATCGATCGAATGAAAATTTATTTCTCGTGATAATCTCGACTTCGTTTTGTAAGGAGAGACAGCGAAAGGCGCACTTACAGACGACGTTCAACTTGAAGGTGTCATCCAAGAACGCGTTTTTCAGGGCGGGATTTTCACCTCGGCATTTCAGTATCTTGCCGTGGTCGTCCGGGACGGGTGAGAATATCAGCGTGCTCAGGACCACCGAAGCGTTACCGCTCTCCATTATCTAAGTGCATTCGAAAATCGGAAGTTACGACAATTTGAGCCGATCAAAAAATTACACGCACGTAATAAACTGTGTTGCAATCGTCTCATGTACACATATAGAACGATTCGTTTTAAAGAATATATCAATTTTTCTTTTTGTGCCTAAACATTTTCCGGAAAGAAATATTTCGATTAAAAGCTAGTTGGTTTCAAAAGAGACATAAAATTCGATATAAAATATGAAATATCGCGAAAAGTATTTATTTTTTGATGATTTTACTTTGATACTTTTACATGCACAATGTGACAAGTGGAAATTATTTGAAAAGCAATATTATTTTATGTAGAAAAATATAAAATGGCTTTGACGTGCAGACTTTAGAAGAGCAGTTTTAGATGAAGATAAAGTCACAATCTTATAAGAGCGTTGGAATCTTTTTTAGGACAACTTTGATTTGACACATGTTTTCAGAAAATAGTTCCAGAGAAAAACGAATCTGAATTATATGTAAAATCATTATAATCGACCTTGCCGCTACGAAATGTAGAGTTCCCTTCGAGCCAGATGATGCGAGCTCGAGGATGCGATCCTGTCGTTTCGCAAGTGATGGAGTAGTCCTTCTCCGTTTCCAGAAGCGTTAGTTTCGACAATATCTTCACGTTAAGCGGTTTCACTAGAACCGATCGGAGTATAATCTGCGATTAACTCTTGTTGCATATTATTGAGTCGAGCTATGAATAATCGTTAGCAAAGTTGAAAATACCACGTCAAAGTTTAGTCAGTCTTGCATCATCGTGTATAACACACAAATGTATAATATAATTGAATTATAATTTATTTCGTTTAATCATAATTTTCAAATCGTTGTACTTGAGCATTTTGAGAAAAATGAAGAATAATTAGGAGACGATTCAAATAAATCGGGCACACAAGATCAATTTCATTTAAGTGAAATATTAAGGTGAATATAACGAGAGATTGTATTATGCGGAATAACGAAATAATTTTGCTTAAATAGGAAAATAGGAAACAATTTAAAGCTCTGGTTGGGTATGTTATTCGAGAAAAATACGCTTATAGTTAAACTGTGAATTATTAACACGCTGAATGTCGCGCAACGAATTTTAATTAACTTCACAGAAGTTCACTTGAAAATTTTATGAGCAATATTACAGCAAATAACGGTCATTTTTGACAAATATGTCTGACGTTGCATAAAAAATACATCGTATATTACCCGGATCGAGTCTCTCTAACTGCGATTTCGATACAAAATTCGATTAATTTCATATACATTACATGCGTGTGCTGACTACACTCCCAATGCATTAATTTCTCAACGACCTCGTTTAATGCTTCGTCGATTCGTAGCTTGAAAAGAACCGTTGCGTTCTCTTTGCCGAGATAAACTGATGAAACAGACGTAAATGAATTCAAATCTCAATGCAAACGAAATTCATATATTTATCTAAATTTCTCATTAAAGGAAAAGAATCTGAAGAGAGTTTCTACAAATTCCTTCTCTCTCTCTTTTTCCTTTCGCGCGTATCACAATGTCGCAACGAAGGGGACTAGAATCAGGGACGAAAGGTCGTCCCTACGTCCGCGAAAATTCGCTTCCGCATTCGCACGGACGATTCGAGGGGAATGGCACTCACGATAAACGTCGAGGACCACCGTCTTCTCCAACGGAGGAATTAGATGCGTGTTGGTCGCCCGGCATTTGTACGTGGTGTTGCGGTGCTCCCTTCGCAGCTGCGGCACGGTCAATTTGCTGACGACGATGTTCTGGCCGAACTCCTCGAGCCTGCCGTCCACCTCCTTGCCGTTCACCAGCCAGCTCACCACCGGCGTTGGTTTCCCTTTGCGCGCGAGAGACGTACGCGCGAGCACGGAAAGCACGGAAATTATACGCGGCTAATTAACTCCGCCGCTCGATCGCTTGCGTGACAGCAGACAAATCACCGGGACCATAATTACGCTTAATACCGGGTGTTTCCGATCGAACGCGCCTTCGTAATTCTCGGCCACTTAGGGGAACTCGTATTTAATTTCGAACGATACCGCGTTATCTTTCCTTCTTCCTCTCGTTTTCTTTTTCTCCTTTTTTCCCCCTCCCACCTTTTCGCTCTCCTCTGCCTCCCTCTCTCTTTTTATTTGTTCATTCACGCGATCTCTCGGGCGTTTACACGTGTAATGTGGAGCCGACGGGTAATTTGTCACCCGCCGAGATTCGTATCTGACTAAACATGTTAATGAGAAACCTGATTCTTCTCCAAGAGAGAGAGGGAGAGAGAGAGAGAGAGAGAAAGAGAGAGAGAGAGAGAGAGAGAGAGAGAGAGAGAGAGAGAGGGATGCAGGAGAAAGGGAGTAGGTTAAAAATGGGGGGGAAGGAGGAGGGATTAGCGGCTAAAATATTATAAATGGAAATGCGTGACGAGGATTACATCGGTGAATTCATTGCTGCTCTTAAAGTGTGTCGCGGGAAATTTATTTCACCTCGAAACACCGTATTTCATCTCCGACGTCTGTTATTAACAAACGGATCGAGCACGAGAAAAAGAATTACGAAGAAATATTACGGGAGGAGGAAAGGATACGGGAGAGAAGGGAATTACTGCCTTCGATGGTGCAGTAAACTCACATACCGGCACGCGCACGCTTCATTGAGATAAAGATTCCCTTGAAAAATGAACGCAGTTGAGACGAGGTATCAAGATATGTCTTATTTATTTTTTTAGCTAAGTAATTAGCAAGTTTCGCGGATAATCCAGGAAAGAATAATGAAGAAACAAAGATAACTTTAATTCTAACTCGACTATTTCCCAAGTACACGCTCTCTGAGCTTCGCGCGGTTCCAAATTAATTAATTGCACGCTAACGCCGTCTCTCACCGCGTGACTCAACGAACCGAACGCTTCGTTATTCGATGCGTTTGCTTTGACGTTACGTCAGCTGCCTTATTTATACCGACAGTTCATCGTTTCATATGTTTAAGGAGCAGGAAGATCGAGAACGCGAGGAAAAATTTGCGTTACGGTTTATGAATAAATCAAGATAGTCGACAACAGTTAGTTGCCTGAAGAATTCTAACAGTAAAATTCTGAAGAATTGTCAAATCCGTCCCGGTCTCTCTTACAGATCAGAGTATCCTTCAAAAGGTACCTCCTTACCTCCTCTCACCTCACAGGACAAGCCGAACTCCTCGCCGACCTCGAACGGTCCGGCGACCTCCTCCAGCTGCACCCCGGAATGATCATAAACGAACAGCTGGTGTGGCGGTACTGCGAACAATCCCGCGAAAGGAGTTCGTTTTCCATAATTGACGGACAATTAATCAAGCGCAACAGCGAGCGCCCGCCGGTCCGTTCGTCCGTTCGTTCGTTCGTTCGTTCGTTCGTTCGTTCGTTCGTTCGTTCGTTCGTTCGTTCGTTCGTTCGTTCATTTGTTCGTTCGTTTGTTCGTGCCGTCTTTTTAAGGACTCGAGAAAATTAATTTTAAACTCTCCCGCGAAAATGAAATTTCGATTAATTCGCCCCCAAGTTCCCGGGGAAAAGTGGGTTACACCGGCGCCGTTTGCCGTCCCCGACCCAACCCCGCCGGCGGACCCCTTCAATTAGCGAAACCACCGGCGACGGAGTGAGATCGTTCCAATGAGAAGTTTAACTTCTCGCGTCTGAACGGAAAAAAAGATCACTCGCGTCGGCTAACGGTAATCCCTCGATTGTTCTCTCTTTTCTTCCGTCGCGCTAAACGATCTCCGAAGGGGTTTACGTTACAAAGCGCGTTTAATCATACCGAGGCAGTATACTATAGCACAATCGATCGACCGACCGTCAGTCGTTACGGTAATGAGCTCGTACCTATCACCGTGAGATTCACTTGGAAGTTCTTCGTCGGAGAATTTTTGAAGTCCACCCGGCATCTGTAGATACCCTCGTCGTCCAGCTGGACCGCCTCCAACGAAAGGGCGGCTGGCTTCGTCACGGTGACGAAGTACGCCCTAGGCCCTACCGCGGTGCTGTCCGACCAGTTCAGGGCCTTGTTGAAAGCCCGTCCCCGCACGTCGAAGCTAAGTTTTACGCATGCACACATGTATCGTCATATAATTTATAAATTTCATAATTTAAATAGTTCCAATAATTCTTATTATAAATTATTATGAAAATGGAATTACCATTTTATAGTAATTCATAATATTATAATTTTTTGTTCTCGTTTTATTTGGATTTAGAGGGAAGTTTTGTTGATAATTATTTAATTCAATGTTGAAAGAACACAAAGAACATTTTTAAAAAATAATATACTGCTGCACAATAATTGGAATATATACATGTTGAAATCGAAACGTATATGGTATAACAAGTAATTAGTAATTTATTTGAACATGTTTTTAATTTTGCGGCATAAAAATTAATCATAATTTCAGAAAAAATATTTTTCAAATAATCGACTTTGTCATACTAACAGAATAATAAAAAATAATTAAATACTACAGAATTGAATAATATCTAAATAAGACATGTGATAGTATATAAAAGCAAATTATAAATATCGTTATAAATTCTTGCAGGAGTCAATATTACAGGATTATGAATAATTGCAGACAAAGATAGAAAATTTATCGCGCAAAATCAGGAAACTATGTCGTTGGAAACACGAGTCATTATTAATAATGAAAACTAGGTGAAATTGGATGTAACTAAGATATATGTAAGATATATATGCTACGTGAAAATAAATGTAATGAACAGAAAGTGCGAAATTATTTATAATTATATTCAAATAATTCTCAATAACATTAATTCCTGCTTAAACCGGTGCACACACATGGTGCTCTCAGGTTCTCATGTTTTTTCAAGAGAAATTTTTAGCTTTGCTTTGACGGTATTAGCACTAGTAGTGCGAGTTTGCTCACCTGTAAATGGGCTTCATCGCGTAATCGCGGAACCAAAGCACCATGTAGACGCGATCTTCTCGCGTGGACGGCTCGATGTCGCAAGGCAAAGTGGCAGTACGACCAAGTACGGCGCTGACTTTAGATGTGGACACTGAGAAGGTCAAAAGACCGTGATTAACGCGATTGAACAATAGCTACGATGATTGTTGGAACCGTGGATGTATCTCATTTTAAATGTGAAATGCAACGAAATCGTATTTTGAGATTTCCGTTAGACACGCAGAGAAATGTAAAATCGATTAGTTGCATTTAGTAACTTTGAATTTCATCTTACATCGTCGATAACGGATAGATCTTTCGAATTGGTTTTCACGAAGTCGACAGAAAGTGTTCCACTGGAGACGCGATCATTCTTTTTTTCTCATAGCGTTTATCTTTGACGACAGCAATCGTATTCTTGAAAACGAATTCTCGGTAATCACGATGAACAATGGTCTACTAGTGTTAATGTACATTTTATGCGGTTCTTTTTGGAAAATTGTAGCTTCTTTTCAGATGGTTAAAACAGTGGTTTACAGAGTTTTCGAAACTTTTCCAATTTCTCCGATTTTAACGGTTTCTTTGAAACTTTTCGCGAGCAACAATATGACTTCCACATAGTTCTTTCACGGCTAAATCTTGTCAGCTATGAATGTTTTGAATAATTTTATGTAGATAGAGGTTGTAAAACCTCTTCTTTGCTTCTTTAGATCGTAAAAAATAGTAGCTTAAAACGATTCGATAGTTTTTAAATTGATAAATTTATAATATCCGCGCAAATGCACAGAATTATATACTACGAATTATATATATATATATATATATATATATATATATATATATATACGTATATTATACGAAAACCGCTCTCTATTAAAACGGTTTTTACATTTAGGAATAGTATAATTTCTATTATTTTTTTATTATGAATTTTTAAATTGATAGAAATTAATCATGTCTTATGTAATATTAGTTTCTATAGGAAAATATAAAACATATTTTATCGTGAATTATCAAACATTACATCGTACGTAAAATTATTGAAATTATTCGAATGAATGATATCCAATGGGTAAAATCATCGAGATTAAATCCGGTCCTAAAATTATTCAGTATATTCTTAAGTCTCGCTATGCAATAACGTAACCAGTGGAAATTTTGAAGTGCAATCCAGCGACATTTCTGTCATTTCTTAAAATAAACTTATATAAAAAATATGTAGATATTTTCATAGACGTCGTTGCAACTTCGTATTTTGACGCAAAGAAGTGAGAGGGAGAAAGAGAGAGAGAGAGAGAGAGAGAGAGAGAGAGAGAGAGAGAGAGAGAGAGAGAGAGAGAGAGAGAGAGAGAGAGAGAGAGAGAGGGGGAGAGAGACAGAAAGAGAGAGAGCCTTGTTTCGCGATATAAAAAGAAAGCTATTCTGCTTCTTACGAATATAAACGAAACAGGAAAGCTGCTTGAAAAATATCATTAATGAAGTTCATTTTCGCGCATAATGGAGAATTTCCGCCCAGCGGCATGGAATATAATTGCGTCGCGTAACGTTTCTTTGAACAAGTTTCACGCTCTGAGCGATTTCCGGTATCGCAACAAGTCCGCGTCTGATTTTTCCCGGAGTTTCCCTGATACGCCACAATTTTCATCAATCGAATGACGCCCACCCGTATACATGAATACGAACTCTTCCGGCAGGATATCGTTTTTGCATTTGTTTGTGACGCTTCGACGCGAAATGTAACATGCACGCTACAAGGCATTTTCGTGACGCGAATCAGGTTTTTTTTCGAAAAAAATTCTATCTGTCCTTCGAAAAATTAGAATAGAGGTTGAACGAAATTTGAACGGAGGTTTTAACTACTTTCTTTTCCTTTCTCTTTTTTTTAGCTTCACATCAGCGTATCTGTACTTTTAATATTCGTTATTTTTAAACGTCTATCACTTTTATATTCAAAAATTTTAGAGATATAAATGTAGAGAGAAAAAAGAGATGAGATGTGTGTGTAGACTCAGAGAGAAACGAGAAATTTAGAAATATGGCGTATGTTCTATATGCTCTATGTGGATAACTGCGAACAGGGTAGTTTAAGAGAGACAGATACTAGGATATAACTACGAATAAAAGTTGGAAATATATAACCGGAAATTTTTAAGTAGCCGTAAGTGGCGCGATTATAAATTCAAAAGTTGTAAAAGCCCTGTGTACACTTTCGGCCGGAACTCTATGCGTGTGCGTGTATATGTGTTTGTAGGAACTTATTTGCTATTTTATGACGTTTTAAGGGTATCCAACCCTACTGTTCCGTTCGGGACCATTTTGACCTACTTTTATTTAAAAAATGCGATAACTTTGTATGTATCGATCCTAACAGTTTTCAATTTCATGACTTTGTCAGTTTCCCGTTTTTCAATATATATTTATGAAATACATATGCATCCCGCGAACAAAAGCCTGGAGGTAGGGTTTTTGCGCCAAACGGCGCTAAGTGTGCACAGCAAACGAGTCACCGGCATGGATTAAGGCTGGATCCACTATAACTCTGCTTAAGTAAATTCCTCTTTCTCCGTTAACATTGTGTGTACAACTATAATCTGGAAAGAAACAGCGAGTCGCTAAGCTTGATGCGCTCCTCGCGCGTCTCTCGTGAAAACCGTAAATTTCCAAACTATTTATTATTCAACGCCCTTGTTATTCTCCCTTTCCTCCTTTAACGACAATTGAAATAAAATGCATTCGCACGGAAACACATATTCGGCAAATATATATTTATTTCCCGGTAGGTTTTTGCCATTGGAAATACAACACACCCGAATATATCGGTGTATCTTCGAGCCACCGTGTGATTCATCCGACGACGTTGGATATCGTTGGAATACCGAAACACGGTTCTTCGATAATTAACAATTTAAGATAAAAGAGTAACTTCCTCTTCGGAAGAGTAGTACTAAACTTCACGATAGCAAAGGGAATAATATTTATCGGCTAATTTGGAGTATACTTTGTCCCGAAGAGAACTCGATCGGAAATAATTTAAGGTGATTTCAGTCTCTCACACACACACACACACACACACACACACATACATTCACGTACACACATATAAAGGCGATGCGAAATGGGTCGGAGAAATTCGGAAAGTACCTCGACTCTCTGCCGCGCGCACTAGAGAGGAAAACCGAACTCGCGAATCTAGCCGATGAATTTGCAGTGAAATGGACCGAGCACGGTTTCGGGACACCCTGTACATTCGGCTGAATCAGGAAACGGACGAGCGATTAATCCCGATTGTTCGAGCGCTAGCTCGCGTGTCGTAGTCGCCCTCGTATTCGCGTACCTATGTCGTCGTCCTTATCCCAGTTGTCGCTGGCGTTCACGCAGACGACCACGGCGAAGATGTAGCCGCCGATCACGAGTCTCACTGCTATCTCGGCCAGTGTCCCGAGTGCCATCCCGAAGGGCGATACCTTCGCCGGGCACTTCGGTACGCTCAAATCCGTACCCCGCATAATACCACCCCGTCGGTGCAGCACCCCCTTATTGTCATTCCACGTCGAGAGGACCCCGTCGTCTTTTGGCTCGCCTCGAACGCCGTGAGTTGCGTGTTGGCCCGCCCCGCGATCCTCCGTAGGTCGCAGGCAGACAGACGGGCAGAAGCAAGGACGCAGGACACGCTCAGCGAACCGAGCGCGGATTCTTCGTGTTCGAAAGCCCACTCGCGAAGCGTACAGATAGCCACCTGTCTGACCAATACTAGCTGTTTTCACTCGCGCCTGCCGGCTGCTCGCCGTGCTTCGTTTCGCGCTACCGTTGTTACGTTAGCGCGAAGCGACGATTGCTTTTGTTTTTGTTTCGCGCGTGCTTTGATACCGACAAATAAAGATTTGTAGTGTTACACCTAAAGACCTCGCTAGTTTAGCAAATCTGTAGACGTGATATGTACGGACAGTCAATTTTTCACATTAGTCTCCTTTCATTATATATCTTCGAGTGAAATTCCACTTGAAAAATAGAGTGACAGCAGAGTCACTCGAATTCGAGTGACTTCACTCGTATAGAGTGAACTCTTCCCTCTGAAACGCGCGCGCGTT